TTATAGACTTAAATAAGTTATAGTTAACTATAATGTATAATAAAACTATAAAACATTTAACAACAAAACTTTTTATAAGTACCTGTATAGTTTAATTATTAGGTAGGTATATAAACTTATATTAGACCAAATCTAAATGATAGATAATTAAAATAGAATAAAATGTGGGCAGATTTACGAAATGGGCATAAAAAAAAATTAAACAAATTAAAAATAAATAAATTACGTACCTACTTTGATCTTTTAATTTTTAATTAAAATATCATTCAGTTATTATTTTTTTCAACAAGCAATCTAACGGCTTGACGATCACAATTTTACACGTGGCAACAGAATAGTAATACATATTAACATTGATTATATTATAAATACTAGTTTTTATAATCAATTATATTACTTATGGTTAATGATTAAAATTGGATAAAATATACAATTATGTAATTAACAATGAATAATAAATAATAATTAAATTAAATTAGAAAATTAGAAAAAAAATATAGATAACATATGTATAAACATTAAACATGCTGTGGTTAAGGTTAATAATTAACAAAGTAATAGTAACTTTAGCAAAAAGTGTATAGTTAAAGATATGTACGAATGTAGGAGGATAAGGGGATGGAAGAAGTAGTAATGACTAGTGGGAATTTGTTTACACGATAGCAAACATTATGCACATAGTTAAAGAGAAGTCTAAGTTTAATTATGAGGTTGTTGTCTCGATATCATCTGTTGGTATTGGGTATAGTAGTATGTAAATTACGCATAACCACTCTGATTGGGCTGTCATAACGGGGTAAAAAAATATGAAAAGATAAATCCAACTTATTAGTAACTGCAGTAATCCAAGATTTTCATGTTATCAGCAAAATAATGTTTTTTGACTAGGTATATTAAAAAATGTTGAAAGCGGAAAAATTAAATCCATCAAATATCGATAGATAAATAAATTATGTTTAAGGTTCGGAGAAGTTGAATGATTTGATTTTAGATACTGAGCGAAGCTATTAATATATTTATATACCATCAGTGATCTCTACATATTATATTCTCAATGTGGAAGTTATAAGGAGTTTGTGTTATGTGGACTTGTTTCGGACTGGAGGCAGCAGTTATTTAATGAGAGGAGAGCTTTAAGTCCACAAAAAAGATGCTAAAACGATTATAGGAAACAATAACGTGCTTATCTTATTACCGAATTTGGTGCAGACACCAATACTACAATTATTGTATATAATCAGTGGCAACACCAGCTATAAGCTATTATGCGATAAATTGAGTTTGAAACTTTGAAAACGTTAATGTGATATTACGAAACGTAGCCGTTTTGATGGTTTATTGGTATCCTGCAGTTCTTCCAAATTTTCAATTTTACGTGATAATATTCATAATATTTGAGAGTCTAATTGATCACTATATTACCTACTATAGTAGTCTAGTAGCAACGGTTACTGTAACACAAGTAACATGAAGTAAAACGCATTAAGTTAAAAAAAAAAACAAATCTTTAAATATTAATTGACCTCTGAAAGTCTGAAATTATAAATCGTAGTACTAGTACACGTTAAGTGAATCTGAACTATACGCACATCATTTTATAGTCTATATAAGCAATTATTATATGAATAATATTATAATGTTTCAAATTTGAAATTTCTACGATTAATATTTTTTAAATTTCAACAAAATAAAAAAATTTGTATGAAAAGTAATAATTTTTTTACGTATATTAAAATGTCATCAAAATTTGAACTTTACAATAAACATTTTTTTTAAATTCCAGTAAAAAAAATTGAGGAATTTTGTATTAAATTGCCAATTCTTAAACTTTACTAGGTACTTTAGTAATTAGCATACAATTTCCAAACACACATTATTGTGATAATAGCTAAAAAGGTTATCATTTTAAAATCATTAGGTACATCGTACATACATCGCCTGGCTCAGAACCTAGAACCTATTACTAAATCATAATAATAAACTCCTTAAGCATCACTCGTCAAAATAAAATATTTTACATTTAAATTTTTAACCATGTATCTATGAGAACTAACACGTTTAATAAGTAATAATAAGTGATAACACTTAAATTGAATAGGTTTTACGCGTAGGTAATTAACAAGTGCGTACCTATTACTTCGTTAATACAATATTAATATTTTGTATCTTTAAGTTCTTAATTTTTTATGTGGATAAGATAGCACATATAGGCATACAGATACAGCTGAAAGAAAAACAAAATAATTGTATTTTCTGAAGTGTATGGCTACACATATTAAACATCCATTTAAAAATAAAAATATTATATTCATTAGGTATATAATAATATACCTGCCTAGTACGTATGAACAAGAAACCACTTAAACCTATTTATACAATGACAAAGGTAGTGATGTAGTATATATTCAACATAATTTATTGACAATTTGGAAGTACATATTATTTAAGAGTATAAATTTGTATTCATTTGTTACTCTTACCAAATAGGCACTTACTACATAAGAATATTAAGTATAGCGGTATACATTTAAAATACATATAATTATGAATACAATATTATATTATAATACAACTAGCCGTAAGTAAAACTCGGGGGCCCGTTGACTCGCTGAAAGTGGGTACCGATTTTGGGATCAGTGTCGTATTAATTATAAAAGTTTAAGTCGAAAGTTTGAGTAGGTGATAAGGGTTAGAGATAAAGCTTGGAGCTTTGGCGGGAATGTTTAAAAGTTTCAGCTTCTAGCAACGCGTCTCTATTGTTGTAAATTGATATTTGAATGATCACCTGTCGTCTGTCCGGTGCTTTTTAGTTTGTAAAAATGTATAAACAAGTGTAGGTCCATTGTCTAGGTATCAAACGAGGTTTAAATCGATAACTGACTGAGCAAACAACCCCATGGAGGAGTATTAAATTCATAGTTCATACTACCATCGTTGTGGATGTTCAGAAGTGTAGAATAGCCATATTCAAATTATTATTTTTTTTTTTCAAATTATAATTTTTATTTATTTAATTTTTTTAAAATTATTTTTGTTATTTCCATTAAATTTCTAATTACCAATATGAGCGACCTACGGTTTGACCAAAAGGTAAATAAATATTTTAATATAAATTGTAATATACCGTCTAATAAACTTAAGAAAAAACGACAAACACAACGTAATGTTATGTACTTTGATGAATTTCTTTTTTAAAACGACATGTATGTATGCTTGTATGCATACTTATATATAGGTATAAACTTCCGCGTGCTCGGTTTACAAACGCGACCACGGGGGCTACAGACCGAATATCGACGGCTCTTAAAATACGTTGAGCGTGCGATCGGAGCACAGTGGCGATCGATAAGACATTAAGACCAAAGATGTAACGGATCGAGAAAAAACTAAAAGGTCTAGAAATACGCTCGGCGGACGACCGGTGGCGACATTTTTTGCGATCGACTTCTTCTCGGGCCCCACGGTCGGCGAACGAAAGAAAACCCGACTCCAACGACCCCAAAAGGGTATGTGGAACGTTTTAGGTGCGCGAACAGCGCTAAAAAAGGACCGAGAGCAGAAAACGGGATGTTAAAACTTAAAAGCAAACATTTTGAAAATCTTTCGGAATAAAAAGCGAAATGCGATAACGGTGGCGGATAACGGCGAAAAGCCGTGGATGAAACGCTAGTCGGATCTTTAAAGAACGACGAAACCGATACCGGGACGCGCCACCGTACTCACGTTATAAAATATATGAAAGAAGATATGAAAGAAGATGAAGAAGAAGAGAAGAGATACAATATTATATTGTAATACAATATTTAATCAATGATAATACTCTATGAAAAATAATGTAGAGTGGAGTAGAGCATAGATGAAAGAGTCATTGTTATAAAAAGAGCCAAGAGGATTTATCAGATATTTTTTTAATTGCACTACTTTAATCAAACAAATGACTTATGAAGTTTTTTCCTATTTAAAATTTATTTTTTCCGATTGGAAGATAGGTTTCAACAGGTATTATGAAATTAAATTGAGATATGAGAAATTGTTAATATACGTGGAAAATTCTATTATGTATATTGCAGACATAACAAACATGAAAGTGGCGTTTAATATTGATATAGGTACCTAGCTACCACATATTACCATATTGTCAGGACAGCCCACAAAAAGGAGGGGTCAATGAGTACTATGGTCCCAGGGCTCGGAGAAAAATACAACCCCGAATCGGGGCACTTGGCATCGGTAGGCGGGTGGGGCATGCGGCACGAGCATTTTTTGGAAAAAATAAAAGGGAAATAAATCCGGGACGATACTAGCAATATTAGACCCCTAATATTTCTGAAACTTATGAATTTAAATCATCATTATCCGAATATACCTATTGCGTACTATTGAGCACCAAATGGTACGTGTATAAAATATCCTAAATATTATAATTTATGTTCAATATAGGTATTGTTGAATTAATAATTAATTCTTGAGTACATGAATAGAAAATATGTAGGTATTGAATATTATATAATATATTATGTCGTGTAATATATAAATAACTATAATGTGTAGTATATTAAAATGTACGTCATATCAATTACCATTTAGTGCGCAATCGTGTTGTGGGTAATTAACCGGGGAAAAAAAGGAAAAAGTGCACAATCGTGTTGCAGCCCTTTGAAAAAGGTAATACATTGTAGTAGAAAAGTCAATGAGGACGTGTAATTAGGAAGGTATACTTTTATCAATGGCTGTAGGTATCGTTTAAGGAGCAGAATGAGCTGCTGGAGGCTTCAACTGCCCTGGACAAATGATAGCACTGCCTATATATTGGCACTATAGTGCATAACCACTACACTACCAATAGCTTAGCTCTCCAAATTAAAAAAAAACAATTATTATTATAACCTATTTGTTTATGTTATTAATCAACTAAAGTCGTGTAGAAAGATTTTAGCCCCCTTCTCACCCTCCGAAAAAAATCAATCGAATCTCCACCAATGCCTACCGATAACGGTAGTGACTGGCAATGGACCGCGGTCCTAATATAACAGTGTAATGTCTCATATACATGTACCTACATGCATCTATATATTATATACATTTAATAATCGTTTTATTACCTACTATGTCTAAGATGTCTAAGATTTTACTATTTATTGTTATCGATTACCATTACGGCATTACCTTATGTTATGGAGTATGGACCCGGGTATAAATGTTTTAATATTATAGGAAATGGTTCGACTGCCGTTCCTGGTGCATTAAAAATCAAAACTTTTTCATATCATTTTATATCAATAGTTTGATTAACTACTAACTACAACGCTCTGCCGTCATGCGCCAGGCCGACAGGCGCCAGCATCGAGCATACATAATAGTGCCGTTTTCCGAAAACTAGTATAGTTTACTCTGCCCAATATTGTTTATTTTGTGCACTTACTAATGAGCCCGATTATACACCGTGCTGCATGTAAAAATGTAAACCCTGTGTACCTTGGCGCCTGAAGGTAAGAAGCAACAAGCCCGTAATATACGTACCGGACTGCACGTCACTATGTCAAACTACTTGAGTAGTGCCTCTACTAGAAAATCCGAGTAAGTCGATCTGTCGTTGTGCTTACGAGTAATACGACATAAGTGGAATGAATGGGTAACCGTGTAGATAATATGCCGAACACAAGCATATTGTTTTTTCGTGTAACGTAAAAATGTTATGATGGTTAATCAATTGATTTCATCGGTTGTCTGACCAGTGTAACACCGACCAGTGTGTGTAAACTTTGTATTTTATACTTAACGGGCAAGTGTAGTTTGTCGTTGATTGTGACTTGGATATTTTTTTCTTGTTTCAACAGTGACAAGTATGACGATGAACTGACCGATAGAGACGATACTAAAAGGTAGGTATTACCAATGTTTCGTGACCAATGTATGTTCACTATTCGTTGACCTCTTGTTATGAAAACAATAATCATTAGGAAATCAAGAAACTTAAGCGAGAAGAAACGCAGGGATCAATTTAATAACTTAATCAATGAATTAAATCGTATGTTGTCCACGACCAATAGAAAAATGGACAAGTCCACTGTTTTGAGAACAACTATAAATTATTTAAATAAACAGAAAGGTTTGTTATGTCTATTAATTCTGTTGTAAGGTATAAAATTTACATGCTTTAATCATTTTTAGATATATTATTGAGATCAAAAGTACATGAAATAGACAATGATTGGAAGCCAGCATTTCTATTAAATGAAGAATTCACACATATAATTTTAGAAGTAAATTTTGTGGTTTAAATTTTTTCATCTAAACTGATGGTTTGTGTTTTCTTTATTGTTTAGGCTTTGGATGGATTCATTATAGTATTTACATCATTAGGAAAGATTCTCCATGCATCAGAAACTGTCACTGCTCTTCTTGGTTATCTTCCGGTACTATTTTTAATTATATTCTAAATTTATTGCTGTATAATCAGTGCTTGAATTGAAAATAAATAGAAGGAGTATGCAAAAATAAAAAAAAATTGTGCATACATGAAGATAGAAATATCTTATTGATTATGTTGTAATAACATGGAGTATGCTAAAATACTTAAATTCAAGCACTGTATAATGTATACACTGCTGTATACTGCATTAGTATGTTTGTGGTTCTAATGACATATATATTTTAGAAAACCATGGAAAATTTATCAATATTTAAAATAATTCATGAAGCAGATCATTCATTGTTACAAGATCGAATTGTAGAATCCAGACTTTCAAAGAATTATGATAATGGTAAGAATTTATAATGATTATTAGTATTGCAAATACAGATATTGAATGTCTGTCTTTTTAAATTTGTTTTAGATCAAATTGTGTTTTCTTGCCATTGTAAGAGACATGACCCTTTTAAAGATAAAGAGGAAATAAATGAAAAAAATCAATTTGAATTAGTGCAATTTTTTGGTTATTTTCAACCAAGTAGTGAAATGTATCAAGGGGACAATCTTAGAACTTCGTCTCCATTTAGTAGTGAAGAAGATGACCAAAAGTAGGACATACATTTTTAGAAATTAAATTATGAAGTTCAAAACTACAAAATTTATTTTTAATGTATAGCCTAGTGTTTGTTGGTATTGGCCGAATTATGACTCCACAGTTATTAAAAGAATTACCAGTTATGGAGGATATAAAAAGTGAATTCACCTCCAGACATAGTTTAGAATGGAAATTTTTATTCCTCGATCATAGGTGAAAAATATTTATTTTTACAGAATATCATTCAATTTTTAACTTTGTATATTTTTAATTAATTTCAGAGGTCCGTCAATTATTGGCTATATGCCGTTTGAAGTACTAGGAACATCTGGTTATGAGTATTACCATATCGATGACTTAGAAGATGTTATATTGTCACACCAAGCACGTAAGTAAACAGCTATAAATATTTTAAGCTTATGATATTAATTATTTATTTTTTTAGTTATGCTAAAAGGTGAAGGAACATCTTGTTATTATCGGTTTTTAACCAAAGGTCAACAATGGATATGGTTACAATCAAGATGCTATATAAGTTACCACCAATGGAACTCAAAACCCGAATTCATTGTTTGTCATCATCAAGTCATTAATTATTTTAATGTAATTAAAAAAGAAGGTGAGACTAATGACGGAAGAAAAAATAATAAAAAAAGATTATGGCACATTCCTTTAAATGAAATTGAACATCAATCATCAAATAGTGATTATGATTCATATCAAAAGAGACATTATGAACAACCAAGTACAGACTCGCCAAAAATGGTTTGTTAATTAAATAGTTATTGTATTGTATAATAGTTAATATGAATTTGGTATTTAAGTAAATTGTCTTAACTAAATTGTTTAGTAAATAGTGAAGCTAGGGTGGGCTTTCTAAGGTTATGATAATCTTTGTCATTTCCATTGATCAGGGAGACAGGAAAACAAATAATTAGCGGACATCCTTTTGAGACATTACATTATGTCTTAGCAACTTTATTAAAAGCTTTTAATTTTGGAAACTTCAACCTTACTTTTTAATATAATTAAACATTTCAAAAGTTATACTAGACATGTTTTTTACCAAATAAATATATAATTAATAATGTTAATAAATGTATTTTAAATGTTTAGAAAATTAGATCCATTGAAGATATTCGAAATTCTAATTCTGATGGAGAGTCATTGACATTGGTAGAAAGTAAACATGATGTTTCTGAAACATTCAACAATTATTTAGAAAATGCACAATCTTCAGTAAAAGGCTCAGTTTCTCCAGTAAGTATAACTGTACAATTTAAATATATAATTGGTTTAAATAATGTGCATAAAAGTATAAAACTACAGATAAAACATAAAAAAGGAGTCTAGATGGGCTGGATGATCATAAGTTATTGTGAATTATATTTACCTACTTATGATAAATTTGTCAATTACTGAGTAGATCTCCACGTTAACGATGTTACAATCATCATTTATTGTTTGGTGCCGACTTAAAGTTTCATTTAAAACTAGGCAGTTTAGTGTATTTTAAATTAGATTTTAGAGGATTGATATAAGATGAAATAAGTAACTGTTGCTTACGTAAGTTTTTGAGACTGGGGCCCCAACTTGGTGTTCTATTGAATAGAAGCCAAGATATTTTACTTCAGTTAAGTGAGGAATAGTTTAGTAATTGTGTTTTTTAGCTAACCAATCTCCTGGTTGAAGCATGAAGGTGTGTGAGCTGATTTGGCTTTTAATTTTCCATGTTTTTAAACACTCAAATGAGTTTGAACTCTTGGAGTGGTTGACTGACGATTAATATAGCATGGTTCAGCATGGTTCTAAATAAAAAAATAATATAATTAGTTATTATCTGTAGTTAATATAATATAGACTATAGAGGAATGGAGCAATGCCATTTTTTTGTGGAACATTCAACAGCATTAAAATAAAAAATAATATACTCTATTTCTTGATTTTGGATTTTATATTATTTTAATTAACATGACTTAAGTTATAACAAAATACCAATTAATCATGGAAAAATTAAAGCCAAAACTGATGATATATTTACAATTTATAATTATATTTTATACTTATTAACACATTAAAAAAAATTAGTCACAGGAAAATCTTATTCAAGATCAACTACAACGTAAACAAGAGCAATTACAAAAAACAATTGTCAAACAACAGGAAGAACTAAAGAAAATAACTAAACAATTATTAATGGCTCGATGTGGAATTTTGCCAACATTTATGGATGTATGTAATATAGGTTTATAGTTCTTTTTAATTTTAATATCTGAAGTATTAAGACTGTAAAACCATGTTTAGGATTCTTTACAAACATCCACACAAACTTCCGAGCAAACACCTCAACCAGAGACTTCTGTAAATCAAATGATTTGTTCCAATACTAGTGGAGAACTTTTTGAAACACGTCCATTAATATCATCTGATGTTTTATTATTACATGAACGAGTAAAGACACTTTAACAGTTTAACCTATAAATTATTTATTTTACTTAAACATTTTATTTTTAAAGAATGAACAAGTTATGCAGCATTCCTATTCATCAAATATAATACAGAATATGGTCGATGAGGGAGGAGGACAATTGGATTATAGTTATAGTAATCAGTCTAATGATGTTCTTTTTGAACAAAGTTCTCCCTGAAAGTCATAACAATTTCAAAGGTACATAGTTTAATTTTTCTTGTATATTTCTTTAATGATTAGATGTTAATACATTTGTTCAACGCTCAATGACTTTTTAGTATGATAGAATATAAATAACGAAGTGAGTGATCATTTTATTGCAAATTACCAAATATGTATTTTTTAAAAAAAATAATTGTATAAAGGGTTTTAATTATTAATTCTTGAATACTAAATTATCATTTATCTTTAGTTTTTTAATTATTTTTACATTTTTTGTAAGTTATATACCAAGTGGACCACTGTTTTACTACAAGGTTCACATAGGAAAAAACAAATATGATTTCCTAATAATTAGGAGTGTAATTATTATATTTTATAGAAAAAATAGTAAATTATGAATTCCATATGTGATCTCTTAATGATTTTGAAACATAAAATCAAGAATATCCTTATGAAGTTCCATCAATGGATACTTCACAAACCCCCTGTCAGAAATGTTGTGAATTGTATTTATTTAATTAAATTTTTTCTAATATTTTTTTTTATAAATCCACATTGCTTGTGCTTGCTGTAAAAATATTCCTTTACTGATTATACAGTAATTGGATTAAAAATAATAATAATAATAATATCTTAGTATGCTACAACAATTAATATTTATATTTAGAAAAATGCTATTTTTTATCCATTCATTGGAAACTTCAGATATTTATTTTGTCAACGAGAAAACTAATAATTAAGTGATCACTTATGTTCATTTATACTTTTAAACCTTAATTATGTTTATAACTTTTGATTTAAATAATTATTATGTTCATAACATTTAAATTCAAACAATTTAGAAGACTTAAACTAGCTGACTGCTTAATTGTAAATATTATATTAAACTTTTTGCTCTAATTTCTTCATACATTTTTCTAAATTTAAATGTAACCAGCTATATTTTTTGTACATATTTATTTATATAAATTTTTTTCAATTATTTAGTAGGCAAATCACGTTATTTGAAAAAAGATGTTCCTCTTTGTAGGTTCTGTTGTGGTTCCTTTGTTCTCGTACCTGTGTTGGTCTTTGCAGTAATAGTTATAATTACATACACAAAGACTTATCTATTTTGACTCTTAGGTTTTGAAAAAATGTATCTGTCAATTAAACACTGTTAGTCATAACTCACAAGTGTACATTACTTAATACATGTATTTTTTATGATTAACATTGGGTGCTATTGAATATTCTTATGTTATAATTTTTTATTTTATTTATTTGTAGTTACTTTTGTGAATAATAATACATTCATTTTTATACATTAACATTTCATACGCCTTTTTAGTTTGTATTAGTGACAATACAATAATGTCTTATATAAAATACATACACATTTGGACTTAAGTATAAAATAACCCAAGACATTTTAAGATTTATAGAATAGTATAGGATATGTTTACTTGATTTGTGTGTTTAAATTGGTTATTGGTTTATATGTAACATATTGGTGTGTACAGTAAAAATCACTTAGTAGGTCACCTGAATGAGCTGGATAATTTTGTTGTTAGCCATATAGAAATATATATAAATACAAGTAAACAATTCTCGTTTGTTTTTATAATAATTAATAATTATACATACAATCATTAAATGCAATGTACTTTATTTATCAAAACTGTAAATGCAATAAATAATTTTTATTATGATTCAAAGGATATTAATTTTTGTATTATATTAACTGATTGGTCATATATTAAATTATCCTATAATTTGAGTCTATACATATAATATACTTTTGACTGGACTAATAAAAATTAAATTATGTGATTTTTATTGTATATATAAGATATGTAGTGATTTACAATGTGACATTTACTATTTATTTTGTGGTACCTAATCTGTGTATTTTAGTCAGTAAATAATTTTTAATATTTTGTTTGTTTTCATTCTTACAATTTAATAATCACATTTTTTTTTTATTATATATTTCTGACCAACTGAGTTAAAATTGTATTTGTATTTATGTGTTGTTTCTATCAAATTATATGTATCAATTAAAATTAGAAACAATAAATATATTCAATTTATTATAAAGAGGATAAATAATGTGTTTTACATATAATTAAGTATCAAAATTTTAGTATATAATTAAATTATTATACTTTTATTTTATTTATCTTTAGACAAATATGATTAAAAAAAAATATAACATATATAGACTTATAAAAATATTAAGTAAATAAAATATAAAAGTTGAATAACAAGTCGTCAGCCATTCCCTTTCTTTTTAATCTCAATCTGTCATAATGCTTAATTAAAATAGCGATCATTCGCTATGCGATTTCACTGTTTGATTAACCAAATCGTTGGTGGTGTTTTCTGTTTCTTCTACAGCATTAGATTTGTCTTTCAGTACTTTACCACCGGTGAATCCTATAAAATTAAATGAAAATAACTTTTGTTAATTATTGAATTTAAGTTAAAAATTAAAATATTAGATTATTATAGATATTACCAAGTACAAAGCAAGTAACAGTGGCAAATACTCCAACTTTGGCACCAGCCAAACATCCTAATGGACCTCCAACACAAGATCCGACTACAGCTCCAATAAGCGGGTAAGACATTTTCTTCAATTTTGCTGCTTTACGTAATGATTGTTCGGCTTGAATTACGTTTTCATGTGTTGTCTCAACATGAGCATCAATTTTTTCAACATCTTCTTTTTGTTCCTATGATTTAAGTGTACAAAAAAAATATTACACAAGTTAAAAATAATTAATCATTGGACTTTATTAATAAAGTAATATATAAAAGATAGTTAAAGTTTGTGCGAATCAAACTAGTGATCTTAAGACACAAAGCATGATATTTTACTTTCTACATTCATAAAATACAAGATTATTCAATTTAAATAAAAAAAACTTCTCTAAAATGGTATTTTAAATATTCAAGTACAAATAATTATTTGCAGAAGTTTTAAATTTTTCTTTTTACTTCAGGAACAAATACTTATTCACTTATACGATTTCTAGTATGGTATTATAAAATAATAAAGAAGTCCAAGGTTACAGAATACAAAAATTGGATATTAGGCATTTGTAACATTTCACTCACCCCGACATATTATGATTGTGATGTTTTATTATTATTATAAATTTGAAAGCAATAACTAATAATTGTATTCAATACATTGTTCTGAGTGGATTTTATTTAAGCCCCATGGTTGCTGAAATTTCATCAACATGTTTCAAGGTTGTTTACATTTAAGAAAACTACCGACAAAATAAAGAAATATCTCTTCAAAGTATCAATTACCAACCAATAGACATGACTATGTGATAATTTTGAAATTTGTTACTATCTGAAAAAGGGTGCACAGAAAGAACATTGTAAAACCAATAAATTCTGTACTTTTTACAAATTCTTTAATATCCAAAAAAAAATTTCACTTGTTTTCTACTATAGTACAATCTTTCAGAAAGTAATATTTATGCACCTACTCAATAAGAAATGTCCTTTCATAGATTTGGGAAAACTTGTCATTGCGGATGATATAGTTTGTAACTTGAATAAAACATTATTTAAAGATTGATACATGACTTGTTTTAAATGTCTATACACCTATTATAATTTACAGGACCTATATATTTTCTTGTAGAATCTAAAGTGTGTATTTTATTTGGTAAGTGAATTTTTATAAACATATAGTAACAGTAAACTATAGTACATTAGTACACAACTAGTAATATTTGATGAATGGTAATACATACATTTACTAATTTACTGAGATCACGAAACAGATCCTGAATGCCTTGTATGTCTTTCTCAACATTTTTAACATCGGATTCAATAGCTAACATTTTTTCCTGTTTTTGTTTTTCTTCTTCAATAGATATTAATAACATGCGTTTTTGATGTTCTACTTCTAATTGTTCAATATTGTCTTTATAAGTTTCTTCTGGTATAGCACTAGATCTGTATTCATCTAAATCTTCATCTATTCGAGATATAAATAAATTTAAAAAATACAAAACTAGCAATAGCAAATTGATGATAAAATATTAAAAAAATTACTTTTAAACATATCAATTGCTTCCAATAACAGTTGTTTGCTTGGATTCATTGAGTCATCAAAAGTCTGTAGATCGACATCAGAAACTTGATTTCTTAAGGTTTCCATCTCCCTGAGTAATGCTCTAGCACGATTGATGGATTGTGAGGCTTTCATTTGTAATTGACGCATACTGCTACGGTTTTCTAAACGTCTTTGCTGTGTACAAAAACAGTTACATAACAACAGAACAATAGAAATAATTGCCTATACAAGACACTAACCTTGGAAAGATTGGATTTTAACGTTTTCAAAGACTCCACTTGGTAAGGAATTGCATTCTCGACAAAATTTTTGATCGGTAGGTCTAAATGACGAATCCTTTGCTTGGTCCTCCACAGGCTCGAACTTTCGGCCATGATTGTTCTCCAGAATTACAGCCCAAAGTTACTTATCCAAGTTATAACTGTACTTATACGAGATGTACAAATCACAGTACGAACATTCGATCGAAAAAAGAACGATTGAACAAGATATTATGTCGTTGAACCGCCAGTATAGGATAAAATACTGTATAATTTAATAACTAATAAATTGAATATTAATTATTAACTATTAACTATTAAATAATAAGTTTTATAAGCCATAAATGACGAATCTTACGCATTTACAGTTTGCGAAGTCGACTCAATTGTGATTGTCGAATACCTAGGTTGATAAGAGGAAAATGCACAAAGAATTTTGAAATGATAACAGCAATATGTTTTTATTATTTACATCGGTATCAGTTGTAGTTTTGTGTACAAACTATTTTATTTTTGTTTTTACTCTTGTAAATTCTGACTTCTATGTTATTGGTTGCCTTACTTTTTCAAGTTTGCAAATTTTTTTCACGGCTTCGATTACTCTAAAATGATAGTTATAACTTATAAACATCAATATTAATTATCATATTTTAACAATATAAGACATTATGAAGTATAAATATTAAATGTTCATTTTGATTTTTGAATAGTTAATTATTTATTACGTTAGTAGTTACAACTAAATTGGCTAATGTTCCACTGTTGACAATATATATATCGGTAATGTATACACCAAAAAAAAAGAATATTATAATATAATTATGTATTTAGTTAAAATATAACATATTATAATAATAATACACAACATTATTAAAAGGCTGTAATACTGGTATTTGTTTCCTCCATCTTACTAGTGAGTACATACCAAATTTACGCTCAACAGATCACATGTAGCTTCGTTAGTTTAAAAATTAGAGTGAATCTTTCTGTTAGGAATCTTTATGCTAAGAACATCATCTATGTTTATATGTAAGGTTTTTACCATAGTTCAATTTTTAAGTGAGTTATGAGCATTTTTAATTTACTCTATATTATATACGCATAACTTGCTAAAAAATTGAACTATCGTAAAAACCAACATACAAACAAAGTACTAACACAGACAATGTTCTTACCATCAAGTTTCATAATAGGTCGATTCAATCTAATTTTTGAATTAACAAGGCTATACTTGATCTGCTGAGCTTGCATTTGCCATGTTACGCACTTGTAAGACGAAGACAACTATTGCCGGTGTTTTTTCCTCTTAAGCTCGATTATCGGCAATTGATTGAATCTAGCTCGTAAATAATAGGTTTAATATATTTTATGTATATTTTTGAGGATAGTTGCTGTGTTAAATTTTTTAATAACTGCTTAAAGCTGTTTGTTGACTGACTATAGAGCTAAACTATAACCTTAACCTACCTTAGAGCACAGCCGAAGAAGTAAATCCATTATGATTCACCTACTGGAGAGCACTGCTATGTGGTTTTAATTAAATTTAAAAATTAAATTGAATTTTTATCAAACATTTTTAATTTTTAAGTGGTCTTAAACAATGCTTAATGATATGTTGGTGTTAGGAGATATAGTAGTATGCAAAATTGAGCCTCATCCTTGTGATTTTTCTATTTATTGTCAGTTTTATCATACATTTTGATTTGAAGTGTGTTGTCTCCCATTTTACTAACACATAATGTAGAAAATTATGTTCTGCATAATCCATTTTGCACTGTTATTTTGAATATTATACAGGACCCCACATAGAATTTGATATTTTAGTTTAAAGTAAGCAATATGAATTTAATTACTAACAATTATAAAATACTTGATTCAAAATCACTGTTGAATAATACAATATATTAAAGTCCGAAATCTTGACATATTCTTAAATTTTAGAGGCCTTGCTTGATTATCTCTTATCACTATAAATTTCTTAAAACATTAATTAGAAATATGAAATTAACAAACAAGTGATGAATATGGACTTGGTACTGACTTGTACACATCTGATTTTTTCATAAATGCAAAAAATTGGAAGAATACATAAGTAGATAGATTGGTTTTTCGTGAACTTAGTTGGTAAAATTAGGTATCAAGTGTTATTTTATTGCATGACATTTTTTATAGTTGTGTATTGCTGTTTTATATAGTTGCTATTTTTAGATTAATATGATAAGTATGGGTATCATTTTGCGGAATATATTTTTAACAGAAAATTTGTTTTTACTGATGAATATTATTCTGTGCTAATAATCTCATGTAACTTATGATTGCAGTGTTGGTTAATCTTATTAAAATGCCACCCAATTCTGTTGTAAAAACATCCCTTATTGTTGGAGGATTAACATTTCTGGGTTTTATGGCTGGAGGAAGACTTGGTTCTATGTTTGGTAAGTTTCCTTAATTGTACACAATAAATTTATTTATTTTATGTTCATACAAAAAGTATACTAAGAAGTCAGTGTCTTAAATTCAGGGCCGGATTTAGAGGAGTAGAGGCCTCGGGGCATCAAAGGAGTGGGGGCCCCCTGGACCCAAATTATTTTACAAATAAAATTAATAATTTTTTTTCAAAGTAGATTATTTTGCTTTTATTAGTATTTAACAAACATATATACAATATATATAATTATAATCAGAAACAAGAAATTAAATTTAAGTGTTAACAAAGGGAACCTTCCGAGCTTATTTCACCGAAAAATCATTGATAAGTTCGCTGAAATCCAGTTCCCGAAGTAAATCACTTTCAATGCTCAGGAGAAAGTTTTGATAGACGGTTTTGTCCCATCGTGGTTCGAAGCCTATTTTTTATAATCTTCATTTTTAAAAATGAGCGTTCTCCAGTGCAATTTGATACCATCAAAACCAAATACATTCTCAATGCAATTTCAAGATTAGGGAATGTAGCTCTGAAATTTTGATCTTCGAGAATTTGGTAGTAAAATAGTTCCGGAGATCGGTCTTTTTCATAGTCCTTTTTGTGTGCGTCGTTCAAAGACACAAATTGAACCAACTCATTACCAAGACTAGGTTCTAAATCATCCTCCTAAACCTTCACCAATGCCTCAGTCTGCTGCAGCGTGCAAATTACTGATAAACAAACTTGCTGGCGACATACAATTTTACGGAATTACCCATCGGCAATCAGTGTTAAATTTATTTTTATCCTATTGGCCACTTTCGACGGGACGGCGCGCGGCGGGGTGACGGTGCGTTTGTAATTTGAAAGATTTTTTTTTTCCGAAGTCACTATTGTGGAGGCCCCGGTTGCCCTCCCCTAAATCCGGCCCTGTGTCTTATACTTGTATTGATTTATAGATAATTTAAATACAATTTATAAGTTATGAAGCGTTTTAATGTTTTGTTTGTTTTAGGCGCAGTTATTGGAACAGTTGTTTGTTCAATGTTTAATATTGAAGAACCAATAAGAGAACCAATGAGAGAACCTCGAGAAGAAAATCCTCGCTTTACACCTTATTCACGTCCAAGCAATACAAATCGGAATAATAAAAATAAAGTCAATAAATCTAAAAGTACAAAATTATATTTAAATTTTTTATTGATTTTTATTATAAATACAATATTTTTTTGTTTATAGATGAACCATGTGAACTATCCAAATGTTCAATATGTCTTGAATCATTTAAAGCTTCAATTGTATTATTACCATGTTCACATATGTGTTTTTGTGATGACTGTTTTGAAAAAGTGAAAAAGAAAAGAGTTTCTTCTTGTCCAATCTGCAGACAAAATATTGAAGATTTTATGGATGTGTATCCTTCATAAGCAATATTGTATCAAATTTGCTAGTAATTTTTTTTAAATAATAAAACTGTATAATTACTTTAACGTGTGAAAGATCTTATTTTTTAAATACTTATTATATTTATCTAACAAATGTAATGTACTTAAATATAATTTTAACTTAACTATTAATGCACACTTTTAACTATGTAAAAAATAAACTAAAATAATGTTTTTTAATCAATAAAAAATGATAAAGGAAGTAAAAATGTTTTCTGATTAATTTTATAATAATGATGTGTTTGCATTTATAATGTATTAAATATAATTAAATCATCAGTGTTTAAGATATCAGTAGAGACTGATGGACGATGAAGTATAGTTAACAATTGGGTGTGCAGTTAAATACTAAGAATTGCAAAACTTTTTACGAAATGATGTAGTAAACCACTATTACAAGAACTTCAGGTCATCTATTGAACTACACACTAGTTATTTAGGAGAGGCTAAGGACGAATAAAATGGGTTTTTTAAGTTCCAAGTGCATTGGTCCGCAAAGAGCCCACCCTATAATAGATAACTTAATAATCTTGGGATGAAGGATAACTAAGCAAACTTAGGCATCGAAAATCCCTGAACAAAAAAATAATAGAAACACATTTAGGGCCCTCGGTTTGGTACGTGTAGTCCGAACATTAAATAATGACATGTAGGAATACCCGTGTATTTAAAGGTCATGTACACGTGTATTTAAAGTTCATATTATACCCGTGTAACAGAAACTTGTATACAATTTTTTTTTAATTAATAATATTGCTGTGTTATTCTGACGTTTGCTATACAATTTTCGCGTTCTGAGTTATTTGTCTCTTATGCCGTTTGTTATCGGCCGATAGTTGACATATTTTACAAATAGATGAACGCAGTACAGCAGCAAGCTGGTCTAAATTTAGAGTTAATGTTTTAAACCTTAATTCACTGTTCGGCGTCCTCGAAGTAACTTAAACAAGTATAAGAGATATTAAATAGTGAAGATAACAACATTATCGCAAATTAGTTAATACGTTTTTAATAATAAAACTTAAATTACCAGTTGCAACTCATAGGGCAAGTAACTCCATGTGCAACCCATGGGTTCTTTAATGTGGACTGATACTATATCTTTGGTGTGTTGCACACAGCACACTTATACATTGTCTTATGTTTCCATACCCAAACAACCATGGACGTCTATGCAAACAACTACTTTAAATACTATCTTATTAATTTATAAGATGAGTAACAAGTGTAAAAACTAAAAGTTAGGTGTGGCTGTATGCTAAACGGCATGGGCGCATGGCAATAAAGCTTACTATGATTTGTGTAGGTATCAAAAATGAAAACAATGAATTTTGTTGAATTGGCGGAACAACAGGCCCTTTGGGCAGACATTTAAAAATTATACATAGTATAAAACCACCTACAACTGTAACACAAAGTTTGGTACACATAATCTACATTACATTAATCGTAAATTATCTTTTTTTTACAAAGAATATTTTTTATATACGACGTATCATAATTAAACAAATAACAAAATTAAATTATATTAAGTCTGCACATAGTTATTGAGAGTTTCCGCCTATCCTATCGTGATCACGCTGTATTTATTTAAAAATATATTCTGATTTTTAAAGTAAAATTACTATTTAGCTGTTTTATTTAACAAAAATATTATACCTAGTATGTTACATAGGTAAATTCATATTTATATAGATAGGTAAAGACTTTGAATGAGTAAATAAAAATTAAGAATCCGTCGATTTTTGATCGTAGTTCACGATTGATTAATCATTGGTACTTATTTATACATTATACATTTTGTCATTAATACCTACGGGTTATTTCTGGTCATGAATTAGATAATTCCGATATCTTGACCAGTTCAACTACGACAGCACGTTCTTCAGAAGCACAACGTTTGGAAACGACAACGATTTTTTATAAATCGGGAGGACGATAGAATTTGCAATTCTGAAAAAAACCGAACAGATACATCAAGCATTGGCAAAAATGGTAGGCGTGATTCAAACGTCCCTATCTTTTTGTTCAAGTGAAGGTTTAAAGCAATTTATGGCTGGAACCTAATTAGTAATTACAACATTTGCAAAGAAGAAGCAATAAAATCCAGATTAAAAACGTTCAGATCGTCAACAACAGAAATACCTAATACAGAATAAATTAAGAGATTCTGATACAAGTTGTCACGACCGTTTATTGTGCCGAAACACCTTCTCCGGCATTAACTGTTGGACCACTTCTTTCAAAAGTGATTGAAGCTCCAATTACTTCCAAAACTCCTTTCCTTTGAAAAATTTTTTTTTAATATATCAAGAGCCTTGTATTAAATTTTCAAGCTTTTTCGCCCAACAAATAAAATTTTATTGGTATTTATAGAAAAAAAAAAATTAAAAAAATTGAAAACTGACAATGTCCGTAAACAGTTCAAAAAGAGTCAAATTATTTTCAAAATTTTACCGTATATAGAAAATGCAAATATAAACAACCTGTGAACATTTCATATATCTACGGCCATTTGTTTTAGAGTTACACCAAAAACCAAAATCGATTTTGCATAAAAATTCCCATTTTTCCTTAATTTTTCTTTTGTTTTTCACGTCGCTTTTGAAAACTACTGGGAAATTTTTACTTTTGACCCCCCAAAGTACCAACTAGATTCACTTTCCAATCAGAAAAGTTGCTGTTGAAGAAAATCGAAGTAGTTTTACTGTCCTAAAAGGTGATGACAGACACAAAAATAAATAAAAAAAACACATCATTGTAAAATCAATACATTCATCATTCCACTCAGAATCTAAAATATAAATATATTATAAAACATTAGCGTTTTTCATATACAATATTATATCATAGTATTCAAATTTAACACCATCTATTACAGTGACCTACACACAGCAAAGCATCACCTACTTACCTGCTTTTTATTTGTGTCTGTCTACATGATAAGTAGAAATAATGCATCAATTTTCAACTTCAGTAACTTTTCTAGTGAGATAGTTGCTGACAATCTAGTAATCTTTTGGTATAACAATATTAAATACATATTAATACCATACATCTCAATCAGTAAAATTGACATTGACATTCACTTATTCTTTATTGTAAGAAAATATTAAGTTGAGCCTTAATTGATGAGGTATTACCAATAGGCTCGAAAACACAGAGGCATCATATAAATATCACTCCCTAATGAAAAATAACATAACAAGTATGGGCATATGACAGAAATTAATTAAGTAGTTCCATCCAAAAAAACTGGAACATATAGTATTATAGTACCAAGATACTTCTTCCATAGGCCATAGTTTAAAACTTTCCTGAAAAAACCTGGTATAAAGTATTAATATTATTTTTACATTAAATTGAAATACTATGTAATATGAATATTTTCAATAATTAATTTAAACTGATAATTATTTTTTTGATATAATTTATTTCTAATTATTCAAGTGTCGAGAATGCAAAATTAATACAATAATTCACAGTTTATTTTTAAAATAATTATATACACAACAAAACATCATTTTAAGCACAATAATAATTTACATATACAGACTTAAACTAAACAATTTTACAAATAAAGTAACTTTAAAATAAATTAAAAAAAAATATATATATATATATATAAATATATAATTAATGGCAAAATGAAAAATGTTTATCTAGAATATAGATTTTTGCCCAAATTCTATAGATTTGTGCATTTGAGATCTTATACAAGACACGTAGAAAAAAAACATACGTGCATATTATAAAATACTACTCGTTTAGTGAGTTACATTAGTTTATATTTAAGTACACTTGACTAAAGTGAATAAATATTTAAAAATTTACTTTAGGTTTAAATTACCCTGTGGAAAAATCTTTCGTTTAAATAACAGAAACGAAAGTACATTATACACTTTTAATATAACGGCGATACATTTGGCAAACAATATAATATTTTGCACAAAAGAAAAACTACTATTTATTTTTTAAATTATAAATGCTTTTGGTAACTAAACAATTGGGAAATGCATAATAGAAAAATATTTTGGGCAACAATTAATGTTTGTTATTCTGGTACACTTTCATCAAAGAACTTATTGGTATACAATTTAGGAAATTAATTAACTATTTATTTGAGGTCTTGTTTTGAATTTTTGATGATCAACATGAGCCAAAATATTTTTCTAGTTTTAATTATAATTAGCCAATGACAAATTTAAAATTGAAACTAATGCCAGTTAATGTAAGGTACATTAAAATATTTAAAGCCTAAAACTAAAGCGAGGATAGTTGCCAGAAGAAATAAATCATAAATTAAATACAAAGAATAAAGAAAATTAATAGGTATTATGTTCACAACTATAAAATAGGTACCTAATTATGTGTCAAGTGAATTTATATTATTCAAGTGATTTTAAAATAATAAAACTTTTAATATTTCAAATATGTGACTTTGTGCAAAAAAAAAAGTAGTAAGGATGGGCTGAAAATGTTATGACTTATGAGTTATTGAATTAGTGTGAATTACAAAAGTTCAAATAAAAATTGTGTAAATCACTTAAATGTTCATCTTGATCCTTCTTTTCTCTTCATAACAAATTCAGTGTCATAATAAAGAAAAAAAGTTTTTAAAAACATCTAATTTGAAAAATCTGAAAGAAATGTTGAACATTGTTATATAACGGTATTTTCCCTATTATTTCTTAAGATGAATTAATCTTCAATGTAATAGGGCCATACTCAAATAAATTCAAACTATAATTTTTTTATTTTTTTTTATCATGAATTTAAAAAATATAAATTGACACAACATTTCATATGCTATCTACAAATTATTGATTAAATTACCTTAACATTTTCCCAACTTATTATTTTATACCCTTCACCTAGGCATATTATATTAAACATATACTGATTATTGTTAGGCAGTTGTAGAATTATAAAATTTAATTCTATGGTATGCTACCAAATCATAGCACTTGCATTCAATCAATGATGAATTTTATCCTATAATGTTTAATTTTTTGACACAGAAGTTTACCACCTCCACGCATAATGGAGTTAAGATTTTTTTAGTTTCAGTTGTACAAACATTAATAAACATATCATAGTAGAAGTCTTATTTTATTTATATACTCTCTAGGTAATAAAGTTAATATAAGGTTGTAAAATTATGGGTATTAAAAAAAAACTTGGATTTTAACTACTCAAAAGTCAATTACAGAAGTGTAGAGATCAGTCAATTTGACAAAAATTTTTTTTTTACAAGCCATTATAGAAGATTATTTTTTAATAGATATAACACATGACCAATTGTTTAATAGTATACAAAATATACTTATAGAAAATTTGAATAAACTATATTCAATAAAAAAGGATTATATTTCGAGTATTGCCTCAGTGATGTAAAGAACCCAGTTTAAAATGAATAATATTGCTATGATAATCATGACACCTAACTTCTAATTATTTACTATCAGAAGAGTAATTCAAACATACAAAAAAAAATACTATATTAAAATGGTATCACAATATTGTGTTTATAGAATAATTTATTTTAATACTTGGTTATCTTTATTGCTATATAGTATAAACAATTGAGGGACGGAGTCGAGTATGTATTAACCACTCCAATATAATTTTGTAAATTAATTTACATTTTAAAATAAAACAGTAATGTGTGATTGGAAACATGATAATACTACCAACTTCAATGTTAAAATTGTGTGAGGTAGATAATAGGTTAATTTAATGATATACTGCAAATTATTAAAGAAGACATTGACTAAATGATAAAAAAAAACTAATAAGATAACTAACACACTGCATTTTAGGTAATCTTTCTGAATTTTGGAAATATTAAATAGTACAAAAATATCTGAATTATTATTAATATTAAGAAATACTGTTAGGTTACAATTTATAACAAAAATAATATACGGTAAGAAAAGAAAATACATGAACACATAATATACAGGTTAAATGAGTAATACACCATGCATACAACCATAAATATTTTCATTTAATTATGATTTTATTAAAACTCTGATCTCGGGAATTTAAAAGTATACTTTAAGATACTTAATGATAGTATTTTAAAATACATTTTATATCATTTAAGGATTGTCTTGTGGTGATATCAACTTTTTTTTATTATCAAATTTGAATACTTTATTCTGTAAATTTTTTTTCTATTCTTTATTTTGCAAAACAATTTTAAGGGATTACATTCAGATTAGGATATACATTGCAAATTGCAATAACATAGAAACTATTTGTTCAAATTTCAATATACAGGTACATCAAAATGTTCTAAAAAATTATTCGTTCAATATTTTATAATTAAAACTGTTGGGACTCATTAGGAAAAAAAATAAGTTTACATCACCATAGGGCATTCATTAAATGGTATACAACTAATTAAATATCCAAAAGTTAATTAAATATTTAAGGAAAAATAGGGGCAAGCATGCTTGCAATCACTCTGTATATAACTTATGTAAATTATTAAATGAAACTTTATATGATTATATCTTATATCTTTTGAGTCTATTTATCAAATAAATATAAGTTGAAAGAAATATATGAATAAATCTTGAAGCTATTTTGTGTACTTGATCACATATTAGTTTTTTTATAAATTGGATGTACATAATAAAATATTGTTTGTTATTTTTACTAGTTTTCAATAATGTCGTTAGTAATAATTTACAATATATGATTTAAAGTAAGAAAGTGACTGGAAGTTATGAATTAATACAACGCAATACGAGGTAATATATTTTTAACTCATTAATAGGGTAAAAATAAAACTAAATAACTCAAACTAATGTAGTAAGTTCATTAGTTGCATGAATGAATTTTCAATTATTTTAACTATGAAAAATGATAAATATAACCCATAATAACATATGTGATGCAACAACTTGTTTGTAGACTAGATAAAGAATTATTTAAATTAAAAATTTGGTAACATCATAATTGTCAAGAAGATATACTTAGGTTTTTCAAATCTCTTATAGAATTGTTGAAGCCCATCCTTACACTATCTTAAATTTCTATCTTAACATATTTTTTTACTTAAACATTTGTTTCATTAAGTGTAAGGTATTTTAAAGAAAAATATCTATATAAAAAAGAAAGGAAAAAATTAAATTAACACAGTCAAATATTACCATAATCAAGTTTAGGAAATCCGTACACTGAGGAACCAATATTTTAATGTTCACGCTGTGGTCAAACATTTCCTATGACCAGTATGCTAGGACGGTAAAATGCTGCGCACCGCTTCATCCGTTGCCGGATCGCTGCGTTGCAAATTCAAAATACTGTCTATGGCGTTTTGCACCTGTGCATTTATTTCTTCATCATCAGGGCAATGCCGTTTGTTTTCTGATGTAGACTGTTCATCTTCCAGTTGGTGTTCACGTTTTTTAGATACATGTTCATCACTACAACCTGAAAGTTATTGGTTAATTAAATAACTAACTTTTTTGTACTATAAAAAAGCAACTTACTCGTTAAAGTATTAGCCGAATTTGTGTTCATATTTTGTTTTAACTGTTGTAGTTGTGCAGACTCGTCAGCGTCAAATTTTCGCCCCAACATGATCAATTCAGATGTTTGCACTTCCCTCTAATAACACACAATTAATATAATATCTAACATTCCAATTATATTTAATATAGGTCCCAGAACTATATAAATATGCATATTTATTTTAATAGTTGTTTGAAAAAGCATAACTCATACCCCAATTTAATATTAAATAAAATATATTAAGCACATCTAAACTTCAATATTTGTTGCCTATTGGATGCAGTTCATTGTTAATGTATTACTCATTATAAATAATATGTACAATGCCCACAGTATTGTCGGTTGTGTCAATAACACTTTAGGAAGACTAGGAGTATAACAAATTATTTAAAAAAGAAAATAACACATCAAAACATTAAACACAACGGAAAATTATAAAACAAAATCATTTATGAGTTTAATTATTAGTAATTGCTATTGCTAGCAAGACTCAATAATAGTAAAAATTTGAAAGACAGCAGTATCTTATTAATAGCCCGAAAAAATACAACACTGATGTATAAAAACACACATTTAAAATTGTTTATTTTAATATTCTAATTGTTTATATGGTTTTTTATGAAATATTAATGCATTATAATCAATAAATAATAATGCATATAATTCTGAGTCCTAAATATTAACATGTAATACAATATAAGTATGATGCTCACCATGCTTTCTTTAAATAATAGGTAACGGTATTTGTTAAACAGTGATGCTTTTTTATCTAACATTTGTTTGGCAGTTGACTCAAAAATTTCATCAGCCAACTCCAAATCTCTTTCTGATAACACTGCTTCATTTAAGCAATGATATCGTGATAATCGTTTTACAGCATCACTTGCCGAACTAAATGGTGTGACGACATCAGGATTAGTTGCACCGGATTGATCAGCTGCTATTCTCTCAGAAATTCTAAAATAGTATTGTTATATTTAAGAGACTGCATCAGTTAAATGTTTTTCTTTGTCTTACATGCATAGAATATTCAACAACAAAGTAAGCTGACTTTTAAACCATAACAAGTTATGTTAAAACATTTTTAGTCTTTTTTCTATTAAGTCACATTTCTGTTCTACTAGACAACAGACTGATTTTGTGCATACACACTGAGTTTCGGCAGTTTACCTCATGGTGAGTACCACAGCCAATTAAGGAATACATTCCAAGAATAAGTGAAGGCAATTATAGGTAAAGTAGAACTTTGGTGGTAAAGCAATGATCTCAGTATATTAAATTACATTTTAGTCCAAAATATTATTTTAATATTTTTTCTAATCTAAAATCCAATTTTTTATGTCTTAATTTATTTGTAAAAAGTAAATTGAATTTTTCACCAAACTACTTAATATAGTTTTCTGTCATCATTATTAATATTTATAATACTTTAATGGGCTGGCATATAGTATGCGGTTTATTAGCAAACGTGTTCTACCAGCTGTTGTTGTATGCGGTCCACCTGCGGCTGGCCTGTTTTCCACAGGCCTATTATTATCATTGATAGATATAGTTTCTCTTTTTTATGAAATTATACTTTATGACTTTTAATAACAATGCTTTGACATTTCCTAAAATTTAGGACTATGGTCTCAGACGTTTAGTAAGTCACTTATTGCGAGACACTACAATTTATTCTATATATTATTTTGGCACTTATATAGGTTAGGTTGTTTCTTTATATCTGGATGGTATGTTGACAGTATGTTTCTTAGTTCTTAAATTTTGATAATATTTGTGGTCTTTGTCTTTGGTTTAACACTAATTCTAAATATTTATGGGATTATGGCAGAACTTATTTTCTACCACATACTAGTAAACAACACTTTCATTCATTTAAGTTATCCATTAAATTATTGAATGTTTATTGTAAATAGTATTGAAATTAAGCCAAATAATATATTTTTAAAAACTTTTTAGTAAGACATTAATTGGACAGACAACTATTTTGGACTAAAACATATTGGACAAAATAAAATAGACAAGATGCATTGAACAATACCAGCAACTTGTTAACTAAAAAACTCTCACCATATTCGCTCATCATGATTAACATCATTGAAATTAAGGTATCATTACCTATTATAAAAATTAAATTAGAATATTATCTATGGTTTTCCAGAAGCTTAAATTTATATAAGATATACAAAAAAAAAACCCAGATTACCAAAATAATGTTTTCTCTTCATAATTCTTATAGAAGCTAATAATATCTTAATTTTAACATTATCACAACATATAAAATATGAAGAGGTTTACACGCGTGTAAGACAAAGAAAAAATATGAAGCTATGATCTCTTGATACTAGTACAAGATAAACAAAATAAAAATGGGTACTGAACACTTACAACGATATTCGTTTTGAAGCACTGAATGCAGGAAGAGTAGGAGAAGGTTCACAAGACGTTTGAGTTCCAACCTATAAAATAAATAAACCATAATTATAAACTATAAATATTTATTTAACTATGTATGCAGCGTTGTTAACAAAAAGTATTAATTGTACTATAAAAAAGGTAATTTTTAAGATATTCAAAATACAATCTCTATAAATGTAACCTTTGAAAAAATCAAGGAGTTTTGTTATTTCCAATAAATTATTAATTACTATCACATATAAATTTTAGTATTTTACCAAATTTACTTTAAAAAAAAAACAGTCAAGCTTTAAAATTTAAGAAAAATTTTTTTATTTTGTTTTTTGCGTTTCACATTAAAGATGTACTTGTTTTTAAACATTTTTTTAAGCTTGTTTACAATAATATGAAAATAAGTAAATTTGATGTATTATACATATTATAAGATAATTACTCACTTGTACATGTAAAGGAGATGTTGATTTATTACTAGTTGGAGGAGATGCAATAGTTGATGTATGTACAGTAAGGGGAGGTGACAAGGTATGAGGTGGACTTGATGCCATTGGACAAGGTGGAGGCACCAATCTCACAGGTGTGGATACCTAAAATACATTATATTTAAATATTATACCTTTTATTGCATATATACAAATTAATAACTTCTTACATAGGTAATTCCTTGTGAATTTTGTCCAGAAATAGTAGGAACAATTTTGCCACATTGTAAAATTTTCTGTTGTTCATTAAATAATCTTTGTAAAGCAGTTTGCTCACTACTTGTGCGGTATTTTTTTGCGCTCAGAGCAGATATTTGATTTTGAACTGCTTTTAACAACTGAATATTGACAAAAAAAAAATATATATAACTTTTACATAAATACAATTTAAATTTATTGACAAACCTGTTGTTTTTGTGGTGTAAGTTGTATAGTTTTAACCCTTTGATTTGAAATACTACTTTCTGGTGAATTCAATGGAACTGGTGTATCATGGTGTTCTTTCTCTTTTTCATCACATTGAAATACCATTGGCTTCACAACAGCAGCTCTTTTTACTTTTCTTGGTTTAATAGGAGCTTTATTTGCACATGGTGGGACAACCATAGTCTTATTGATCAATATATTTGGATGAGATTGGGCAATACTATCTAAAAACGCATTTTGGGATTGAACTTCTAGTGGAACAGACGCTTTAGGTGGACTATTTGGCCTGAATATTTTTGATGGAACCGCTAAAGGACTTCTGTTATTTGTTCTATTAATTACAGACGTTTGGTAATTCGACAATGTCATGTGATTATCATTTGATTGTGATATAACGGCAGCACACGGTTTTGAAAACTGCATGTTGCTTTGCTGTGGTGACGTCACAATGGTTAAATTTGGCCGGTTTGGCAACATTGGAGTAAATGACTGAGAAACATTTGGGGAAGGTATAGGCGAATTATAGGAGGCAGGACTCTTTGAATTGCTTCTAGAACTATGGGACATAGCTGGGCTACATTGAGGACTTATCACAGATTGAATACTTCTAGGACTATGGGATGATACTGGTATGGTTTTAGACCTTGATATTGAAGTTTGCATTACTCTTTCTGAAGTATGAATTATTGGAGATTGATTTTGCAAATCTACATTTTTATTCATTGTAGAAGAATTAGTTACTATTTGCAATCGGTTTTGTTCTTCATTAAATAAAATATCATTATTTCTTGAAGAATCATTATTAGCTGCTACTAACAGCCGACTATCCATCATGTTAGAAACAAGTTGAATGCTACTATTCTGTTGATGGTCTAAACTTGACACCATTGTACTACTGCTATGCATTACTCGAATACTATTATTTTGCTGCATTAGTTTATTTTGTTGATCTTCTACTGGTGTTGACATGACAAATTGCTGATGATTTTGTCGATTTTCAACACTAACAGGAGTACCAGCAGTGGGAAACATCAAATGTTGGCCATTGATAATATTTTGTTGTAATGATTGAGGTTCTAACACAGTGACAATTTGAAGACGACCAGAAACATCAGCTAAAATACGCATGCCAGAACCATTTTGTGGTTGGGTGGGTAACGTTGCATTGCTTCCTTTCAGAAGCAAAGATTCAGCACCAGCCACACTCAGAACAGCATTTTGAAGAATGTGACCACCATGATCAGCAACTAACTGAGCTAACTGTGTTTGAGCTGCAGCAGCAACACTCGCAGAAACATTCTATAAATTAAAACCAACATTGTTCAGGTTAGTTTAAATATTAACAACCAACCAACAAAAAAATATTTGATCACTGCTTAAATATAGAAAATGGTAAGATAAAATGAATAGTATGAATTGACACATCCACAGACTATCTATGCATCACTGTATACAACTTGTATCGGAAATTAGATGCTAAAAATATAGTTAGTGGTGAAATCGCAAGACACAATCCCACTTTTGTCAAATGCTGACAAGTAATCACTAGGACACCACTGCCTTATCATTTCTACTCTTATACACTTACATCTCAGGAGATGTATCTAGCAAAGAGTATGATGGAGTAGACTGAGTTAGTATAAATATACACAGTAACAATTAGTATAATATTCCAATTTACCTGAGTTAGTGTATTAGTCGTAATCTGTGGTTGATGTACAATCATACGCCCATCTTCTACTAAAGACAAACGAAAACCTCCCTATAACATACATTAAGGAATGAATTTAATTTTTATTTCAAAATAATAACCTAACACACACTGAACATTTACCTGAGATGAAGAAGTAGGAGTTTGCAATTGAGCTAATAAAGGTGCAGACTGATGATGAGATTGTGGAGGGGGGGTAGGAGTTTGCTGTATTCTATTATTTTGATTTAATTGATTTTGTTGCATTGTAGGTGTACCAGATTCTTCTTCATCGATACCTAAACAAAATCAGTATTACATTAGTTATAAAATAAAAAATGTATTTGCTTTCAAAACTAACCAGATAGTTTGATTAGATTTGCAAGGTCTAATCTTACAGGTTCATCATCGTGTGGCCTTGAATGCATTTTCGGTTTCTTTTTTTTAATATTCATTGACCTATTATTTGATGATTGTGTGATAGTGGATTGAGGTGATAATGCAACTAAAGCTGGACCAGAACATGTTTGGATTTGCTGTAATTGAACACTTTGGCCACTTACTAACCTCACAACCTAATATTACAATAGTTATACACATTAAAAAATATTCCTTATAATAATTACAATATTACTAACCTGGTTTGACTGTTGTCTAGGCTGTTGAAGTAAAATTTGAGTACCATTGCAAGTGACTTGAGCTTGTTGGGTATTATGATTTTGAGTATTGGGGGATCTGAGAAAAAGCTGTAGGCCACTAGTTGTTTGTGGACCGACTATTACACCAGCAGTTGGCATAATCTAATTTTAGTAAAAATCAAAGATATTGTAGCATTAAGTACAAATATAATTAATTTGTTCAAGTATATCGTATAAAATTATAAAACAAAAAAATAGAACAATTTACTATGAATTACATAACATAAAAAGAATTTTAATGATTAATAAGATAAAACTTACTTGATTTATCAAGAAAGCACCTTGTTGTTGACTATGTATTGAGGTTGAATGATGTGTTTGTTGAGACTTAATGCTGTTGATACTAGCATGGTTCTGTACATGATTATTAGGTTTAGGTAATATTTGGGGCGGTTTATTTTTTACTTGAACATTATTTACATTATTTCGACTGTTTGACTGAATAAACTGTAAAACCGGCCCATTAGCACTCATCATCTGCACAAAAAAAAATTACAAATTTAATATAGGTTTTAATAATTTGACAACAGTAATTTACCTGATGGATAACTTGTGGTTGGGGTGTAATAACCCTCTGCTGAGGAGAGGGAGTAAGTGATCGAGAAGAGAATGGTGATGAAGGTGATTGTGGTATACATTTTGTGTTTGTGGTGTCCAATATTGCCGTAGCCTGTTGTTGTTGAACCATTGTACCAGATGTGTGCTGCTGGGCACCCATCTTAAAAATTAAATTATTAAATTGTTAATTAATCAAAACTTACAATAAATATTCATATTTTATACAATTATGAATTTGCTACCATCTAAAATCATATTTTAGTTTTAAATGTTAAAACTGAATACCTAAAATTATAAACTGATTATCATTACTAGGTAATTGAGAAATCGTTTGAATAATAATTGATAAATAAAAATTAGTCTTTAACATTTCAAGTATCAAAATATTTTTTGTAGACAGACGTGGACAATTTCTGCAAATTGAGTAGAATAGGAGGATGGTAAGTCTTAAGCAATACTTAGATTTTCTAGGATATATGTCATTGGCATAACATAATACATTAATTTATATATTTACCTGTCGTATGCTTGTTGAGTGAAGAATGTTTGAGTGCTGAACATGTTGATGTAGCACCTGTTGAAAACTCGTATGTTGATGTAACGTTGCACCTTGTTGAGTGGTTACAGTTGGAAAAGTGGTTATTCCTTGTCCTTGAGAACTTGCAATAACTAGTTGAGGTCCCCCTGTGAGTACACCATTATTTCCTGTACCCTGAAAAATAATTAATAATTATTAGTTATAAAACATAACTAAAATTATTGTAATGTTTAAAATATTTACTGTAGTTTGATGATGAAGTGTTAATGTTAACCCTCCTGCAGCAGCTTGTTCTTGTTGTGCTTGTATGTGTTGTAATTGTTGATACTGCATGAAAATTTAAATTTACAAACATTGTAGGTATTATGTTTTTTATCATATTTAGAAGACAAATATTTAAGAAAAACTGAATAACATACCTGATGATGAGTGAGAAGCACTGAACTGGCAGGGCGGCCGTCTAATAGGCCCTGTGGTATAGAATCCACGGTGCCTTCCAGTCTGCAGCACACACCATACATTCAATTACGCTTTAGCCACCTAGAATTGAATTTTATTTGGATTTATTTTTCTCGTTGAATGTTGTCAACTACCTAAAGAGTAAAGGTATTAATTGTTAGTAAGTAAATATATAATTAAAAATATATAACTTAAAATTGCATTATTTAATTACTCATTTCAAAAAAAAAACAAACACATTTAGAACTACCAATATCAATCCAACAGTACCTCCTATCAATTGACTTGGTTTGTAGAAATAATTATGAATAGGGCAAAGAACTTAATTCACGTAAAAAGTACTAAATATGTACTTATGAGCTTAAAATAGTACGAATATGCTTTAAAAATATGCACCAATTGTTTTTTTTACGAACAGTTTTCAAACATAGTTAATTAAAAAATGTATACTTATATTGACTAAATATTTATAAATAAAAATGAGAAATTGATTTTATCTAAGAATTTAAAAAAAACGCCATACAATAATACCTAGTGAAAACTCTCAAAACATAGTATAAATATATCATAAATTATGCTCTAAAAATTGTAAAATTGAGAAATATAATCATGAAACTATAAAACCACTAAATATGCAAAAAAAAATGCAGTGGGTATTAAATTTTTAATATTTTCTGTATGAAATGTAGTGAAATTAATTTCAAGCTTATTTTCCAATAAACGAAGGAAATAGCTCAAAAACAAACATGCAAATGCAACAACTTCCGAGGTATAGTTATATATTAATATAACTCAGAGTATATCTACCCATGTAGTTATTTACAAATATTCAGTTTATCAGCTACTTTCTTTATGGAACAATTCAAATTCAATCTAAGACACCTATGATGTAAGATAATGATTTAAATATTTGGTCAGCCACAACTTATACTATGATAGTAAACTGAGAAATATTTTAAAAGTTCAAAGCAAAATTCAGGATATGAATTGACAGTTGAAAATATGAGACTACTTTGAAATCTGCATAAACATAATATATACATAAAAGAAAAATGTTTTAAACAGATAGGATGACAATTATTGTCGTACAGAAACCATTGTATGTACATGTACACTTGAAAAAAACCAAAGAATAACGATTGGCAACAACTCTATATAAACTAGCATGTACGATTCAAAAAAAAATGATTTTTAGTTGTAACCTTAAGAGGGTACATGGACGTGAAACACCAACAAGACGACTGCCCGCCAAGGGCGTCCACACGATTCGTACTTCCGACTTCCGAGTCAATCGCGATTTAGGTATCGAATCTATGGCCAAGACGCAATCGTTCATCAAACAATCGTACGGATCGCTCGTGCCGAAAATGCGTGTAGCGTCTCTCTAGTTTTGGTCTAACGGCCGCGGAATGTTTGAAAAAAAAACCGAAAACGATCGAGTTCAAACGTCCGGTCGTAATCGACGAGCTACTGCGGTCACGGACAACAACGATGACATTTAAGGTTTGTAATCGAATAATAACGATGTGACGGGAACACGCACGTAGCACTTTATCAGCGGCGTCGTTGTTGACAAAACAAAAACGGCCGGCCGGAAGGTATTGACTTCCGAACACGTACTGAAACGCGCGCGAGATACGTTTCTCTGTTGGTCGGGATCGAAGAGCCGTGCGAGAGCGTGTACCGGTGTGACTTAATGCAGTCTGCAGAAGATCTGCGCACACAAACGCACGTCGTAACGATAATATTACGTCCAATTATATTACCTATGTTATTAATAGGCTCGACGGATAGCGCATAGGTACGTTTATTATTACTATCGTTGTTATTGTTTTTGTTGTTGCGGTAGGTATATTATTATTTGTTGTTATTACTTGTTGTTGTCAATGCAAAGGATGTGATTATTTTTCGTTCGGTTTTTGCGGCGAACAGTGATATTATTTCGCACTCTCGCCGTTTCGCGCACGACGCCAGCAGCAGTGTCCGGCGATCCGATTCCGTTACATAATAATAATAATAATAATAACAACAACGACGACGACGACGACGGCGACGATCGCGATAATTCGATGGCGGCTCGCGGCACTAATGTCGCGGTAGCTCGGACAATAACATCGCCGTCGCACAACGATACACGGACGGCAATTAGCGTGGCCGATAACAACAACATAACATGATATTCACAATAAACACAACGACGCGCGATACGTATTTCGGGCACTACTACATTATCCGTCGTCGGCGGCACGGCCACATAATTGATGATGAGCGTGTGTGTGTGTGCGCGCGCGCGCGTGTGTGTGCGCCCTGTGCGTGTGCGAGTAGCTCGCGCCCGATCGTGCGTGTGTAAGTGTGCGCGTGCGTGCGCTATCGCTATCGCGCGGCGCCGTAGTAGGGTTACTGGCGGCCGCGTTTGTGTGCGAGCGCGCGCGGCGCCCCCCTCGCCATCTGCGTGTGCCGTGTGCCTGTGTGCGTGTGTACACAAACAACAAAAATCGAACGGCCATTTTATTGTTTTGCAAACGACGACAACGCACGAAAGGATAAACCTGCTGCTGCTGCCGCCGCCGCCGCTACAGATCCGTCATCCCATAAAACTGCCAGTGTTGCCAAAACAGTTTATAAAACCCGTCCGATCGCGGACGATCCGTCACCGCCGTTCGCGCCCCACGGTCGTTGTTGCCGCGCAGTCTCGCCTATACAGTCTGTTGTCTACACATTGTTATTAATATTCCGATACCTAGTCCGTCTGTACTCTGTAGTTGTGTTTAGTGTTTACGAGTTTACAACAGCGCCAACAACAACAAAGACGACGATAATAAATCATATCACCGTGCACTACGTCCGCCGCTATCACGATTTGACATGTTTCTCGTTGTTATACCTGCTACACGTCTTTTATCGTTTTTATTACTGCGATATTGCAATATTAAATAATACTTTCGTCTCGTTGAACATTTTGTAATTCGCGGGTGTTTACTCAATTAGTCCACCACAGCGGATTTTAAATAATAGTTATTAGTTTTATTTGTCAGCGTTTAGTATTTTTTCTATTCTAATGAACGATCATTATCATTTTGCGTTTTTGCGTTAGAATTGTATTGTTTATTATTTTTTATCAATAAACTTATCCAGTCTTATTGGAAAAATAATACATAAAAACGTAGGTAAAACACCCACAAGTGATATGTCATAGCAATGTAGCATAAATATTATGTAGGTACATCATATTTATTTAATATTTTTCCGTAGTTACATAGATAATAAATAATATTTCCTTTTCACACAATTTAGTAAAAAATTAAAAAATGAGTATACTGTGGAAAAGGTAGTAATTATAGACTTGGCCATTATCAGGTTTGAAGCAGTAAGACTATAATATTATTTATGATAGAAATAACGAAGTAATTAGGGGAAGGTCCCTCGGGATTTTGAGCTACGAAAGTCAATAATAATATTCTCAGGAAGTGCATTAATTATTTCATACAGCGTACTATTGATTACAGTCGAATGTCGACTAATGGAATAAAATTAATTTAAAAACATGATAGGTACTTGCATTGGCGTCCAAACACTCCAAACCCATATCGTTTCGCATCAATACAATATTAGGTATATCCTACGAAGTCGCTTACTGTACCCAATTCCCAAACCCATTCAATTACTCAGTTTACAGGCTCGGTTCAAGGGGTATGTGACATTTATGCTGACGCCTAGGGTGACATTTTCAAAACAGTAGTAGTACTGTTTCAAGGCAGCAACATTTATGAACAACTGTGTCATTGAGTAACAAATAATACGTATTCTTGTTCTACAAAAACTAAAGAAAAACAATTAACTGCTACGGCACTGCCATTAGTGATTACAAGAAACAAAAAAAATTAAGAACTAGCTCTGCTGCATAGTAGATTTTGAGTGCACTCGTCAATCGTCATTGAATAGATCACTGACCACAGTAATGGTCAATAAATAATTTGTTGAGTACGAACTAAAATTGTTCAATTAGTATTTCTGTTTGAATAAAAAAACCTTTGAAGTCGCTCTACTCCATATAACTATATAAGTAGGCATACGCGTAAGTAGAAGGGGACTAATTTAGCCACCATGTCATAATTCCTTTACTCCTACCAACGGCTGATAGCTAATAACAACATTTATAAATTTTAATTTAAAAAATCGTTTTATTTTTTTATCAACATCTGGTAAATCGTTTTATTTTTTTTATAAACATCTGGGACATTGTTTTTAATGTATTTGATGAACTTGTGTATGACGTATCATGTCATGTAGTTTTTACTACATACTTAAAAGTTATCAATAAAGTAAACACAAAAATACTCGTCCCCCAAAAGTATAAACTTGTGATTTTATTAATTATTAGCGCTGCACGCTGGTGTAATTATCGGCATACGGGCATAATGTAAACGATAGACCTATAGTCTTACGAACTGACTACTGCAAATGATCGATCGATGAGCGTCTATTATTAATTTGTACTATTCGAATGCGATAATGCAATATTTATATTATTAATACAATAGTTAATAATTATGCGGTTTACCTTTTTTTTTAGATATTGAACACATATCCGCGGCGGAATACGCTCGGCAGATACGGCCAGGCCCGGATTAACACTATCGTAGGCTCTAGGCACAGTGTTTTATTACCCATGTGCTAATACGGTCCTATAGTGTTCAGTATTTAAATGATTATGGAACCTTATGTTAGGGAGAGGTAGTGTTGAATCTCAGTGTTTTAGCCTTTAAAAACGAAAATATTTACAACATGAAAATCAAATATTAACTTTTATAATTATAACTTTATCTGATAACAATTTTAACACATCCAAAAATACATTTTATTTTACTCAAATTACTTTTATTTAAAATTAAATTACCAAAAATCATAAAAAGCAACTTATTTTATACCATTTTGCATATTCTTCCTGGCCGACCGATCATGTATTCATGTCCCCGCATGTCCGCATAAAATTCTTATTATTCTTATTATTATCATGCAATATATTGAAAATTGATGAATAAGGCTTCCGTAGTTGATGTATTTTGCATTTTTTTTTTAAACTTTTTAGATGATGCTCACCTGGCCACAAATGTTTTTCATTAGCATCTGAATCTAAATAAATAATTTTTATTTTGCATTTTTTGGTGTTTATTAGTCATGTTTATTAGTTTTTATTAGTATTACTTTTTAAGTCATTTTTTGAAATTTTTAGGTCATTTTCCTACATTTTTAGTCATTTTCACTTCTTATCGTTTCTTGTCTATGCATTATCTCAAAATTCTCTAATTATACAATGCAATGATTTTTGTGTAATTTGTAATGTTTGATAAATTTATAAAACAAATATTTTTTTATTTTTTATTTTATATTTGAGGACATTATTTGTAATTTTTATGTCATATTTTGAGCAATTTGTAAGCTTTGACAAATGTTTATAGAATTTTATAGTAAAATAGAGTAAAATATTTAAAAAAATGTACTTGTATAAATTTAAAACCAATATTTGTAATTTTTTAAGGACATTTTTTGTCATTTTTGCATTTTTTTAGGTCATTTTTTGATGTTTTTAAGGTCATCAACTTCCGAGCCCTATTGATGAATGATGTGTGTGCATGTGTGTCCGCTGTCGATAATTATTATTTATATTCCGTAAAAGATATTATTTTCATATTATTTCCTAAAAATATACTCAGACTAAATACTCTAAACAGTAATCGTGGTTTCATTCGTGGATATATATATATATATATCGTGGATCATACCAACATTCATACACAATCGTTTGCCCGTTACCGTATGCATTTTATCGGTTTATGGTTTATCCAATCTGATTTCAATAAGTAATTATTACGAATTACGATAACGAACATTGAGTGTAAATATAAAATATAAATAAAATAAAAAAAAAAAATTACAGAAAAATCGTAGCCATACATTTCATTTTCGTAGGCCCTAAAATGTTCGTAGGCCTTTTGGCACAGTGCCCCTAGTGCCTGTGCCCTAATACGGCCCTGGATACGCATTCTATAGTTAGTCCGTCGGAAAACGCCGTGTATAGCCCCAGCCTTAATGTGATAACGACTAACGAGTAACAAGACAACGATCGCCGTGCCTGCCGACCGCTTATAGGGGTCTTACTAAAAACAGAATTAGATTTTATACTAATTTATTATATTATCGTCGTCCTTCAATCTTAATAACTACAACGGTTGTGTACTCGTGTACTTCGTATTCTGGTCGACATCGTTATTATTATTATAATAATTAATAAATTAGTTAAATTTTAATTTCAGGATTTCAGGATTTATTATATTAATGAAATTGAATTAAAATCAGAAATTTGAATTGGATAATTAATTGTTAGAAAAGATTTACATTTATCAAAGGATTAAAAAGTGGCTAAAGAATATTGTTCAAAAATCTGTTTTCCAAATTTTTATGAAATGCTACATTTATCACTTTCTATACCGAACAAGTTCTGCATCTAGTGAGAACATTTTCAACAATGCCAGATCTATTCCCTCAGTTTATTACGGCTATTGAAAGAAATCTCTTCATCAAATGGTCTAAATAAAGAAGACACTTTAAAAAGATTTACTTATACCAACTGAACGCTTAAACTGTATTGACTATTGACTAAAGTGTATTATTATAATGTTAGTATGTTACCCATATAAATTCTTTAGCTTTCACTTATATTTTAAGAAAATTAAATTATAAAATAATATATTTTAATAATTTAATGTTTACTTCCTCTTTCCCCTTTTTTAAGATTCATGCTGTACACACCCTATAATAATAAAATAAAATATTCATCAAACATATTTTATTTTAATTTAAGTAACGTGTTTTAGGGGTGTAGGGTGGAGCCTCCTCCCAACTTAATTTACTTATTATAAAAATGCTATAGGGCTGAAGCCCCACCCTATCTTTAAGGTCATGTTACGCCTATTTAAGTAGGTATTTTATTTACGATTTTTAGTTTGATTTCAATGATAAATCATTGTATACGGTGAAAACAGATTGATTAATACTTAATACCGCAGAACATAGGTGTATCAGACCTTGGTTATTTGTTTTTTTTTTTTGTAAGAAGCGGGTGTACCAAAATAAGTCATGTGGCCGTGTGGCTCTTTGCCCCCAAATCTGTCACAGTAACATTCACACTCATACAGAAACACCTAAAAACTTGTAGACATTTTTATACATGACTAAATTAGCTGTTTCTATTTTCTATCAAACATAATACATTAATTATTTCATTGGCTGTGTCAAATTACAATAACAATAGGATACACATTACAAACAATACAAACCATTCAAATCTTAGATCATATATTATGCTACCTATGGCATATAAATCCGCTACCATAGTCAGTGGCGTGCCCAAGGGGAGGGGGAGGTTAGGGGTTATATCCCCCCCATTGACTTTTTTTTGTTGACTTCAACTTATTTAATTATTTTATATTAATTTAAATGTACTTTTACCAAAACATTTATAACATATATCCCCCCTGCCATTGAAATTTCCTGGGCACACCACTGGCAATCACTACGTATCGTCTGCTCGACAAATGTTTGCTTGACGTCACGCGCGTACTGTTGTACAGATACCGTGACCACCCATCCAAAGGCGGTTTCCTGATAAATAAGTCCGTTCACCATTGGTTTATATTGACCGGCACAAAGCGTATCAAAAAATACTTCAGCGCCTAATAGCAAATCAATTTCTCCGGGCTTTGCGTACGCGGGATCTGCGAACTTTATAATATGTTCCGATATTGTGTACGAGTTGTTCAAATATATTGGACTGGTCGGTAATTTGGACGTTATCTTTGGAAATGTCATAAAGTTGATTGACCTCGTATATGCGCCGGAGCGCGATCTCACTTCCACAGTGACTACGTGTGATACCCGGCATTCGGCCGAATTCACTCCAGAAATAGCGCAATCAAATTTATATTTCGTGAGTAGCAATTTATTTGCTAAATTGTTCGTGATGAAATTACCTTGAGAAGCAGAATTGAGTAACATGCGAGCTAAAAATGATTCGTTCGAATTACTATAATTTTTTATTATTGCCGTAGATAACAAAACCTAATTACCCGATGCGCTAGCTGCAAGTGCATTTATCGATGTAGATGGTGCAGTTTCGACGTTTTGTTCAGTAGCGTTTTCGTGCAAGAGAGTGTTGTGGTGTTCTTTACATTTTCGACACCCTTTTGACTTACACTTATTATTTTCTTTATGCTTTGATAAACAATTAGTACACAATTTTAATTTGATAACATTTTCACGTCTCTCTAGCGTTGCTAGATCTAAAAATTGTTTACATTTATAAATTGCACGAGGCTCTTCGCAGAAATAGCATTTGAATTTTACTACCGTAGTGTGGGAAAATAATGTCTGGTTTTTATTCTTAATGACTTTTGCGACAGCTCGTTTCCAAATCCGTGTAAGCTTTGAGCATTTTCGATCAATTCTAAGATTCGGTCTTTAAAAATGTTATCAATTCTTCGACCTTCGGGACTCCGTAATTTCCCGTAATGTGGCCTTGGCGAACTTTATTGAGATAATATTTAATAACATCAGGCCCCACGACATAGGGTTGTAGCTGATCACTTCTAGTGCCTTTATGTGGCCGAGCAGCTTGTCGACGAACTACCTCAATCTTTTTAATGATTCTTCTGTTATGCTTTCTAAGTCAAAAATCGCCTTTGGATGAGCTTTTACCATGATTCGTTTGTTATTGAATCGTTCGTTTAAACAATCCAACCCAATTTGATTGTTGTTTGCGGATGTTTCAAAGCATTTTACAACTTCGGCTGCGTCTCCAGACAGTGAGCCCTTAAGGTAGAATAACTTTTGAACTTCTGTTAAAGCTTCATTCGAATGTATAAGCGCTTATGAATATATCGTTAAAGGTTAAGCATTCCTTATAGTTATCACTAAACTCGGGTACGTTTAGCGCTACTAACTTTACTATTGACACTTGATGACTGCTGGATGTACTTCCCGGTCTTTCACTGTTACTGTTGCTAGTTATATTCTGGTTCACGTTATAACCGGCTTTAGATAACATTTTTCCGCTGTCTGCGATAGCTTGAAAATACAAATCTTTGAATTCAAAACGATAGTGTTCATCGGCTGTAGCAGTTGCTTCATCTGTGACTATGATGTCTATAGTGGACTGTATATTTTGAAATTCATCCCAAATTCCCAACATTCTTCAATTTTTTGTTTTCTTACGTGAATTTGCGATACGTAGAAATCTTGTAAGAATTTTAGGAATTTTGTGAAACTGCCTTTTAATGTGCCGCTCCGTATCGATGGATTGGGTCGTCCGACATATTCGTGGATACACTGATAATTGGCTTATACCTGAACTATTATCTGCCTTTATTATCGTACAGTTTGCGCTGTTGCGCTCAAATTCCACTTGATTATGCTGATATCGTTAATTTTTATTTCCGTGCAATTATCGGGAATTTTATTTTTCTGTTATTGGTATGGCTTGAGGGAAAAAGGAAGGAAAAAGTTATAATGTGACTCTCTTACCTTAAATTCTGTACAATTCCTGCATATTCTCCAATGATAGCTGCCGACTAGCCGTGCCTCGAATTATGGTGGTTTCTTCATCAATGTTGTCCTTGTTCTGTTATGAGCGTTGATGTCCTGACTCTTTGAACTGGTGGAAATGAACTCGGACTGTTTTAAACGCACTCGAAACACTTTACAAGTTCACCGTGTGCATTTTTCGATGTACTTGCTGCTATTTAGCATTTACAATTTATGCGGACGAATGGACCAAATGTTGGGGTCGAGGAGAATATTTTATAAAATTCGTACTTCGGTGTAAATTATGTTATTTCGTTTATTGATTATAATAAATAACCGTAATGTAATGCGCCGAGCGGTGTCGGCTGTTCGATAGCTACGACGCTACAAGCAAGTTATTCTAAGTGACACAAGACGTCTGAGTGACGTCTTATCTTTATCTTAATTGCAGTACGGGTCTACCAGATATTATTTAGTTTTGCCGGCTCCTACAGTAGGTTGAAATTCCTGATATAATACATTTGAATGTTGGGATAAAACACAACATCATCTTCAATAACAAACACATAAAATAAAAACGCTAAGAGAAGCAAACGATTATCTAAAATGGGCAGATATTCCTTCTCTTTAAACATATACACTGATTCTGCCCCAACGAATAATAGTGAAAACCTCCAAATAGTGAACGTATTTTTAAGACCAAACTACAAACCTTTTACAGAAGGAATCCTCTGAATAATGGATACAACTGCAATGAAAGCAAGTGTCCGGTAATAAGTTATTTCACTTTTTTAGTTCTATTTTCAAATATTTAAATTCCCTATCATCAACATATTTTGTAAGAATATTTTTGATATTACGATTTTTAGTTATTCGGGTGATGGAATAACGATTGTATATCAGGATGGGTAATGAAAATTCATCAAAAATGCATGCACACCAATTTTAAATTTTAATATTGACTCATGATGCACATGGCCTCGCTGTATATAAAGTATAAACTGCAAATATAATTTAATCTAATGGTTTTNCCCCCCCCCCCCCGATTGAAATTTCCTGGGCACGCCACTGACCATAGTACCATACTAGTATAATATGATCTAAGGTTGAAATAATAACATGTGAAAACATCAATCTTTAATATTCATCAATTGATAAGTTAACACAATTTACGAGCTGTTTCGGGAATATATAACGTTTTCCGCGGTCGACAAATACCTAAGTACTATATGGTTTGGTTAATTATGCATAAATCAATAATTAACAACTTATAGTAAGAACCTTAGTGCCAGCGATTTCCAAACTTTGCACTGTGGTCTGCGGTGCCCTAAGGGCACATTCCGAGACACCATGACTCATAAAAAATTATTTATAATTTATTGTAATTATTGTTTATTTCAAATTGAATCTTGTCAAAAAAGTATATTTCGTGTATTCTGATTCGGACTGATCGAATCAACTGACTATCAACAAGACTAAGTGTTGTTTTATGTATTATTTTCGAGATATTTACAGCGGAGGACCTTGGGTAAATTTTATCGAAAAAAGAGCACCACCGAAAAAAAATTTTTCATGTTATAAACAATTTAAACCTATATGTACCTGCTTGTAAATTAATAAACAACAAAACATACATATTTAATACATTTCAAAACCACAAACAATTATAATTTATATTACAAAATGTAATTTCTTTTTTTTTACGTCAATTCATCAATCAATTCTTCAGCACTAATTGGAATATTTGATAAGTATATGTGGTTATGTGGTGTGTCCATAAATCCATAATTGTCTATAATAATACAAAATGAATAATATTTTAGTTTAAATGCTTAAAATCTATTTGAGCATTATGTTATTATTTCTTAAAACTTTTTCTAATTTATGAAAATGTATTATTAGCCACACAGACATGCAGGCGTCATAATATTATATTTATGAAATAAATTATTGATTTCTGAATACTGATTAGTCATTTGTGTAATAGTGTACCGTCTGTTGGATGGGACAGTGACAAAATAAAAATTTACAAGAATCCATAGCCATTTTTTTTTGTTTCTTTGTAATGCCCTAAGCCCCTAACACTATAAGAACATTATTTTATAAAATGTTTAAATAAGGCCTATGGGAGGTCTGACCCCCTCTTTACACAATTGTATTCGCCCCTGAACGTTCAAACATTGCCAACGGTAAATGGAAAAAAAAATTTTGTATAATATTATAAAAATTTTTTATGTAACTTATAGTTTTAGGTCATTTTCTCATTTGTAAATTGTATGGCAGTTGTATTGGCTAGAAAAAGTAGTTGTGTTAAAATATACCCTGCCACCTCACCAAATAGCACTTCTGGGAAAAAAAACTAAAATATCAAAGCCTATAGGCTATAAATAGCTTAAAATTGGTCTGAATATATTGAAAATATAATTGTTTACAAAAAATTGTTTGATGAGAAACCACTGTTTCACACATACTCGTATTTCATGCTTGTATCTAATGTTGCGTTAAAATTTATACGCTTATATAGGTACAAAATATCTTGTAACTTTGTACTTATGATAGTTTTCATTTATGGCAAGAACAATTTATGAAGAATTGAGGAAGCTTGTATTATACATGTTTACATTTTCAAGCTTTAACAAAAATGTCATCATACAAAAATCTAAAAAAAAAGTTGAAAATGTGAAACTTCTATGTCATTTACATTAAACAGCCAACATATTTTGAAAATTATATCATGAGTAGAAAATACTATTATAAATATTTGGTGAAAATTTCTAGTGGTTTCTACAGTTAAAGTAATTTATAAATTATCATATAACAGTAAACCCGATCCTATATAATATGTTCGTTTGACTCAATCGTACTCTTGTATATCTACTTAAGTTTATTAATTCCATTCATAAAATGAAACATCTATTTTGTGAAACGATTTTCTATATTACGTTTTATGAGTACACTATAACTATAGGTACTATCGTTTTTGGAAACTTCTAGGGATATTACTCTATTGACTTTCCGAAGCACCAACTAGATTCACTTTCCCATTGGCAAACATATTGAAGTTAAAAAAAGCATACCTCTTTAAATCAATACATTCATCGCTCTCCGTCCAAAGTTTTAAAAAATGTTCTACTGGAAAGTCAAATTAAATAATGAGTGTTATTGAATTTTTTTGACATTGGATATTCACTCGATTTCTCATGCACCGATTTTCTTATTTTGTTGTGATCCAAAACAAAATGATTGTAGGTATTTTATATTTACCCTAATGTAAAACCTCTTAAAGAGGCGAATAAAATGAGTATTTTTGGTATTCATTGTTTATTTGTAAAAGCTGTTTTCCGGGACCTTTGGAATATTTTGCTTAGGGCCTCCCAAAACCTAGGGATGGGATTACATTTCTCACCATGCCATTATAGTCCATAGACAGTACCCATTGGGTAATACATTGCTCTTCAGATATAATTTGATGTATTGAATTATAAATAAACTGCTTGTAATATCTTCCGTAGAACTTTTCTAAGCGGAGCTTCAGTGTTATTTACAAAAATATTTGAACGAAACTGATGTAACACTGTTTTTTTCTCGTAATGTAACGTATATTTTTCAATAAAAACATTATGAAATATTTATTAACCCTGTAAACATTTCTTTTTCCACTCAGAATCTAATGTATAGACTGCAATAATTACACGTATATTTTGTTGTAGGTATACATAATATTATCATAATATGTGTGTATTTTTTTCAGTTTATTGGTTGTCAACAGAGACAAATGATCATCAATTTGTATATATCAAAAATGACCGAGCAAGCCACACTGCCAGTTGAACGACACCTTAAATACATAGACCAAATCGATGTCCCAAGAAATCGGAATTGGTCAACGCACAATTACAACGACTTTATCCAAATATCGGAGAAAAGGTACGATTTCTTCTCCTAATAGAAAAAAAGTAAGACGAAAAATTAACCGAAAAAGTTAATGAATTTGACAAAAATGCTATTCGACGAAAAATACACGATTTTTGGCATCAAAGAGAAATTCCAACTTTTGAAAAAATTATGATATCAATCAACGACGATCCTGGCTTGTTAAATTTTTCACGCTCATCGTTGAAATTATTATTAAAAGATTTAAATTTCGTATACACTAAAATAAAACGAAATAATGCTTTAACCGAAAGAGGTGATATAGTCTGGTGGAGACCACGATATCTTAAATCGTGGTGGAGACTAAAGTACTTGGAATCTATAAGATATTATTAATAATTAATAAGTATTAAAGTCTATGATGATACCACGATTCTCACACCATTTATGATAACACGTTATCTAATCACACGAATGATTATAACAGTCAACCATAAATTTATCATATTCGATATTTATTCTATAACAGCAAAATATCTTAATATTTTTTACCGTAGTGGTGCGGTGCCCAGAATCCAGATATAGTATAGGATAATCGACATTCATTAAAAAATTATATGAAATTTTAAAATATTTTAACGTTTATTATCAATATAATGTTCCGTGGTTTTAGAAGTTAGAGTATCTTCCAGTATCTCGGTATTCAGTGTTTACATGTCACTATCACAAATTATTCACCGCCATTTAATATTTACAAAATACTAATGACTATTATAGGTAATGGCACAGATAAAAGATTAAATGGTTAATTGATTTCCATAATCCACGGCCTACTCGTGTTTAGTGCTGTTAATGTTATTTGTTTCGCTTTTGGGCGTTATGGATAAAACGTGTGCTACTTCCAGTTTTAAATGTCATAATTGTTTCGTTGTCACCCTCAGGGATTCTACGTGAGTACATCTATTTTTCGTAAATCTTCGGATTTCCAGAAGCTTACCTAGTATCAATGTATTAAATATTTTAATTATGTTTTTTTAGTAATTTTTTAACAAATAATTTATTTTGTTCATTTTGCTTTTAACTTTCTAAAAATGTACATCTAATTATCATTAATATTTTTACTATTATCTAAAAATCAAAAATTTGGTTGAATCAAAAAATAAAAAATAAACATTAAAGCTGTAAAGTATTATTTAATATTTATATTATATACATTGTGATTCACTAGGCATGCTCAACACCTTAATTATAAATTTGTTTAAATTCTGATTTTGAGAATTTTCAATTTTAATTAAGAACCAGATTTTCAAATATTTAAATTTTTTATTCCATTTTAAAAGAGTGTCATGTGGTGATGCCAAATTATTTTTCTGCAAATTGTCAAGCAGATGACTTGATCATTTTTATGTATCTAAATTGAAATTTGAATGATTAGTTTTTGAAATAATAAACTATAATTAACCGTATATTAACTACTTGTTATATTCTATAAAATTACTAAGTATAATACATCTGTTAGTAGGTTTGGAAATTATAAGGGCATGTTGGTTTCAAAACTATAATAATTAATATGCAACAACATTTAATAATTTGTAAAAACTTGTCTGAGTATAATAAATACTAGATTCAATATGACAACATTGATCTTATATACAGTGAAAACTCTTTATAACGAAACTCTTTACAACGAAAAACTCTATATAACGTAAACATTACATAATAATGGTTGGTTTGCTATATAACCCATTAGATAGTTCATTCTCTATTACGTATTAGTCACTCTCAATAACGAAACAATATTTTATGTTTCATAATACAATTTACGTGTTATCGTATCTATTACATATATAAACTATAAAAATAATCGGCAATAATGCCGAGATTTCCAAGAACGATTACATTCTTTCATTATTTTTAAAAATAATGATGTGTTTGATTTATAATATTACATAGGTACATACCTTTATCCATAAATAATTAAAATTTTGTTTTTTTTAAACCCTCTCTATTACGAAAACTCTCTATAACGAAAGAAATCTCTTGGTCCCTTCAGATTCGTTATAAAGAGTTTTGACTGTATTTAATTATTTATAACTTAAACAATTCTAGTTAGCTCCCAGTGATTTTTTTTTTTAATTGTTATAGTCAAATATACACCCAACTAATGAATTGTCATGAATTGTCTAAAGCTCGTGTAACCCATTGCACCACAATATTTCAATACCTAATTCAATCAGCCATAACTCCTAAACCAAGTCAGACCAACAAATTCTATAGTAGCACCTTAATTTGATCATCAAAAGCTTCATAGGAATAAATAAAAAAAAATTTAAAAATTGCATGAGAGCTAAACAATTTTATGCCAATTTATTTGCTTAATATTTTACAGTGAAACAGATTGATTCTCAATTGAAAAAATAGTGTATATAGCTACAGGCAGTGGTGGTGGAAACATTTATAAACTATGATGCACACCATATATTTCAGTACCTGCCCACTCTTTATCCCGTTAATATAATACCTATATAATGTATATAATTTTTATATGACTAAATATTTTAATTCTTGTTTCATGTTATTGTTTTTATTGGTTACTTAAATGAATCTAACCATACCACCCTCCGAAAAAATATCCACCATGAGGCCTAAGCGCCATAAAACCCTATTTACCACACCACTGGCTACAAGACAGTGTTTCATTGGTATAATAAAAATTAAATGATTGAAAATAATGTCAAGTAGGTATACACCATAAATTTCAAGTAAAAATTAATATAAATGCATTATTAAAAGAAATATAAAGGTGAATATGCTTGATGTATCACCCTATGTTTAAATATTAAATTAGTGATGTACGTATAGAAAAATATATTTTATCTCTATTTTAGTTAAATGGAAATGCAGGTATAAATGTAAATAGAGCCAATTAAGGTCATATACATCCCATACGTTTAAAAAAATACTTAACAATATATCTACATAATTAGTTGTTATTGATGTATAGTAAGTTTTATGTTTATGCCGTCAATAATTTATCATTGACGTCATGTATACATTTATGTCCTTGAAATTTGAGTTTATCTTATCTATACTCTATAATAGTTTTATTACTTATAACACAGCTATCCTGTTCAATATAATGACTTGGCACTACTTAAACAAAATTTCTGTTTCTGTGTTGTAAGGTAAAATGTTTATATTTTAATTTTAACTAGTTATTAACAATATTATTTTTATATATGTAATTAAATTATTTTTTAAATATAGATTGAAGTATTGGTGTGTACTTCTGTTACTTTAAATTTAATGGTTATCAAAAAATAAAGATTTAAAAAACTAAAAATGCACTGAAAAAAAAATATATTAAAATAACTTAATTAAAACTAGCTATATTTATATTTAAAATATTCTGTTTCAATTGTAGTTAATACATTTATACCTATACTACCTTATATAATTGTGGAAAGAGCTAACTTAATGTTAGTAATCATTGTGATAATAAATAGTAGGCTTTTAAAATATTTTCATATAACTGTTTTTCATTTTACTCTATATACCTATATTTTCTGATTCTGAATTTAATATTTACCATCTACATAACTATCTTAAGGTAGAACCCAGAATAATACCACTATAAAAGGGTTTGGTTTTCACCTTTTTTACACTTCAGTCTTTCAGTCTGTATAGATTGTATTAAATGAAAATAATGAAAATAATTTTATTTTATTTTTTTAGAATTTTGTTGGTAAAAAATACTCCCGGTTACAATAGTTATTCACAAAATGGATAGTACAAAAAGCAAATGTGTTTTGTTAACTGGTGGCGCAGGGTATGTTGGTAGCCATACTATTATACCTTTAATTGAATCCGGGTATGAGGTGGTGGTCTTAGATAATTTGTCAAATGCATGTAAAGGTATGTTATACTACATTTTATTAATATGTGTCAAACTATATAACGAGAATTTTTATTTTTATTTTTATCTTGTCAAATTTTAATAATAGGTACAGATTCGTTCTTAAAAATATTATTTATGCAGTTATATAATATTAATCATAATTATATTTTTTTAATAATGGAACCTTTTTTATGGTTTGTTATTAGTTTATTGCATTGTTTAAATCATACTAAGACATTAATTGTGACAAAAAAAAAATGATTATTTAATAGGTAATTTAAATCTTAAATTATTATTATTATAATGTATCTAACAAATCAATTAACACATTTGCTATAATATGCGAATACGCCAAATGCAATAAAAGTAGATTTTATAGTTTTTAAATTAAATTTATACTAAGTATTTAAAACTTTATTATAACATTTTCATTTCCCAATAAAATATAATATTTAAATAAGTGAATATCTATATGGTTATATTAGTCATATACCCATATATTTCCAACAATCGGGTAAGCTGTAAGCATCAGAATGGAGTCAATTATAACTATTTTTCATGCTTTTACATCTAATCTAATTTCTAAACTATACTATTATTTATTATGCTTGCTCTTAATTTGTATATTGTATCTAAATCATGTGGATTTAGTGTGTGGAAAATTCATATTTATAATTAATGAATGATATTGATAGTGATAAACATCATTCATTTATTTTTTCAAATAGAATGTGAACAAAATTCATATTCGAAGAGAACTTATATGATTTCAAGCTGTTCAAATCATTTACATTTTTGTTCTATTGCAAGTTCACTTTTACATATTGATTTAGTTACTTGAATGAGTTCAGTGTTTTAGTGAATTTTCCCAACGCTGATTCACAAAATTCTAAATATAACTAACAATTTGTTGTATCCTATTTTAAATGTTTATTTAAAAAATGTTTTTTAAACATTATTAATATAGGAAATGAAGGAGAAAATCCAGTTCCTATTTCGCAAGTTGAAAAATTAGTTGGGAAGCCTGTCACTTTCTATAACGTTGATCTCTTGGATTACGATTCACTCTCCAAAGTATTTGATAAGGTTAGTTTTTTTATGGCATCAACTGCATGGTTATTAGTCAATTTTTACTGTATGGAGAATGTATGTAGAAAAAATTTATCACTAAGAACCTGGGTGGTTACCCATCTGGGAACTAGTGACAATGGCTGGTTCTGGCACTCGGAAGACATATGTAACCGAAGCCAAAAACTATGCCATTCCAAGCCGTTTAATGTTTCATTAATTCATTTTATCTATTACTTTATAAACCTAACTAATTATTGTTACTTATGTAGAAAGAGTAAAACCATTTTTAATATTCTCACTACATATCAGAATTAATTTTTAAATTTCTTATTTCTAAGATACAAATTCATTTTGATGTTAAATTACGAACAGTAAAAGTTGGTTTTATATTTAAGCTGTTTGCCTTTGTTTGTCATTTATTTATTTATTGGAATATAAATGGCAAATACCAAACAATGTGGTAAAGAAATATAATACTTAAGATAAACAGTTGTAGAAGAGTATAGATAAATAATATATAAATACAAAAATATAGGTAATCATGGGGTATCAGTCCTGAGCATGTGGGAATGGAAGTGGCTATAGCCAAAGGTGGGCATTAACTAGTTAAAAAGTTAATTTTTTTTTACTTTTTAACTTAATTTGTCTTCTACTAAAAGCCTTACCTTGTCGTTGCAAATCTGGTTCTCTATTCCTCTGTGTTAATAGCCAGTCTTTTCATGTCCACATATCTGTTGCAGTCAGTTTGTCTTATCATTTCTCCAATACATACCTTCCTGTCTGCCTCTCCCTTTGGGTCCATTTATTTGACTTTCAAATATATTTGTCATAAACGAAGTATGCCTCAGCAGGTTACCGAAAATTCTTCTACTTCTTTCCTTTATGATGTTATACATAATTTTTTTTGTCCCTACTTGGTTTAATACATCTATGTTATTTTTCATTTCTGTCCAACTGACTTTCAGCAATTTTCTCCACATCCACATTTCTATGGCTTCCAACTTCCTTCTGTCTTGTTCATTGGTAGTTCATATTTCACAACCATATAGTATAGTAGTATCCTGCAACTATTGGTAGGTTTTAATGTGTTGTCAGGAACAGAGTGAGTTTGTAGGATCTTATGAAGAAGTAAATAGTTATGATGAGTGACCAAGACCCTAAGAATATAATTATTTTTGCTATTTTTTGCCATAATGTATTTGACAAATATAATTACAGGTTATATATATAATAATAAGGTGTAAGATGTAAGATACAAATAAAAGGTTTAGATGGGAGCCTAAAAACTAAACTAATTTCTTAAACTGGCGTAGTATTCTGTGTATAAGATGATTGTTACCATATAAGGCGGTGTGCAATGAAATGTAATTAAGTGAGTGATTTCTTGTTGGTTAGGCTGGGACACAAAGCAAGATTGATGCGTGTAGGTTGGGAGCATCAACTGTGACGCTGAAGTGATGAAATAAATTAACTATCGGCATCAATACTAACAATTTTATAGTTAATATTTTCTACATAATATGATCAATTACATTCATTGTATTTTTAGCATAATTTCTGTTGTGTTATTCATTTTGCTGGATTAAAAGCTGTTGGTGAATCATGTATCATTCCTTTGACTTATTATCGAGTCAATGTCTCAGGATCAATCAATTTATTTCAAGTATGTGAAGTGTAACTAGTATAAATAATTACTTTAATAATAACTGAATAAAAATAGTAGATATTTTAATATTGTGATGTATAACATGTAGACCAATAATAAACTAATGTATAGGTTATGAAAGAACACAATGTGAAGAAGCTTGTATTTTCCTCCTCATCTACAGTTTATGGTGAACCACAATTTCTACCAATAACTGAATCGCACCCGGTTGGTCAAAATTTACTCAACGGATATGCTAAATCAAAATATTATATTGAAGGAATAATACAAGACTTATGCAATTCTGATAAAGTATATTTTACAAACATCATAATAATATTAAATTCATTATTACTTCTTATGTATGTTTATTATTAGGAGTGGTTTGTGATTATTTTACGTTATTTCAATCCAGTTGGAGCTCATCCTTCTGGCACTTTAGGAGAAGATCCTACTGGAATTCCAAACAATTTAATGCCATATGTTGCTCAAGTAGCTGTCGGAAACCGGCCATGTATAAATGTGTTTGGTAACGATTATAATACTGTTGATGGAACAGGAGTAAGAGACTATCTTCACATTATGGATCTGGCCGAAGGTCATGTTAGTGCATTACATAAGTTACAAAATGCTAATGAAAATGGAGCAATAGCCATAAATTTAGGGACAGGAAATGGATATTCAGTGTTACAAGTAATGAACATTTTTTCAAATAATATTTAGTGTTTAAAAAAACATGGAAAACGCTGAATTGATAACATAGAAAAAAGTCACCAACTAACTTAAAAATTATATTGTAACTCAGAGACTGCCTCATAATGATATCTTATATCATATCTTAATATTAGATTTCATATATCTCAAACACAATTATTGAATACAATTGCTATAAATAATACAATAGTTAAAGACTATTAAATTATAACTTATAAGTAACAATTGGCTGTATGTTTAAATTCGTCATGTTATTTAGCGATAAATTCAAGCCTCATACATTTAAGAAAACTTAAAAAATAAAAATTATAATTTATAGAGATTAAGCAAAATCCAACTATTTCAAATGTTTTTACATGTCAGCAGATTAATAAAAACAAATGTTTGTTTAAGTGCAAACACAATTCAAGTTTAAGTTCAAACAGTTTGAGAAAATTTTTAAGTTCAGGTTCAAGTTTGACACATTTCTAAATTATTTTTATGAAAATATACAAAATACAATATTGAATTTGAAAAAATGTATCGATTTTCATTATATTATATAATTTAATCATGTTTACTAATTATTTTACTCAGGTAATTGATATGTTTAGTCAAGTTAGTGGACAAAAAGTAAAATATGAAATTGTTGATCGTCGATCGGGTGATTGTGCTTCTTCTTACTGTGATGCATCGTTTGCAAAGTCATATCTTGGATGGGAAGCTAAGAGAACTTTGAAGGAAATGTGTGAAGATACATGGAGATGGCAATCATCATACCCCCAAGGTTTTTCGACTAAGAAATAATCATAATATGGTTATTTTGAAATTGTAAACAAGTTATTATTGTTGTTTAATCATAATTATTATTACTTATATAATGTTTTTGGAAATTTTTAAATTCTGTTTATTTAATTTGTAGAATATATAGGTATTGTACAATAATACAACTAAGTTATAACGTAAAATTATATTATTACTTATACTTTGCTAACAATAATTTTTCTCAATCTACATTACTTTCTTAAATTTATATAAGTTGTGGTCTATGAATATGTTTAAATGTCTATTAACAAATCTGCAGTCCATGCTATTTAGAATATTTGTTGTATTGTTTGTAACATGAGTTCTCCATTCAAGACATTCCTTATGGTCTTTGGGCTGACAATTAATGATTGGCTACAATCAGTGTCGGCCTAGCCAGGTTAGGTTAGCCCTGAGCTTTTTTTTTTTAGTTTATAATTAGTGGCCAGGACCACCACCCCAACGTAGAGTAGTCAACAAAGCCTCAAATATACAGGACAATTAAATGTACGACGATGGACGAGGGAGTGTCGATCACTGGGGCCCATAGACTGCAGGGGCCCCAGCCTAAGTCTTAACTAAAAATATTGTTTTTCCATATTAGATTTGGATAACAATTTTTACAATCAATATGACCACCCCAATTTTTATTCACAAGACTAACCGAATAAGTTGTTATAATAGCAGTCCAAAAATATTAAAGCTACATAGGCACAATTGATTTTAAAAGCATTTAAAGTTAAAAATTTGAAAGATTTTATTAAAATCACAAAAATATGTAAATTATCATAATATGTATAATTGTATTAGTTAAAGATCGACAATTTAAAACAAGGTTTCTCATTAGTAGTTCACACTGTTAACAGTGTTAACAACAAATTTAAAAGATACATAGGTACTGTACCAATTAATAGTAAAATAAATTACTTTATAGCAATCTACATATTTAAGAAGTAAGTCGGTACCGCTCAGCTGTACAATAGGTTCCAAGTGGGTCACTGTAAAGGATGATGTTACATTTTGAATTCAATGATATAAAATCATTGTATACAAAAAATAATTCTGAGCCAAGACGGTCTGTCAGTCTATAGTATTGTGATTAAAGTAATTCATTTTACTTTTAAGCATTAGTACTATAGTAAATTAAATTCATTTTTTCCAAAAAAAAGTACGTTTGAAAAGTAATTATGTGTATAAAATCTAATGTTATTCTTCAAAACTTTCAAGTACCCACGAATAATATTTTTAATTTACAACAAAATAACATGAATCATTCTTGGTAATTTAATATGTAACTTTGTCCACATTTGAACATAGAAAAAAACTGATAATATATTTTTAGATATTTTTGGTTACAGAATAACCTAGAACTTGGTTTTAAATGTTCAACCCTCAGCTATAAAATTATTTGTAATTTTTGAATTTAATACATTTTGTCAAAATTTAAATGCTTGTAAAAAAAAAAATCGTGCCTATGTATCTTTAATATTTTTTAACTGATATTTTAAATATGTATCAGGTGCCTTGATTAATTTTCAAGCTTCTTGACCCAACAAATTATATTGACAGTTATTAAAATAAAAATTTTAAAAATGAAAATTGAAAATGTCCGTAAACAACTCAAAACGAGTCAAAATATTTAGAAAATGTTATCGAGTATATGAATTGATAAAATAAATACATGTTGTAAATTTCAATCGTCTACAGGTATTATTTTTGGATCACAACAAAATAAGAATGTAGCTACCTACATGAGAAATCAAATGAACATCCAATGTTCTAAAAATTTCAACTTCAAACACTCATCAAAATTTAATTTGACTTTCCAATAGACATTTTTTTTTGATGAACGTAAAAAATGTATTAGGAATCTTGTAATACTTAAAATAATTTGCACATTTTCATGATTTCTACGAATTGTGTCAATGTTCTGAATTCAAACTCATGACAAAATTATTGTGGATTTACGTTTTATTTTTTTTTTATTTTTAATTAAGAACAACTTACGAGTAACCTTGTATTATGTTTACACATTTTTTGACCGAGCAAAAAATTTTTATCGACATTAGTTTCAAAAAAAAAAATAATAATCGAAAATTTTATATGCCTTTAAATAGTTCAACACTTGTCAAAATATTTTGAAAATTGTATGGACTATGGTGTATAGAAAATGCTCACACAAATATTCAGTGAACATTTCATGTATCTAAGGTAATTTTTAGAGTTCCACTTAAAATCAAAATTGATTTTTTCAAAAACTGGTTTTGCTTAAAAATTCGCTTTTTTCTTTAATTTTTGGTTTTTTTTCTGTTGCTTTTGAAAACTATTGGGAATTTTAAATGTTGACCTCTCGATACACCATCTAGATTCACTTTCTTACCAGAAAAGTCGCTGTTGAAAAAAATCGAAGCACTTTTACTGCAAGAAACCATGATGACAGACACAAAAAAAAAACAATATAAAAATACATATTGTAAAATTAATACATTCATCACTCCACTCAGAACCTAAAATTGAATGTCCTATGCCTTCCTAAACGGCTCGACTGATTTTAATGAAATATTCTGTGTGTATTTAAATGAATGATTTATATTCACAATTCCTAGGTAGTCGGTACATCCAACCCCGAGTGTTACTCAAAACAGGAATTTTGAGATTTAGGAAGGAATTTTTTGTTTATAAATGGTTGCTGTTAGATATAGGAGAAATAATAAGTAAAAAACCGCCAAGTGCGAGTCGGACTCCCACACGAAGGGTTCCGCGCCATTATCTATGAGAACGGCGACAAGTCATGTCTGTTGTATGGGAGCTATCTGGGTATCTAGGTATCCCAGTGCTGTTGAATATATTTTTAATTTTAATTTTAAATTAAATATTTCAAGTTTCTGCCTGTTATTGTTATTAATACCATGAAAAAAATTGAAAAAATCACATTTGCTGTAAAGAATCCTTCCTTAAATATTAACTTTTTTAAATTTATTTATTTATTCGAGGAAGGAAAAAAAAATTACTTATTTCTGAAGTAAATAATATAAATCAATATTCTGTGAATATTTCAAGCGTCTACCTGTTGTCGTTATAAATATTCAGCAAAAAACGAGTAAAAAATCACGTTTGTTGTATGGGAGCCCCCTTAAATATTTATTTTATTTTATTATTAGTATTTGTTGTTGTAGTGGCAATAGAAATACATAATCTGTAGAAATTTGAACCGTCTAAGTATCACGGTTCATAAGATACAGGCTGATACCGAATTTGTTCCCGAGCTCCAACCCCACATGCCGAATTGGTTCCCGTTTGAAAAGGGTATTTCATTAAAGTAAGCCGAATCGATTCCCATTTTAAAAAAATGAAATAATGTATACAATTTTAAACCGTTGATTTGGAAGTCAACTAGTCATCACTAGGTGTGTAGGTACAAAATACAGAGAATAAAATATAATAAATACAATTATTTAAAATCGTTAAATTGCAAATTTGAAGCAAACTTACTTTAAGTATAAGTATTCAATTCGCGTAACCTTCTCATTAGTGTACTCCGTCATACAATTTTCTAAGAATTTGTTATTTTTTTCTTGTTTGCTAGTAAGTTTTCTAGTATTATTACTTCGAAATTTAATATAATTTAATGTCTGAATACTGTTTAAAGCAGTGGTGTACACACGGGGGAGGGGGGTGTTCAACCCCCCCCCCCTTTAGTATTTTTTCAGTTTACGTAATTACGTAAAAACTAAAAATGTATAATAAAAATGATGACAATTTAAAAAAAAATTAATAGCACTAATAAAAATAAATACAAAATTAAATTTCAGTGTTGCCGTCACAATAGAGTTTCGATTAAAAATGTACGGCGAGAAGACCGTCGTCACCGAAGTTATTATTTAATAATAATTATTATTAGATATGAGATATTCTAAATTATACTCCATTATATTATAACATTATATTTTAAACTGAAAAATAATTATTTACACAGGACAGATTAAATGGATATGGATTGACCATGTTATCGGTATACCGTATTACCGTGATATAAATTTAACTCCTGAAGAAGTCATTGATGAGTTGGGACAAAAACCCAGGAAAATAGACATTGTTTTATAATGAAAATAAATATTAGTTAAACAACATATTATTTTGATTTATCAATGTATAATATATATATGTATATAATTTTTTATATGTAAGCTCCCCCCCATTGAAAATAGCTGTGTGCGCCACTGGTTTAAAGTCTCCATAAAATAAAATATATTAGGATGGGCACTTGTAAATTCTTTATTCTGTTATTCAGCTTTAAATGGAACGATTCGCAACAATTTGTAGTCCTATCAATATTTTGTCAAATCCAGCCCAAATTTTCGGTGGAAAGTTACTGTCTGTCATTATGTATGTAGGTATCATGAACGTAGTCAAAGAACTGATCCAATTTTGGGCAGCAAGGTTTTATGGGCATCAAATCATTATAAAAATAGTCTTCGACGTCTTCGGGTGATAATAATAAGGGCAGTCTAAAAAATAGTTGCACAAGTTGAGACTGTACAGTGCTCACTGCTCAGTGCTCACCAACATTATTGTCATTCGTAAATAGGATATAAACAATATACTATACAGCGATAAAAGTACATATATCTCAATCGTAATCTTAATTGATCGGGATATCAAATAAAATTTTTTATTCATATGAGTTGGCATTTTTAACGGGCAATGGAGTGCATGGGATAAGCAAATAATATCATAATGTTATATACTTTTAATAATAAAGGCTAATGCTATTATTATACCGACACATCCATTATAGTGATTAGTGATCCACTAAACACCCACTGTACAGCAGAGCACTTGCTCGCCTTTTTTTTTAAAAAACAATTTTTACTTCTATTATAATGTTTCAACAAATTGTACTGACGTAGTAAATATAATATTAGCAATTAAATTATTATTTATAATTAATTAATATGTTTTTTAAATGTTTATCAATTTGTAGTTTGTATACATGTGTTAAATATAGTACCTCTAATCTATATTCTATGAACATTGAACATCCAACATCTATATAATTTTGTAAAAGTTGTTAGGAAAGACATGCCAATGATATGATCTAATAAATACTAATACAGTAATACTATATTAATAAAATAATTGAAAAATAATTAGGTAAATAGCCGTTCGTATATATTCACAGCCTCACGGGTACCTATATAATATATTAAACGTAAGTAGGTAGTTAGGTACTATAATAAGTATTAATATAAAGGTATTTATTAAATATTATTATAGGCGGTAGGTACCTAATTAAAATAATTTCTATGTTATTGCGTAAAAATGTTATCCCAACCAACCTTTAAATTAGATTAAAATAAACTGAATAGTATACACTAGTCATATAGACATATTCCTATCTGACAAAAGTAGGAAGTTCAAAAAGTCAAATTTGAAAATGTTCAATAAAATAAACCTAATCTGCACCATCAAGCAACTTACATGTATTTGAATGATTTTCATATTATATTATCCTAGCTATTGCAATTGTATACTCATTTGTATTAAGTTATTACTCTTTGACCTGTAAGTTGTATATTAAAAATAAAAATTGTATCTAATGTGCATGATAATTAGGTAATGCCTATTATTAATTTGTAATGTCTGATATACATATTTTATACACATTTGTGCTAATTAGTTTGAATCTATTGATACGTACCACATTAACCTTTCAAAAAAAAAACGTGGGTGGGGATTTTATACTCATTATACATTTTTGGACAGGTAAATTTAATAATATCATTATAATTATTACCTAGTTGTTACGTGCCTACAGTTTGTAAAAGTTGTACAGGTACTAATACCTTGGATTTGGTATTTTTGAAATTTACCACATATTGTATAAACTTTATTTTGATTACTTTAAAATGCTTAATACTGGGTATGTAAATAATTATATAATATTGCTATAGATTTGAGTTAACATACATTTGCATGCTATTGGGTTTAATTTTTGATTAAACTAATTTATATTATAATAAGATATAATTTTCTTTATCATAATCATTGACTAAAATACTTTTATTATTTATTTATTTATTTAATTTACTTATCTATATCTAAAGAATAGGATAACTAAATAAGTAAAAATTTGTATATTATTTAGGTACATGACTATAAAGTATAAGGAGCACTTGCGACTTGCCTATAACTATAAATTATAATAAGTAAAATACTATCTTAAAGTTCAGTTATTAGGTAGGTTAACCTTACATATAACACATTACACATCACAAGTTATTTAATTATGTTCATAGCAATAATTAACAGAAAAAATATTCGATTAAAATATTAAGTAGTATACCTATACCTAACCTATACCTACTAATACTTCAAATTAAAAGTTTCAACACAAAACAGTAATATGGTACTATATTATCTATATTTTATTCTGTAAATAAGATATTATGTTTTAAATAATTCTTTATAGGTAGGTCGGTTGGTGATATGATGACAATATAATGTGGTAAAATGACAAATAAAAAATGCAACAGTTCAGGTTAACTTCAGATTTAATGAAAAACCTAGGTATTTAAAATATTTTTATTGCACACTACAGTCACCAAATGTTAGTACTAACTTTTTATGAAAATGGTATAATTCTTTAAATTGTTTTTTTAAACTTTTTGAGCTATTTATAGACATTAGAACATTTCGATTATTTTTTAAGTTTTTATAGGCTAGGTCAATAAACTTGAAAATTGAATACAAGATCCCACATTTTTAACATTAAAAAAGTATTGTAAGTATAAGTGCAGTGCACAATTATTTTATAAGCGTTAGAAGTTCAATTTTTGATGAAATTCATTAAAATATAAAAAAAAAATTGAACTTTCTAGCTAAAGCCTTATAAATACAAATTATAATTTTGATTTCAAATTGAACATATCTAATACAGTCAGTATCACTAGTATCAGTACGAATGTATATGATCGCTGATTGTGACAATCGCGGAGGCTAAGATCACAATAACCTATCATTTATGGACAGAAAGAGACTACGACTAGAGCGACAGGCAATCCAAGTCGATTCATAAACTATTGGTGTATACTGTAAAATTGTGTCTATGGATCTATAAAATTTCGGCACCTACTATTATAACTACTTATGAGGAACCTTGTATTAAATATTCAAGATTTTTGACCAACGAATAATTTTATTAACATAAAATATTGTCAAATTTTAAATGTCTATAAATAGCTCAAAACCAGTAAAAGTATTTTGAAAATTTTATCATGAAAAAAAAAATATAATAAACATTCGATGAAAATGTTATGTATTTACAGTTATTATTTGTTGAATAACAACAATATCAAATTAATATCAAATAACTAACTTCAAACGTTCGTTAAAAATGTATTTGACTTTCCGGTAAAGTTTTTTTGTTGTTAAATGTAGAAAAATACAAAGGGAATCTTGTGTTAAATTTTCAATCTGGATACAAAAGAAAAACTTTTTATGATCTGAAAATGTTAGTGATCTTTATCTCCTAGGATAGGGGAAACTTCTTCGTGTCTACAATTTTTAAAATATGATTGCGTGCCCTCTCTTCTTATCTTAAAAAAAGGGTTTTTTACTAAGAATAAAAAAAAGGTTATAACTATTAATATATTCATATTTTATTACACGTTTATTTGTTAGCTTTTATTTTATGAAATAGCTATACATATTCTTAAATAAATTATCATTACGGGTATTAAATATCATAATATTAATTTTATATTATAATAGTTAATACTTATAATACTATATTTTTAATGTGATTCCTGTTGTGGTTTTTCCGGAGATAAAGTTCTTATAATTACTAACTTATAAAATTCTTTCCTCAAAATATGCGAAGAAAAATATTTTAATTAATTTTGACGTGCCATTGAAATTTGAAGAACGTTGCGTGCGATAGGTCGCATTCACCACCCCTGTTATAGGAGAGCAGTTACCGACAACGTGGGAATGTCGCAGTATTATAATAATTTATATAAATATGAAAAAGTGTGAATGTGAAAACAATGTCAAAACAAGATCAGCTATGACCTGTATACCTAATGGCTACTTTACTGCTTTAGTAATCACTAATCAAGTGATAAATTATCCTTAATACAAGTCACATATAATTATTAATATTATTATTTATTACTATTAACTAACATAGTAATATTCGCGCATAACCTACTAAATTTAAGGGTGTTTAATGTTTAACAATATACTAATTTAAAATCTATTATTTATAAGTTGTTAAGTATTGTTTAGTATTTGTCTAGTTTTAAAATTAAGAAATCAAAAAATGTATAATTAATTATTTTATATTTTTGAAATGTTCTTAATGAAATTAAATTATTGGTCACTTAGAAAATTGGAAGGGCGTACATTATTCATTACTGGAGGAAGTCGCGGTATTGGCAAGGCAATTGCTTTGAAAGCAGCCAAGGATGGCGCTAACATAGTTATTGCAGCTAAGACTACTGAACCACATCCTAAACTCCCCGGAACTATATATACTGCTGCAAGAGAAAGTAATGTGTTAAGAATACGTTTTGTATTATTTGTTTGAGTTTCACTGATTGCATTTTGCAAAGCATTTTCATTATTGGGTTGTCCTCAAATTATATAAGTCACAAGTTCTAAATTTATAAATCGTATACCTACTTCATGTATCAAAATTATAAGATGACTAAAAAAATTTACATCTTAGCAATTCGTATCCCTTAATAATATTATAGTTATGCATTTATAATTTATTTTATATTTATGCATCAATTAGCTAACTGATCCTGCGCAACTGCATGGCGTTGCCCTTGACAAATATCTATCACTTTGTATAATTCTTAATACAAGAATAATACAATTATTCTAAATAGGCACTAATTTAAGTTTACAATTGAAAAATATATATAAAAATCACTCGAAAGTTGAAACTATAAAAGTAAGGTTATTATACATTTTAATTAGGTAGGTATATAGACAATAGACATATAGTAAGTGACAAAACAAAAAAATACACAATTGTAAAACCAATAGTTACACTTATTTATACTCCCCTTGCTTTACTAAAAATCTAGCTATACCTACAATGTACACGCTATAACGCATTCATTATATTTTAGTTGAAGAAGCAGGGGGTAAATGTTTACCTTGTGTTGTGGACGTAAGGAATGAAAGTCAAATAATTGATGCTGTTAAAAAAGCCGTTGATGTATTTGGAGGTATAGATATAGTCATAAACAATGCTAGTGCAATATCATTAACCGGAACTTTAGACACCGACATGAAGAGATATGACTTAATGCATAACATCAATACAAGAGGAACATTTCTTGTGTAATATATATAATTCAAAATTGTTTTGTACTATCTTTTTGATGATTAACGTGTTTACCTACAAATGAATATAAATAATTTTCAATATAATTCTTTCTGTTTAGATCAAAAATATGTTTGCCTTATTTAAAGAAAAGCAAACACGCTCATATTTTGAACATTAGTCCTCCGTTGAATATGAATCCTAATTGGTTTAAGGACCACGTTGCATACACAATGGCCAAGTATGGAATGTCAATGTGTGTATTAGGAATGGCTGAAGAATTTAAGAAAGATAACATTGCAGTGAATGCTTTATGGCCTAGAACTGGTAATATTATATGACACATATATTATATAGCACAATTTTATTCTCCAAACATACTCATTGCTCACCCACCATTTTTTTTTTTTTTTTTAATAATACAGCTATTGAAAATTTGAGTTTTGAAATTTTTAAACACACTTAAAAACCATATTTTAAACTTCTTTAATATTTTGTGTAGGTAACTTCTACATAAGGACTTTTTTCAAATGAAAAATAAATTTTTTCCCAGATGAGTATCCCCTTTTCTACTTTAAATTATTTACCTAGTGGATAATTTTTCTGAAAATTCTGAAGTGTCAGAATCAAAACTCGTACTAGTAGTCTTTGACTTATTTAATTTTGTGTACTAAAAATAGTAATATGTTAACGATAATGTTTTTCAATATATGGAACCAAGGTGATTTGAAAATTTTAGTGATTAATATCCAACCATCGTAACATTAATAATTTGTAAAAATGCCCCTAGTATAATAAATACCATTGGGCATTGTAGGTCAAATTATTTTGTCAAGGGGGAGGGGGTCATGTTTTGACATGCATTAGGTATTTGAATATCAGAAGTATAATTTATGGTTAATGGTTATTAACTTTTAAATATTGAAAAAAGGTCGTGGGGGTCTACCCCTCTCGCCCTTTTGACTGCTATACTGATAAATTCTTGATCTAATATTAAATCTATTTTATATTTTTTGTAAACCCATTTATAAGAGGTATTATCCTTAGTACAAACATTTATATACAACATTGAAAAAAATTCTATCCACTAAATAGTTTATAGTAAAAAAGAGGGTTCTCGTTTGAAACATAGAGTTTTTATTGCCACAAAACACTCTTTAAGCAGTACAAAAAAAACTCTATAAAAATTTTAAAAACTGTCTTGAAGTATATTTAAAATTTTCAAAAATTAGTTAGAATTTGAACAAATGCATTATTAAAGAACAAAATGTTAGGAGGGAGAGAACAAGCTTGGTGAATCACCCATATAGGGTGCAAGGAAATACAATCTATGCTAAATGGCTTCTCAATCGATAGTTAAATATCATTATAAGATTCACTTTTGTTGAATTCATATTTTCTAAATTATATACCGCAAATGACCTGCATATGGTGTCAACATTAACAAAAATGTATAATAGCTGCCAATTGGGTTGTAAATCTTATAGGGGTGGGTGGGTAAATAGGATTAATACGAAAAGCAGATTCAATCCGGTTAAAATGCCTAATTTGGAGCCCACACATAGACCAAACAGAGAGTTATAGAATACAAATATTAAAAAAATACTTAATATAGTTGTATAGTGTTATATACACATATATTTTTGATATAATGTTTACCATTTGAATTCAAAAAAGTTGTTTTGCAGTGGCATAAAATTATATAAAAAAAAATATTTTTAAAAAGACAAAACTTCGAAATAATGATTGTAATCTGTACACATTAAGATGGATCAGTGGATCACCTATTGGACATTGGCTTTTATTGAATGTGTCATACATTGACATAAAATTAAGAAAAAAGAAAACTACAAATTGGTATAAAACTACAAATAATAATTTGAAAGTATGAATTTGGTATAGTTATTCATACGGCAGCTGTTGAGATGTTGTCAGGTATAAATGAAGCAAAATTATATTCGCGGAAACCTGATATAATGGCCGATGCCGCTTATTCAATCGTGACTAAACCATATGAACATTACAGCGGGCAATTTTTAATTGACGACGAAGTGCTACGACAAGAAGGAATAATAGATTTTGATCAGTATTTAAGTGATCCAGGTATGAAATGTATTATTTATCAATAAGTATTGACAACATATTAAAAGACGTATAAATATGAATAAGGTTTTTTTTGTATTTATTTTTTTAGCAAACAACGGTAATCTCATGATGGATTTTTTTTTGGAAGAATATCCACATGATGGATTCAACCAAGGTAAAGAAGTGGCCAAAAGTCGATCTCTGCGAAATGAAACAAATAAATGACTCCTGGCTAATTAAAAACTTAAATTTTAATTTAAACAATTCCATAATTATTTTTATAATACCCATTGTTTCTATAAATTATAGTTATATTATTCAGTGTTTTCACAAATTACTATTACATAGTATAACACCTAGACACCTAGTATTAGTATAATATAATCTTAGGTAAAGATGATGGCAAGTTCCTACTAGAGGCGAAGCTTAAATATCCAAAATGATTCATGTTTTTTTACAAATATTAAATACTACATACCGACCATATATATATTATTATAATTGTTTTACTTACATTGCATATTCTTTTTAAATTTACAAATATATCCATATTATACTTAATAATGATACAAGATATCCATTATATTTATTCAAATCGATTTTGTGAATCATATTACTGTCATAATTTTATTGTTGTACATTTACCGAGTAAATAAATATTATATTTAAATTAATAAATTATTTATATCCGAAAACTATACAGGGTGTAACAGCAAAAAATGATATATGAAATAGGCAGCTTTTGTTATAATCAATATACTTTAGAAAATATTTATGTATAATTTATAGACACTTGAGCAATTGAGCTATATTTACTATATTTATGGCACAACATTTTTTTATATTTTAATACTGAACTTAAAATTTTATTTTATTTTTCTTGGAAAAATTCAAAACAGTCCATTATTAAATCTATGTTTTAGAAAATTTTTATATTTTATAATAACATGGCCGTTTCATAATAAATAATATTATGTAAATGTAAAAAAAGTACAAACTGTACACATTTACAATATAGTATTTTAAAATTGTAGGTCCTAGAATCTACATTTTTGGAAGGCTACGGCTAAGTTTGGGTTGGGGAGCACCCCACTTTGTGCCCATGTTATGTTATCAGAAACCACAGTCATTATCCCGTTCAAGTCTCTAGCCATTCACTTTATAACTTCTTTATTCAACTTTCTTCCTGGACTTGCGTCAGTCCAAATTTCGCAAAAGTCCTTTATAAATTATTTCACGCTCGTCCACTAAAATCTAAATCACCGAAATCCAAAAATAGATGTATGCCGACTGCCAACATCCCGGGTGATCCACTAAGACACAATTGTTGCTGTGACATATTAGTTGAATAAATATTCAACTTCCTAGTGCCCAAAGTTCCATAAAAGATAATCCCTTTAACAGACAACAAGTCACTTATCATGTCTCACCATCACACTTAACTTTTCCTCATTATAAACTGAATCAAATTCTGTAATAATCTGTTAAAAAAATAAAAAATGTATTCATCAATTATCCATCATAGTTTCTTCACAACTTGTTCTTCAGTATACTGTATACCTACACAGAACTTTTAAATTTACAAATTAAAGATATTTTTTATTTTTAAATAGAAATTAATTCAATTTAACTGCCTTAAAAAAATATGTGTAACACGCGGGTTTGAAAAACTTCTTTGGTGCAATTTTAGTTACATCTAGCTTTTTGAAAATGTAAAGGACTAGCATGAACTGATACAGTTTTAGGTTAAAGTTCAGGATACAAAAAATAATTTATTTGATTTACTAGCATTCCGTTAAAGATTAATTTTAGTCATTCATTTTTTTAAAGTTTCAAGTTAAAATCAATTGATCATGGGAACTATTAGATGTTGTACCAGTAAATGTATTAAAATCTTTTATATAGTATAATATATTATTATTTATAATAACCTGCAGTTGATTCAATATTTATTATAAATTGAAATAACTTCCAGTATATATTCAAACGTCATCACATCCTATTATTCCACACTAATTACTTACTTTCTAAATAGTTAAGAAATAGATAATAATAATAATAATCAGATTTATATGATTTATATTTTATTAATTTTTTTGTTCCTGTGGAAATTTTGTGTTGTGAGCATAATTTTTTACACATTTTTCGCCACTGTCACATCAGTAAAGAAGTTTCACTTCAATAAATGTATGATTTATAATAAGTTAAATGTGCTTCAAGAAACATATAATTTTAAGTTCTAATGAAAAAAATTTAATTTGCTATAAAGTGTAAAGTAATTATAATAGTCATGCAAAAAATATGGATCAGAATGCACTTACGTAAAACAACTTTTGGAAATAAGTATCGACAGATCAAGACATTTTTCCACTTTAATTAATTTGTATCAAATAATTACAATTATACACAATATATTATATACATAATACAATATATATAATTATATAAATGTACACATATAGGACACATAGTACATAGAAAGTTTGAAAACATTGAGAATGTGCCAACATGAAAAATAACAGAAATGTTTCAACTTCCTATACTTCTTAGAATTAATTATAATAATAACAATAATACATATTTATTAATCAACCCAAAAATAATTTATAATTAAGTCTCAACAATATTTGAAAAAAAAACTAGTAAATAAGTAGTGATTACCGGTTACCACGGATTTAGATACCATAAACTAGTATTTACATCCGAGGTTATTACACAATACACATATGATATAGTATAGTAAGGTAATATTTTGTAATTAATATTATCATATTTTAACTGATATGACAGTTTTTTTTTTCAAAACGATAACTACAAAATTTTTAAATGTAATATGCAATAAAATGATGTTAACTAATTAAAATCAAAAACCCCGTTAGCTTTTCGCTTTTGAGTAGTCAAGTTGTTATTGTTTAATTATAGCTATAGCATTGATTATATAATATATATATTGCATATAATACATCAATTGTTACGCTTTTTAATTTATAATACCATCATAGAATATTTTTGAAAAGTGCTACCTATATGAATTATCATTAAAACGGATAACAAAATGTCATCATTAAACCTTTTATTTAAAAATAATAGGTTAACTATTTAAATTTTTTAAAACTAAACAATGGTTGTATTGCTCTCAAAAAATTGTCATGAAATTGTTGATTAGAAAAGCGATTTACTGATCCTCTGGCAGCTTTTTGTAACGACAATTTTTGAGTATCTGACAACAACAATGCTTTGTGTATAGCATGTGCGTATTCTACTTCATTTGAAGCTAAAAATCCATTTTGTCCAGCACCTTGTTCTATAATTATATCCATTAAAGGGCCACCAGAACGATGAGCAATCATTATTAATCCTGCTGCCATACATTCTACAACTCCAATACCAAAATGTTCATTCCACATTGCGTGTAAGCCAATCAATCCTGGAAGCATAAATACAATTTAGTTTCTATACTTAAAAACTTGCATATTATTTTTATTTTTATTTTTATACCTTCAGATAGTTCATTTTTAAGTTCATCGTAACTGATATTTACTTTAAACCGTACATTATTCTCCAACGACAAATGTTTACATAAATCCATCATATCAACAACTCTCATTTCATCTTCTTGATTTCTTGTTGAACCAACAAAAACAAGCTCGATATTTTCCCATACATGCTCATTTACAATTTGTCTAAGATGGTACATGGCCTTGAGTTGTAATGGGTGATCTTTTTCTGGTCTAAACTGTGCTAAGCTTATAATTTTTACAGATTTGGTTTTTTGTCTTTCTAATGGCAAACATTGTAAGTCAGATGTATCACATGGAGGATATACTTTGTAAGTGCTCAGGGGTCTCTTCCAAAGTGTATTGATATGATCCTCAGTCCAAGAACTATTAACCATGATGGAATCAGCAAACCATCCAACTAAGCCGTATAATTTTGCAAATAATTGATAATAAACGAGTTTAATATAAGATATTGTTCTACGTTTTCCTTTTTGCTGAATCACTTTATTTATCATATCTGAACTTATAGTTGGATAATGGACATAACAACTGACTTTGCAACTACCAATGAGACAAAACAATGGTAATGTAAATGCATAACCCATAGTGTCAATGTATATATCCGGCTGAAATAAACGTAAGGCTTCAATACCTAAGATGATAGATCCAAGACTTTGTCCTAAAAGAGTGAAATAAGGGTAATTTTCAGCTTCTACCCATTTTCTTCTGTGCAGATAAATAAATTCTAAATTATTTGGTAGTGAAATGTTAAATCTCTGTTTTGCTCGTTTAATTATTTCTACTGGGGATACTTCCAAGTCACCAGTGTAGATAACAATTTTTACTTTAGGATATGCAGTACTAACAGCATTGACAGCACACCATAGTACACGTTCACCACCTCCACCAGCATTGCAGTAAGGATGGAAAAACGCTATGCTAAATTGAGTTGGACATTTCCTCTTTTTGCTAGAGTAGTGCCATCGTAACACAGCAATAGACACGAACAATACAATGAATACTGCAACTAATGAAAATATGAAGTACAGTAAAAGTTGGAAATACATATTTTAAAAAGTTAATAATTAATTTTCTTTAAAATATTCACATCATGGTATATACTATGTTTTTATACTTTTTCAACATATTTGAACAAAATAAAAATATACGATATTATACGTCATGATTATGATAGTATGACACAAGAGTACAAGACACAACTATACAATTTAAAAAATTAAAAAGGTTCATTGTTTACTTTAAAATATTATCAAGGAACAACAACTAATAACCACTGATTATTGATAATATGTCTGTGCTAAAATAACCTCAAACAATGTGTTATCACAAAATAAATGAATATTCATAACGATCACGATTTAAGGGTGAGTCTCACCCATAGACCTATAAAGGTTTATAGGGCTATGGTCTCACCCATGAATTAAGACATAAGATAATATAAGGTATATAATATAGTCCATGGTCTCACCTAGATCCCCTTCCTACCATATTAATCAAAATTTAATTTTAAATCTATGAAATTGATATTAGGAAAAAGCTTAGATCATATATGATCTATATAGATTGTATATGATCTAAGGGAAAAATAAATAAACTAACGTGACTTTAAAATAAATTAACTCGTTAAGTTAGGAATTACTTTAAAAAAAAGAAACTCGTTAAGTTAGAAGTACCTTTTGAAAATAAAAATAACTCGTTAAGTAACTTTGTTAAAAATATATTTTAGGTTCTGGGTTCAATATTTTAGCTTCTATATTCTTTTTTAAATAAGAACGCACTGAGTTTAAGCATATGGCAGAGTGTCAATGGAAATAGTCTGTGGATATGCAAACTAAAACAAATTTTTGTCCACCGCCCGGTGTATTTTTATTTGAATAAAAGTATCACATTCTAGTTTGTCCTTAACTTCTACGTTGTTTGGCCTGTTGCGTGTGTATGTCATTGAGTTACTATAATATTTGATACTCCCGACATTATAATATTTTTGGTGAATCGCAACCACTACTGGTCCACTTATAGAAAATGGGATAGATGAGTTTACTTGCCCAGTTTTTCTGGTTATAAATTATTAAAGTACTACAAAACAAAGAATGAAGATGTAAAACATAAATAAAGAATTGATGATTTGTTTATTTATTTATTTTTTTTTTGTTTATTAATTTTAAAATGTTTCAGCACATTAGGTGCTATTACAAGTAATTTATTTTTTAATTTTTAAGACTTAAAGAGTGAGGAACAATAATACTAAAAAGAATATTTTATAATCAAAAAAATAAATACAATTAGACATTTTATCCAACTGAATAACAATTATAAACATTAATTACTATTTATTCTGATACAATACATAAACACAGGAATTTTCACAGCCCTTTAACAAACATGACCTGAAAGTAATGATCAGTTATAAACAATATATTAACTGTATAAATGTATTTTATTTAAGAAACTAATTGCTTACTTGTTGTCAGATTTCAATACAATGGTCGGATACAAATCGTGTTTATCTAATTTTGATAATTGATTTGCAATGAATGTTATGTGTCCACTGATTCCTGGTGAAACTTCTCCCGAAGCTTAAGTTTTAAATAACAAATATTGTAAGAAAAATGAAATAATTAATAATAATCCTTCATATAACATAGCAATTTTTTAACTCACAAAAAATACATAAGCCTTTTGTGTCTGATACTAAAACACCGAGTACATTTTGCTCTGATTGTCTGAAAAAAAAAACAATGATTTACCAAAAAAAATATTTATACTTAAATTTAATTGTATATTTATTAAAAAAAATAATAATAATTAATACACAAAATAAAAATTAACTACAGTTTTAATGTATATTTAAAATTATAATTTTTTCCAATAATGATTATTTTTTGCTACTAGCCTATGTATTACTTTCCCCACAAGGGTATTCTTTGTACGCCACTTTCATACTACATTAAAAATATTATATAAACAATAGATATATATTTTTTTTAGAATATCAGGGCCTAATGAAGCACTACTTTATAACATTTTTGAATAAATAAATATATTTTAAATTGTTCATAGTCAAAATTTTATAAACAAACATTCCTTATCGTTGAGACAAAATTAATGCTATTAAATTGTTATTTATTTTACAATATTATATGATATAAGGGATAGTTTTTTAAAACTTATTAATAGTACACCAGTCTATTTTATGACTTAATTATAAATATCTTACAATTTTGAAACTTCTTCTAATACGTGTTTCTCCATTTCTATATTTGTAAAGCACCTGTGGAGTAGCGCCCTGTAATTTTTGTTTCTTTTGACTATCAAGTTATGTAAAAACTAAATACTCAGTTTAACAAAGAAGGCGGAATTAATTTCTTTAAGAGTTAGTACAATCTTGAGGTATACTCCGATACTGGAATACTTTATGTTTATTTTTTAATGATTAAAGGTTTAATAATAATATAACAATAGCAATTAGCAATATAATAAATATAAACACTACAAATTTACGAAGAAAAAAGTTATCATGTTAAACCATAATAAGCTTTATTTACCTTATCATAATAAATACCAATTACCAATTACCATAGACAAGAATACCAATGATAAGACAACAGAACAACAAGGTGGATAATATATCCACCTTGAGAACAATTTAGTGTTACATATTATGTAATGTAGATAAATATAATAGACGCATATTTATAATATAGTACACTAGTACCTATAATATAAAATATGACCCTCCCATTTTATGGCTATATTTTGGGAACATGGGATATTTCTACATTGTATAATGTGTTTAAAAACAAAATAGTTATCTTTTTTCTATAGTATAGTGTACACCACGAATTAAGATATATCTTAATTCGTGGTGTACACTGTTTATTTGTATAAAAATTACCAAGCATAAAAAGGGTATTATTATTATTTGCAATTATCGTGAAAAAAAATTTATCAGCTCCAATGGAACGTATAGTTGTGACTTGTGGACATCGATCACGAATCTTCCATTATCTATTTTGTGGACTGTGATGTTATCTTAGTTTTTTATCGACGTGAATTTCATGATAATACTTTTTGTAGACGTCACAAACCTGAAATCACAATGTTAGTATGTAACTACTCACTATATAGTATATACTAAATATGTATACATATATATATAATACTTCAATAGGTATTAGGTAATAATAGTGGTATAATTTCTACGAGCTACAAGGCTACAAGCCTACTGTAGTACACTTGTTGTATGAAACAGACAGAGACTTGATATATATATTTTTATTATATTCCTTTAAATTTTGCACAATTATTAAGCAATATTCAATTACAAATTTATCTCAATTACCTGACATTTTTTTACTGCCCAGTTACTTTGTTTTGTATTTTGCTGTTACACAAATAACAATGTGTGTTCATATGAGGACATAATATTTGTATTTTGTAGGTCACGGTCATTCTTCGCTGATCACCTGTAAGTCTTATGTTGCCCTTCCATTGATAACAATTGTAAACTTTATTTTATTTGATTTCCTTGTTACAGAGTTTCAGACAAATTCAAATAGTATATGTTGTTAAATCATTGTGTTTGCACTCAACGACACAAGTCTTGAGCTTTAATACTATAACTTAAAATATTTTAAAAACATTACCATCTTCTAAATTATAATGCTGAACACAGGGTTTGTTTTATATTTATTGCAACTACATTTATTATGTTATATTAATATTAAATATTTTTTATTTTATTTTATATTAATATTAATTACAAATTTTTATTTAGAAAATTGTCTGGACTGACTTTGTTCATTACTGGAGGGAGTCGGGGTATTGGTAAAGCAATAGCCTTAAAAGCAGCTAGGGATGGTGCGAACATTGTTATTGCTGCCAAAACCGCTGAGCCTCATCCCAAATTACCAGGAACTATATACACAGCTGCCAAAGAAAGTAATTTAATAACAAAACTGTTGCTATTTTATTTTAATTTCAATATGTAAATATTATCTATAGAATACTAAATATACATTTTGTATAAAGTAGTGTTCAAGACTATAAAATGTGTAATGGCAAGCCTACATTAGTTATAACTTTTATAACTTATAAGTATAGTTATTGATTTATCGTATACTTTTATCTTGTACTCCTTATTTGCATTTATTGACTCTGTCTTACAAATGCGTTGCATAGTAAATTAATGTTCATTTGTTCATTGTTTGAATTGTTAGTTTTAATATTAGTATGCATTTTGACTTTTTATTAATGTTAAAAATAAGAATATTATCTGTGTTAGTACGTTGGTTTTTATGATAATTAATTTGTAGTGCTAGTTATGACTTCATGAATAGGTATGTATAATATTGCAATTTAGAAATTCTGATAATTTGTTTGACAATTTAAATTTTATGAAATTACTGACATACAAACACAGATAATATTCATACCTTTAAATTTGATATAAGGTCAATTTACTTTAATGTTAAAGCTAAAAAACCAATGAATTCTGCTAAGCTCAAATTTGTTATGTTATGTAGTTTTAAGATGGAGATAACAAATGTTTTTGTATACATTAAACATTTCAAGTAGGTATACATTTTTAAAAAAATTTGTTTTGAGAAAATCAATACAATAATGTTAAATCACAATTGATGACAGAAATATCTTAGTTTAATAGATAAAGTACTGAGATGACTAATCATTTTTCTGGGTTTAAATTGTTCATAGTCCAGTTGTGTAATTATCAACATAAACAAAGTATTGTTATTACAGTGGGTTCCGCTTAATGTGATCACTTTGGTGCAGGTCATTTTGATTCTATTAACCGGTTGATTCTATAAGGCATTTACAACATTTTTTTCATGATTCAATATTTTTATACAATTACATATTTAATTATAATTACATATTTAATGTAACATGCATAATAAATGACACAAGTACACGACGCACAAAGATAACATAATAACATACAACGATATACTGTCATACTTATAAGTTCAAAAATAAAATGGGTTTTATAAGTTAATCAGTTTGAAATACCTTAAAAACGTTAAAATTGTTCATAACAGTGATTCAATTATTCGGTACTTAGTGATTCTAATAAAAGGTCAATTTAACATTAGTAACATACAATTTGGTTTGGGATTTTCATTTTTGATTCTAATAAACGGTTGATTCTATAAACCAGTGATCACATTAAGCGGAATTCACTTTGTTATAAAATATGTAAACTATTCTTGTTTCTTATCATGGACGTAGTGTTATGAATTTATTTGGGGAAGGCTATAACCTTTTTTTCTTGTGGTATCAACTATGCTTCTGGCAAATTCTGAGAAGGCTTAATAAAATTCTGTGGGGCTTTAGCCCGCTTAGGCCCCCCTCCATTCTATGCCTATGTTTCTTATATTATATTTCTTATTGTTTTTATTCAATATTCAATGTGTATTATATTTGTATTACTTTTTTTCAAATTATAGGTTAAAAAAATATAACTTGTACACAATAACTGTGTATCAATATTTGCATAACATGAAAGAATATAAAAAAATATGTATACGTTTTATTTAAATAAAAGTGAATTAATAGATTTTTGATGTTATTGTGTTACTCAATTAATTTAAGCTCCAAAGTCCTCTCAAGTAAACTAACTATAGAAAAACATTAGCTCTTTATATTTTAAATTTATTTATTTCAACTCTATATTATTTCATTATGATTTAAATCTATTGTTTTTATTATAATTAACATTTTTTAGTTGAAGAAGCCGGAGGAAAATGTTTACCTTGTGTAGTAGATGTAAGAGATGAAAGTCAAATAGCAGATGCTGTTAATAAATCAATTAGTAAATTTGGAGGTATCGATATAGTTGTTAACAATGCAAGTGCAATTTCATTGACGCCTACATTAGATACAGAGATGAAGAGATACGACTTGATGCATAATATCAATACTAGAGGAACATTTTTAGTGTAAACATTTAAAATATTATTATTTAATTTATTTAATGCCATTTTTGATTTTAGTGATAGCCCTGAGCCTATTATGCCTGAGACATTCTCATGTAGTCAATATTTGGTAGAGTAATAGTTGGTAAAATAATAGTGAATTTTATAATATAAAGTAATAGTATAGATATTGTTTTGAAAAGATAATATTAAACTAAAACAAACCATTTGGGTTTAATGTCAGCTATTTTTAGAGTTCATTCTAAATATCTTCAAAAGCTTCACTATTTTTCAATAAAATTATAGTTAAACTGTAGCCTAAAGAAATATAATTAAATAAGGCACTGAGTTCCCAAAACTTGTGTGCTTGCTAAGTATACCACCAATCATACGGCTTCTAATTTACGTATGAATTAAATAAGTATTCCAATGACTATATTTGTCAAGTATATATTCATTAGTATTTTAGCCATTCCTTTGACTTGTGATACATTAACAATCTTTGTGAAGCAGGCTAGTGACAAAATAATTGTACTATACTCTGTCCAGCGAGAGAAAGCGCCGCGCACTGACAAATCTGGATCCCCCACTCATCACCCGACCATAGGTGAACCAGTTTTATGAGCTTGGTGACGCTGAGGGATGCGCAAAACCGGCGCATTTTCTCGCTGTTTCTATAGCATGGAAAGTTCCATAAGTGCCAATTTGTTGTCAAGTATACCAGTCACCAGTGGTTGGAATCTTGCTGGATGCTTAAAAAGTCTGGTGATTTGTTTTTGTGTGTCAGCACTATTGAATAAATTAAAAATATTCATGAAATAATTTTTCATTATAAAATTATGTACAAATAATAAAATACTTGATACCCCTCCGGCCTCCAATAAACACTTGTTTGGAGTAAATGATATAATATATTAATAGAATTTCTTTGTTTTAGGTCAAAGATGTGTATACCTTATCTAAAAAAAAGCAAACACGCACATATCCTAAACATTAGTCCTCCATTAAACATGAATCCTAATTGGTTTAGAGACCATGTTGCTTATACAATGGCTAAATATGGGATGTCAATGTGTGTATTAGGAATGGCTGCTGAGCTTAGAGCAGATAACATTGCTGTGAATGCTTTATGGCCAAGAACTGGTAATAAAAATATAGAATTTTTTCAACTAAAACTTTATTATTCTAATTACAAATTATCACCTTTAAAGTAATCTCCCTAAAATGCAAGGCACCGATACCATGCAGCAATATTTATTTCCTTCAATCTTCAATTTCTGAAAACACATTATAGATACTTAAAAGAATATCATAAATGATTGTTTTTCATATTTTCCTAGACACAGTTGTATTAAATCACCAAAAAATAAAACTAAATATTGTTTTCAATTCAAACCAACACTCTAATGTTCATTAAAATTTACTCGGTCAAATACAATTATGCTGGTGGTTTTTATTAATATTGCTATAAATATTAAACGTTGTCAATCATATTTTGATCACACTACATAAATTTCAATGGAGAAATAAAAATGATAACAAGTATCATCATTCAATCCATATAATTTTATAATTTCAGTAAACATTTTAATGTTAAATGGAATTTTGCAAAACTAGACCCTATTTTAATAGTTATACACCAATACAAGAACTACAATGTACAACTAATATTTAATTATTAATCATATTAAATAAAAAAATATTGTACTCAACATTAAAAAGAAAAATTAGTTACATAAACCTTGTGCATAGTTTAGATTTTAAATAAAGTTACAGAAACCAAAAAAATGTTTGGTAAATTGTGTATGAAATATTTGATTAAAAATCTTACTATAATAGACATTTGAAAAAAATAATTATTACTCAAATACTACTTAAAACCTACCCTATTTAATTGAATATATTTTATTAAAGCAATATACACGGCGGCTGTTGAAATGTTATCTGGCTCTACTGAAGCAAAAAAGTTATCTCGTAACCCAGAAATTATGGCAGATGCCGCTTATGCTGTACTTAGTAGGTCTGTTGAAAATTGTACTGGGCAGTTTCTAGTCGATGATGAAGTACTACAACAAGAAGGAGTTACTGATTTGAACCAATATGCCAGTGATCCAAGTAAGTAATTTAGTTATATTAATATCAAATATTTTATAGTGCTGTGAATTTTAAGTACCTATTATTGTCTATTGTAATTAGTGACAAAATATGTGTATTATAATTATATTTATTTTGCTTGTATACTGTAATGAGTAATACGCATAAGTACAATTTCTATTTTTTTCTTTTGGGGGACTGAATAAATTGATACCAAGCAGCCGGAGGGAAACCCATCAACCTTTAGTTTTACTTAGCTAATTATTTACAACTTACAATTTTTTTACTTCATGCTTTATCAATATATTGCCATTATAACTTAAGCCTATTCTGAGACGATGAGTAGGAATGTTACCCCACACACCCATCTAGTTTAAGTTTAACAAATAAGTTGAATTATGTTAATACATATTTAAGAATTTTTTGCCATTATAACTTAAAATCTTAACCTCTGCATCTTCAAATTACAACAATTTGCACTTTGTTCTCTAATCTATATACTGATAATTATTTCAATTTTTGTTTAGCCTATAAAGGAGATTTAATGATGGACTTCTTCTTGGACGAATCACCTCATGATGGTTTCAATCAAGGAAAAGGAAAATCTCAACAAGCTAAAAATTCGGATGGAAAAGATAATATTGAGGGTATATTCACAAAAATCAATTCACATTTGACTCCAGAAATAGCTAAAGGAACAAATGCTTGTTTCTTGTTTGTTGTAAAAGGTTATTAGAATTGATTACACTCATAATACAAATATAATTATTAGTAGATTAATTTGTATAATAATAATTATATTGTGACTTTCTTAGTTATTCTTATCGTCTAAACTCTAGAAGGAATATAAATATATGTAATATATATACATTTTTTAGGAGATGAGGATAGAACTTACTATGTAGATCTAACTGGAAATGGTGCAGCTGGAAAAGGTAAACCAACTACAAAACCAGATGCCACTTTAACAATGGAAGCTGATAAAATAGAAGAATTATTTGATGGTCAGTTATATTTATTTATTTTATTACAATTATTTTTCTAATATTATAATATTAAATATTTATAGGAAAGCTAAAAGCTGCCGATGCTTATATGTCTGGTAAACTTAAGATCAGCGGCAATTTAATGAAAGCAATGAAATTGGAGAAACTTATGAAATTGTTAAAAGCTAAATATTAAGTTTTTTATTTATGCAAAAAGTATGTATACCTCTTTTGAGGAATTGGTTTATATTTCAACTTAATTGCATAATTGTGTATATTAGAAAGCGTATGGTATTAAAAATTAAAAACTAGCCATCGTTTCACCTAATTTCAATATTTTTATAATTATGTAAATCATTTGTTTTTGTATAAAATAAATATACTAAAAGTTATTTTTGTATGGTTTAAATAAATAATTTTAAAATATATAGCTCAAAATAAAAATAATTTATTTTATATACAACTTTAACAAGTCAAACTTTATTTTGAATTCTAGACTGAGCAATATCGGAAAATAAATAGTGATAGTAAATGTTTAAATACAAAAATATAATTTTCTTTTAATGATTATGGTAACTTAATTGTTATACACAACAAATTATATAATTATGCATTTTCATGATGGTATATACTATATATCTATTTCAGATTGAATATTTTTAAGAGATTCAAAAACACCTTCTTGACCATGCATAAATGGCCTTTGAGTTTTAGCAGCTGTACAAAGAATTGCCAAGTCATATATTTTTCTAGCAATACTGTTGTTCCAATATCCGGCACGCTTGTCCAATAATTCTTCAATAGGGCATTCAATTTCACTTATATGAGTTAACTAAAAAAAACAAAAAAAATAACTATAAAATAAAATATAATATTTATCACCACTAAATTAATTTCTAACCAAGTCACAACCAGTTCGACATTCATCATACGGTGCTAATCCAGTTATTAACTCCAATAATACAACTCCAAAGCTGAAAACATCTATTTTCATAGAAATGTCACCTCTAAATGCTTCAGGTGACATATATGCAGATGTTCCTAATACAACAGATGTCATTGTATGATCTCCTATTCGAGTTAAGCCAAAGTCACCAATCTAAGAACAATAAAGGAAATATATAATACACAACATTATCATATACAAATTATTGTGATACATGCTTTGGCAATGAATTTATTGTCCAGAAGAATATTTGCAGTTTTAATGTCTCGATGTATGAAAGGTGTTTCAAATGCTGTGTGTAAGTAAACCAACCCACTGGCTACATCTGTTCCGATTTTTATTCTTAGTTTCCAATCTAATATTGATGATCTATTCTATTTAATTACAATGTTAATTAGTATTAAAATGGTGTTTCATAAAATTCATATTATTCCTCAAAAATATACTTTGCATGCTAAGCAATCCAATAATGAACCATTCTCCATAAACTCATAAATAACACACGGCTGTTCATCACATGAAATTGCCAGTAATGGTAATATATTATCATGTTTAAATTTTAAAACAATATCAATTTCATTTAAATACTGTTTAAAATCTTTTTCTTCAAATATTTTGTCCATAAGTTTTATTGCCACTATTTGGTTAGTCAATTTGGCTTTGAATACTTTACCAAATCCACCAGCTCCAATTAAACATGAATCCGAAAATCCATTTGTGGCATTAGATAAATATTTGTAAGGTAGCTTAATTTTATCAAACCTACAAAATAATAATAATAAATTAAAAACAACTAAACATTACCTTTTATTGCAAATAAAGTTTTAAAATGATCAACAAAATATTAATTGGTATTATTAATTATTAACTGAGCGTAAAAACCTATTGATAAATACTGTTTTAATTATTATTTATACCTGCCATTACTTTTGTCGTCATTTTTAGTTGACCTGGTTTCTAGCTGATGAGCGAACAAAGTAGACTTGCAATTTTCACTATTATCATTATCTGTGTATTCATCAATGTCGAGAAAATCCATAGATGTCGCCAACCTGTCAATAGGCTTATCTAGAAATAAACACATACAAATAAAATTTATATTTCACATAGTTAACCATAAATAGGCCTAAGTCTTAATTTCATAATATTTTCTTAATTACCATTCATGATTTTAGAAGCTACACATTCAGCAGCTCGTACTAACTTTAATTTGAACAACATATCCATAAGTATCTTCAAGTTAGGCCTAATATGACCACTAGTTCCCCATTCTTCCAAAAATATCTCACTACAAGATCGCCGTTGTGTTTGGCTTGCCATTTCTATTAACCTAGTACAATTAAGTGATTGTTTTCAAAAATGTTGCCAAACATATAAACATATAATAAATATTACTTTAAGTGATCAAATGTATATTTTGGACTTTTATTCGGATCACAGTCTACAGTTACAGATGCCATTAGTGATTTCCAGCCATCATTAATATCTAACAAATTGACCAGCTCAAATTTGAGCGCAGCATCCATTTTACGCACCTCTGTGGTTTCCAGCGTCATACTTTCTAATAAAATGTTGAATTGTTATGACTAACACATTGCGATTTTAAAGTATAGTGTTGTTACAGCATTCAGTACCTACGACTCAAACTCGTCGTAAATCTAAATACAAAGCTTTTGCCATACTTGGTAACTACTACTGGGAATCTTTTGGATAAATACAGCTAATACAAAATACGAATTCAAAGACAAACCATGAATCTATTAATAATTAATTTTATGAATTATCGAATTATGATAGTGCGCAACAGGTCTTAGATCACATATAATCATAGAACATTCACAACTATTATCTATATCAGCTGTCTCTAAGATAGATGATATCACAATTACAAGTTACAACTGGTTGATAGATACTACGTGATAAAAAAATATATTTTAATTCCTAGTACGAATGTATCACGATGTAGGTATTACCTACATCGTGGAATGTATATTTACCTATTTACTTATAATATAATCACTATTAAACATATTATCTTTAATAGTGACTATAATATTTGTGAGTACGTCTATCATGAGCCTGCTACTATTGTAATAGTACCTAGGTCTAGGCAGTGGCGGCGCAAACTTTTTCGACAGTGAGGCAAGAAAATGTTAGTTGCAGCACACACGACCCACCTTTTTATTTTGCACAGAGCCGTGGGGGGCTATGCCCCCAGACCCCCTATTATAATTCTATATCAAATTAGCCTTTCTAGAAATTCATGTTACGGGTACTACAATAAAAATAATTTTTATAAATTATATAAATACTGCTTTATTAATAAATCATTAAATGTACTTTCAATTAAAACAATCATCCAAACATTAATTCTTTTCTCAATACACTTATTATACATTATTTATAAACCATGTTTATGTCTATAATCTATAGTCTATACTCTATATGAATATAACTATTTATATATCACATATTAAACAATTTAACAGATTACGTATTGGACATTCTCTATTACCCAATCATTCGTTCAAACTCGGCTTAAACGACTCCCCCTTCTGTACACTGCATCTCGATGAACATATTTGCGATTTATCTCATATATTATTCGATTGCCCTGCTCTGATAACCGAACGTCTAGACTTAATTAATTCTCTAAATTCTTTCAATTGTCCTTTTAATCTCCATACTATCCTCAATACTAATTGCATCTTTACGATTAAATGTATTATCAAGTTTATTTTGGATGCTGGCTTTATTATATAAAATCTATGTTTAAATTGTAGTAATATTGTAATGTTTTATTTTTTATTTGTACCTTGCTTATATAATTGTTGAGCTATATTAGTTGTAAACTTGAAGCTATAATAAAAAAAAAATAATAATAATAATAATAACTATTTATATATTTATTTATTTGATACGTTTTGTCACTCAATATTTTTCAGAACCGACTATCCACCATAGGTACCTCCTCGGCACCCACCCACCACCCCTTTTAGCTGTGAGACATTTGTCTCACAAAAACCCTCTCGCGCCGCCACTGGGTCTAGGTGTAATGATACTTGATGACCACAGACCGCCGGTCATGGACTAAGATAATACCTATTAGGTACCTAAGTTCATGTTCTAAAATCTTAACTAAAACACGAACCATGCGGCGCATCCGAGTTGGGTCCCGAATTCTAGGAGCTAATCGCAGGTAGTGTACTAGTTGGGTCCCGGATTTTAAAAGGTGCTATACTAGTTGGGTCCCGAATTTTTAAAGGTACTATACTAATTGGGTCCCGAATTATTATAGTTCCTGAATATTTGTTGGTAAGTACTACACTATACTAACATTTTCATTCCCATTTTAACAGACTGTCTATGATCTATTTAGACCACAGGTATGGTTAAAAATGTTTTTTACAGTTATTTTTAAATATTAAAGTATAAGTAATTGATAGTTAGTAAAAATATTTTAATAATTTTAAATATTATACAATAATATTAATACAATTTTATTAAATTGAAAAGTAAATGAAAAGTACTTATACGTATATAATATGCCTATTGGGATATTCGTAATAAAAAAAGACGTACTTAAGTGGTTTTCGAGCATTCGTGTAATAATTTCAATGTTATCGGGAATATCTGATAATTTTTGACATATGTTATAATAAACTATCTGGAACAGCGATAAATGCCGGTTAAACCTCGACGAGTTGGTTAGGTTAAAAAAAAACTGTAAAAAACATTTTTAACCATACCTGTGGTCTAAATAAATGATAGACAGTCTGTTAAAATGGGAAGGAAAATGTTAGTACAGTGTAGTACTTACCAACAAATATTCAAGAACTAGTGTTGTAGCTAAAATAATTCAGGACCCAACTAGTGTAGTAACTATAAAAATCCGGGACCGAACTAGTGTAGTACCTAAAATAATTCGGGACCGAACTAGTGTAGTACCTAAAATAATTCGGGACCCAACTAGTGTAGTACCTAAAATAATTCGGGACCCAACTAGTGTAGCAATTATAAATTCGGGACCCAACTCGGATGCAGCCGAACCATGAACTAAGATATAGGTAGGTCGTAGGTGGGTACTTGCCACGTCTTTGTATACCCATCAGAATGTATATTTAGTAGGTAATTTATTATATCATAGTTCCAAGAGAAATTGGTGACTCAGAGGCAGTGAAATAAATGTGTAAGGAATAATAGGGCGAGGAATATTGAAGAACAAATAGATAGACCATAGGCAGCTGATAGAATAATGATTGCTATAAAGTATAAACCATAAGAATGGTTGTTGGAGTAAGGAGAAGTGGGGGACAGACCCTTATGGAAGTGTGGAACAAGGGTCATAATTGTTAACTCCAGGTATATATTGTTAATAGTAACTCCATATATATAATAAGGATCCACATAAGTTTTACCCAGATAACTATGAAATATTTAAATATTATTTATTTATAATTCATAGATCGCGGCAGCGAAAAGGAAATTTGAGTAATTATATAACCATGACACAGATTTCTGTACTTTGCAGAAGTCGTGATTCATGGTTCATGGATGATTTGTTAGAAAATTAAACATTTTTTTTTCTCAACTATTGTTACTTCTGGATGTCCATATTTTCTATATAGGTATGGTTATTTAAATATCCGGTACTTGATCTCATTATGAGCATAGAATACGATGGCAGATTATTTTAAAATGCTCATAATTATAATTTGCTTTAAAAGATAATATAGTACTACTTACCTTCAAATTGTATAATCATATAATAGGGTGTTTAATATTTATAACTCAATGCTCATAGCTTAAGAAATAAGAAGTATGCGCAACTCGAACAGTGTTTTCGTTCTTTTTCGCGGATGTGCATCGCCTTGTGTTTTGCGCATACTGTATCGTATACGATTAAATGTATGCGTGTGACGTCACCTTGAGTTAATTGTCACCTGTCGGTTGCAACAACAATTTAAACATTACCTCTTAAAAAATATGCGCAGTCTTATCATAGAGCATACTTTTTACTCCGTATATCATAAATATAAAAATATTGATATAACTACAGTTGTAATTACGAGTAAAGCCAATAGCCATACAGGTATTATACTATGAGCCTATCTTTACAGTAGGTTGTAATGCTGTATTGAAGTATTTGCCCTTTGGTAGATGTATATTATATAATTATGTTATTATTCTAACATCAATAAACCCGGTTAAATTTTTTGAAGTCTTTCTAATGGCTGAGTAATGACTATAGTTAGGTAAATTATAATTTATAAGTGATTACTATTAGTAAAATGTTTACTAGAGTCCATAATTATACATATATTAATATTGTGATAAATAATAATAAACAAATATAATAGGTATTAAAGTTTTTATAAATTAAATATTTTTAACAAATTAATACAAAACAATATACAGTATTACAGTGATCACTGGTTCATAATATTATATTCATACACATGCATAAGGAATGTTTAACTTTTTTGTTCAAGTGTAATAACTTATGCCTTAAAATTCTTAAAATATGCAGCATCTATACTCTAAAATATCACTTAATATGCTATCAAAATATAAGTTTAAAAAAAAAAAATCATAGTATAATTGAATAAAAGCTTTATTTTTAATATTTAGATAATTGTCTGTTAACAGAATTATTTCTGAGTTGTTTTCATCTTGCATAAAGTTTTAGTTCACAACAATCTTAAATTTTTTTTAAAAACATTTTAAATTGAATAAATTTGTACATTTTTTATACAGTACTAATTACCTTGAGCATGCCATTGAACTATTAGATATCTTCTTAAGTTAAAAACACGAAAACCAATTTTAAAATATTTATTTTATAAATACTAATATCTCAGGTCCAGGAAATTTATTTGAAATGAAGTTTTTTTTATACAATTTTAAAACTTACAAATTAATACAAAAAACTTGTCAAATATGCAAATTTTTTTTTTAGGTTTCAAATATAAATTTGTATTGCTATAAAAAAAATTTATATTTTACTTAGCTAAGATTTTAATGATTATTAAAAAATCATGTAAACTCCTAGAAGTCCCTAGCCCTAGTTATGACAATTAATGATAAGAACTTTGAGCAAACAAAAGTTAAACAGGTGGACAAGTGGGTATAGCTCTACCGGACAGCATGATTCAAGCATGTCGTTGCAATGGTTGTGTTATATTTGATTTGATGATAGATCATTGTATACAAACAATGATTTTGGGCCGATGTTGTGTCATTTTAGCTTACTTGTACCTAAGCATCAAATTCAACAACTTAAATAAAATTTATAAAAATTGAAATATCTCATAGCTTTAAATAGTGTAACTTTAAGGAAAACTTTTTTTTTTATAGATATAGAAAAAACTTGTTCTGAATCTTCCATTAACATTTCTAATGTTAGTTACGGAAAGAAACTTTTATGAATTTCTAACTGAAAAATAATTTTCAAAATTTGACACTTTGATACAAATGTCTAGTGTCTACGGTTGTTTGTCTTTGAATTACAACAAAATATCAAAAATCGATAGATGGAAATTTGATAATTTACCACTAAAAATTCAATATTTTAAAAAATTTTAATTCAAACGCTCATAGAAAATTAATAGTCTGTTCCAGTATCTGTACTTTTTTTGGTTTGTTAAAGGCAGAAATACCTTGTAGAATCTTCAGTTAACATTTTTAATATTAGTAATGAAAATAAAAACTTTTATAAATTTTAAACTGAAAAATAATTTGAAAATGTTGATGAATTTTGACAAAATTAGAACTTCAAATGCATACAACAAAACGTTTAGGTATTTTTAATATTTTTAAAACACGTTCGCCGCCACGTATCACATATGCGTGACATGTAGTCTCTTTAAAAAAACCCATGTCATACATATGTGATACTCGATATATGATTTTCAGTTATTTGTCGTGGACTTGGGTTGCTCTTTTCTATGGGTTTCTTCAAACAAATATCACAACATAATGGTTTTATTGAGTGCTACCTACGCCATCTATTGGTGTACGTGGTTTTTGTTAGCATAACGAGATACGGAGATAATCGAAATTCATGTTACGTTTTTTTGTCCTAAGATTTTCAAAAAGTCTTTGGCGGTGAACGTATAGTGAATTCTATAAATAAAACTTTTAAGGAATCTTGCATTACATTTTCCAGCTATTTACTAAGTGAAAAAGTTATATCGAGAGTAATATAAACATTTTTTACAAAAGAAAAATTTCTCAAGGCTATACTTAGTTTAAAAAAGAATCAAAATATTTCAAAAATATTACCACACATGGAATATGCTAATATAAATATTTTGCAAAAATTTCAAGTGTCAGCTGTTGTGAGTTCTTAAGTTGCACCAAAATAATAAAAAATGTTAAAAACTTGTTTTGAGTAAAAATTACCCCTCTATTTATGTTTTTCTTGACATCCAAAATGACTGGGAATTTCATTCTTTAAAAAGTTCCTACTAGAATCACTTTACTATCAGAAATGATGCTGATGCAAAAGTCAGAACATTCATTACGCTCAGAATCTAAAAGTATTCTTTTACAAGTAAACCTAATTATGGAAAATCTATAGTAACGTACTGACACAATTACTTTAAAATATAAGTTTACTTTAACAACCATTTGTCAAGGTATTAACATCATGGACATATAATACAAATAATACAGATTAGTGGTTACCTTGGCAGCGGTCTTGACTAATCATTAATATTAAACAGAACAGATGGTTATATAGAATGACAATGATGTTAATATTATAATAATTATGTTGCAAATTTTTTAATAATCACATTTCCATAAGTTGATTGAATTCATTTTCTTCTAAAAATATCGAATCCTGTTTGATTTATATACTAATGTGCTTCCAATAATATTAATTTCATTCAATTTTTAAATGAAAAAATACCAATTGGATTGTATGAAATATACTCTAAGATTTTTCAAAATTATCAAATAACAAATGTCATAAATTCAAATTTACACTGTATTTTATTGCATTAAATTTAAAACAAGTTTGTTTCACTATTTTGAACAATACTATAAGGGTATTGTTACAAAATAAATAAATATTACAAAATCGATAATTCTCAATTGTTTTATCTATAATGTTTTTATCTAAGAAATAAATATATTTAAATAGTAAATACAGTGATCACAAGATAAGTTTTTAGAAAAAGTCAAACTTAACAAATTAATTCTTAAAGGCGTGTGTTCGTATAACATTTTCTATTTTCAAAATTTAGCATTAAACAAAATAATTAATATTAAGAAAACAATTGAGGAATGTGAGCAAAATAATAAAAAAAGACAGTTGTTCAATTAAATGATAACTGGCAATAACCCCTTTAGGCTAAAACCAAAAAAAAGTTAAAAAAAAAAAACAAACAATAGCCTGCTGAAATTCCCTTAAACTAATACTTGCTACAACAAAATTTATCTATAAAAGAATAAAGACAAAAAGTAAACAATAAATATTATTTAATATTTACTAATAATATCTTTACCTAAATGTTAAGACTAAACACACTTTAATAGAATCATAATTTTATACAATACATATGTTTTTATTTTAAGATAAGAACAAAAATTGTAAAACATGAACTTAATTGTAATAGTTAGATGGGCAGACAACTTTGTCTTCTTACAATAGTGGCAGTACTGAGTGTATAATAAATACAGGCGGTGAGAAAAATTATTTGTATTTTAATATTTTTGTTGAGAAAATTATTCTTCATTATTCCAGATTAAATATAATTACTATTGCATAATATTAATAGTTCATACAACATTTTTTTTTTTTGTAAAGAATATTGTTCTAATAAATAATGAAAAACAAACTTTCCCATCTTTTATTTTTAAAAAACAACAATCAATCATAATTTTTCTCATGGTCTATAAACAATTATTTCTTACTTTTTGGAGTATATTTAAAATTGATCTATTATGTGACACACGACATGAAATATTTATTTATTATAAATCTGTAATAGTGACAATCAGCTATTAAGTAACATTGAGAAGGCAGAATAATACAATACAATTTAATAAATTTTCTAAATATAGTGATGTAGGGTACAAATTCTTTTAATGGTCAACCAAAAACACCATAAATAGTGTTATTATTTATTAATTAATTTAATACATTTTAATTAATTTAATACACATACACACACAAACATAGACACACACACCAATTGAATTTATAATTATTATCAACTATTAAATATTTCTTTTTTCTTGTTAGCTAACAAATTAAAAATCAGCTCGAATGAGAACATTTTTAAATTAAAGAAATCCTATAGAGAACCTAAAATTAAATACAGTACTTAGCTAAGTATATTCCTAGAGTGGTTCTTCAGTCTTATTTGCATTCATTGACGTCTGGTCATAAGGAGATTTTTATTTTTGCAAATAAAAATAAATGCTCATACATACACGCGAGCATGCATATATTTACATCTATATATTTATATTTGTATAAATACATACTTATTTAAGTTTAACTATAATTTAATTTAATTATAACTTAAAATAATATAAATATTTATACAAATTGGTAATCATTATTTGTTTTATAAAATTTAATTTTTACCAATAATGTAACTGCTTGTAATCCAACACAATACCTTCCATAATTTTTTATCACCTTCACCTAACACATAATTTGGGGTCAGCAGGATAAGCTCTAAAATTATGTTTCTCTGACAATTGCTATTTCCTAGAAATTCTACATGAACTATTAAGGGAGACATTTATAACATCCATTTTCATTTAGTTCATCTTTGGCCTACCACTTCTACTATTTCCCTACACGGAGGAAGTTTTATAACTTCTTCACTATTAAATTTTCCTCATTTAGTGAACAACATCTTAGCCTAGTTCTAACTATGTTAAACTATTTTACTTTAACATAATATATTGAAATATGATTAAATTAGCTATTTTACATACCAAATAAAAAATTAATAACTTAGTATTTTTAAATAACAATAAACAATTGATATTCATCAATTTTTTTATTAAAAATTTAAAGCGTAAAAGGCAAAAATTATATTAATGTTTCAGTTCATACTGGTTTAAATTGGTAACATATTCACTAAAAAATAAAATTCATTAGATACAATAAAAATTCTCCATCAGAGTTGAAATAACGTTAGAAAAATCACCCCTGGATACATTTCTCCTAAAATGTTATACTTTAGATGCCAAATATATTAACATATACTTTTACCTAAATATTAATATTTATTTAATTCAAATACAAAGAACAACACAGTAAAATTATACATAAAAAAATTATATACATTTTTGTTTGCCACTGAGATAAACCTCTTTACCAGTGTATACAAAATATGAGTTTAAATTAAAATATTATTTATATTACAACACAAACTACAAACAAATTATATAATTACCCATCCAGCGAAGTAACAGAGTTATCTGACTTGGACTGGTTCTGAGAATTATATGTGACAATAGGAGGTGGGTCTGGGAATACTAGATCTGCAAATCCATCACAAATGGCATCTATAACTGCATCAGAAGACTGACCAATTTGTTGTTCTCGTACTGGTACTGTATGAACACCTGGCCTAATAGTCGTATAACCATCTATTTCATCAATGCCTTCATCAGCCATGGGTATAAGTTGTTCAAGAACTGGAGCTGTGTTACGTTTTTTGTTTTTTTTCCAATTCAAACCTCCAATCATTTTCATGAGTGGAAACGTACTGCTTGCTGCTTCCCATACATTAACATAATTTTTTTTATTTGATTCTTCTACCACCATATTTGTGCTACAGAACATAGAACACAAATGTAAATATTATACAACATCAATTACAATACACAATATACTATACATATTATAAAATAAACTTAAAAGCAATAATTGTTGAAAAATATAATTTTGCTTTAATAGTTTAATATAAAAATATGTACATTATAGAATCATAATTTAGAGTTCAATAAATAATTTACTATACATATGATATGAATATATATATATTGTATTAACATACTTTTCACAGGGAAATAATCCTTGACTCGGTTTCATTGGTGTGTAACTATCAACAAGTTCAATACCAGGCACCTCTGAAACTCTTTCCAATGTAGGTGACAAATAAGCATGTGAAGATGTTGGAGGTGATCTGGAAATACCGTGAACAGCTCCAGATAGTGTCCTTTTAATATCAACAGAAGACACTATAGATTTTGGAGGGGAACGACCAGTTGGTCTATGAGTACATGATGGATCAGGAGAAGGACAAAGTTTAGGTGATGATCTTGGTGATAAGTCTGCTGGTGGCTGAATAGACAAGGTGCGACAAGTTGCAGAATAATGTCGACGAGATTTTGAATTACAACTAAAATCAATTTCCATTCGATCGCCACTGTCACTATGTTCAGACATACTGGTTGAACCAGATTGATAACCATTCCGGGGTAACCCAGTTGGAGGTAATCGACCGCGGCTGCCCACTGAAAATGCACGTGTTCTTGTTCGATCAGCATTAATCCTAAAAAAAATTAAGTTATTTTTTATATTTTTATAAATTGTTTAATTATCAATGTATACTTGTCAATTTTTTCTCTTAAGCCATCTGGTCTGGAACCAACAGAATAAGCTCGAGTAGGCCTTTCAATAGGACCTTCGTCTTCAGATGGGGTAAGATATGCACAAACTTTATCCAAATGTATGTCAGAAAAGCGAGTGTCTGTAGAAGGTGTTCCAGATTCAATAGATCCTTGCTTACAATCCATAGAAACATAGTCAGACATTCTACCCACAGGTGCCATGGGAACATAGCCTTCAGGCGATTCAAATTCCATTTGAGGCATTTCAGTAGGTTCTATTGTAATGTATGTAATAAATGAAAAAATTATTGGTAATATTTACTTAAAAAAATGTACTGAATTAACTAACAAATAATCAAAATAATTTCATAATAATTATTATTACAGAAACAATGACCATGAACTTTGCATTGCATTCCCCTTTATAAATTGTATTCAAATCATATTCAAGCTACAAATTAAATAATTATCTATAATAATGTATTATTTATCATACTATAGTTTTATTTCAAAAAAATACAAAACATAACTATTCACGACATCTTAGCGGCATCATATGGAAATATTCAAAATATTAAGATTTTTCAATTTGTATTATTACTAAAGAAATGTTAGCTTTAAAAAATATTGACAAAAGAAAGAGACTTTTCAAACAAAAGTGGAATTTTTAATTTAAATTGTTGGAATTCACTACAATTAAATTTCTATTCAATACGTAATTAGCAAGCTTATCAGAAATATGTACAAAATAAATGGAAGGGGTTTCAAAGAATTTTAAGATATCCCCACCCAATATGTTAACACAAATTCCTGACCAGCTTGTATATTATGGTTATCAAATTCACAAACACAAAGTGTTCCTTTTAACTATCAACATTTACTTTCTAAGTTGATTCTTGCGATATTGGAAAAATGCTATTTGTAATAATTCATTTTTAAAATTGTTCTTACTCATTTCACTATGGGGACTTAAAATTAGTAGTTATTGTTAGTTATAATCAAGTAAAAAACAATTACCTTGTTTAGAATTACTATGTCCTTCCAATGGCATAATATTTACACAGTTACTAGAAAAAGTGTATCCTGGTTTCATTGGAAGATATCCATCTGGTGGTGGAGACGTTTCAGACGTACCTAATGATTATAAGTTATTGAAAGTAACATGAACAAACTAGTTGTACCAATAAGATATTTACTAACCAGAAGGGTTCAAAGGAGTATATGTATCATCTACATTGATGGGTGAGCCATATGGACTATTTGAGTCACAACAAGAACCCGCCTATTTATATTAAAATTAAAATATTAATAAATAATGTCATGTCATCTAGTTAAAAACAAACTAGTTAATTATATTTAAAAATAAATTGTAAAGTTTAAATAATGTAACTTATTAACTATTATCATTCTTACAATTACCGACAGTAATAATATAAGTAAATAAAAATCAATGAAGTTTATTCATAAGAATATACATAAATTATTTAAAAATTATAATATTATTTTTAAAGGATTAAACGTTTTGGTGGTTAAAAGTTGTTATTATTAAAATTAAAATTTGATAAAAAAAACTAACCTGAGAAGAGGAACTAGATTTATTACCAACAATATTGTTGTTAATCAAGTTAATATTGTTATTAACATTACTGTCACTTGTTTGTCTCAAAGAATCTTCTTCTAAAAGGAAAAAAATATAGACGTTTTATAAAATGAAATCATTTAATTGATATAGAATATTAATTATAAATTATAATAACAAAAATACCTTTGTCTAATGGAGTATAAGAAACAAAATCTTCTTGCTTTTCCTCAAGTATTGCAGACCGGTGGTCATTAAGACTCGTGTAAAAGGAAAAGATTCCATCTGTGGTATCTGTAGATTTTGAAAGTGAAGAATCCCAGGTACTCAAGTTAGAATCGTTAAACCTAAATAAATCATTGTTTTTTTTTTGTTTTTTTTTAATAAGAATCAATAATATGCAACATACGCTGATAATGATAAAGATGCAGAAACACAATTACAACCGTTGTGGAAAGTTTGTTTTGGAGATAAAATTCCATTGAAAGAACGCGTTGATGAAGTTATGTTTTCACTAATAGTGCGTGGTCGTAATGGCATGCTATCACAACGCTCTCTAACTGATCCTGAAAATAATTAATTAGACCAATCTATTTATTTCCGTAAAAAACATTGGGCACGCCATTTACTAGGAATAAAACAAATTTATTTTAAAATATGTATAAATTATAAAAATAATAATAATACTAACTCAAAAACTTGAAAATTAAAAAAGTTTAGTAATAAATAAATTATTGATGAATTACTTAGGTAACAATATTTTTATGGGAACTGAAGGGTGAGATATTGTACTAAAAAACAACCATCATAGCACTATACAAAAAGTTACTATATGAATATTGTTTTAACAATTTTAGCCAATTTTAAATATAAATAATATTCACCTGGCAATTTTTTTTTATAAACCTCAATAAAAAAAATATGCAATTATAAATACATCTATAAGGTTGTAACACTACTTAGATACAAGATACTAAGTAGTAAAAATATGGTGTACAGCGTGCAAAAAGTGATAATTAGAAGTACTGGGTATTACTTTTAGAATACTATTAAACTCTAATGAAATACATATAACATGACGAAACACTCTAATCTCACTAGAATGTGATCTCTGCTTCAAATATCTGATGAAATAGTTATTATTGATTTTAAAAGTTTTAGTTTCGTTTATTTATTTTTATAACCGGGAATATTGGGACATTTTATTACCTTATGTTTTTTTTAACAAAAAAAATTGTATTGTGAAATTACAACTAAGCTTTTTGCTTCCAATCAAAATCTAAAATAATCAATTTATCCAAAATTACTTTTTATTTAATCTAATATATTATTATAAATATTTTTTAATGAATACAATATTTAGGTATAAGAAAAGAGATGATTAATGCTAATTGGATAGAAGAAAAATAACAATATTTTTAATTTTTAATCAGTTAGTAATATCTTACTGATTATAAAAAATATACATGACAATCAAAGTAAAAAACAATAGTTACCATTTGAAATTTGGAATCATATAAAAACAAAAAAATTATAAATCTTAAATTAGTTTACATAATTGTTGGTACATTTAAATAGTCTCGACATAAGCATTCAAGTAACTAATAAATTAAATTACCTGCGCGAGCTAAATCAACATTTCCATTATTTAAAGTTGAGGAACTTTGACTATTATTTTTATACCGAAGCCCAGGGTGATTCTCATCTAAAATGTTATTTCCAAGCAGTTAATAATAGAAAATTTGCTTAACTCTATAAAAAACATACCATCAAAACAACTTGAACGTTGTCTTATTGGACAGTTAATTAATCGTGATCCTTCATTAAACGATGATGATCTCATTCGAAATCTAGGGTCATGATTTCGACTTGCTGCGCCCATTATAGTTTCATGAACACTAGTTGCCACATCACTGTTCCATGTATCCATCCATATATGACCAGAACCAAATGGAGAACTTTGTCCTACTTCCATGTAAAAAAATGTGCCCAAAGCTCCACAGCGACGAATACTTGTCAGCTGTAATAAAACAAACAAATATAATTTTATTAGTGACTTAATACTAGAAAAAATATAAATTTATTTAAGTACCATTATATCCATAGATTTTTGTTCCTTTGATTTAGTTGGATACTTCATTATGCTCACTTTTTTGTCACATAAACAGAGACCAGTCATGCCTATTAAATTTGCATTCATTCCCAACTCTTTTTTTAGTATAGAGATGTGCCAAATATGCTCTGCAAAATCATATGTAATTAGAACATGTTAATATACTACTTACGAAATAATAAAAATCTATACAACTAAATACCGAAAGGTTCTTTAAGTGAAACACCAGGTCCAAAATCTTTGGTAACTCGTTGTAAAACCAACATAAGGTCCAACCACTCGTCGAGTTCTTTATCAGTATCAAATTGAATATAAAAGGAACTCTCCTTGGTGTACAAACATATTAGTGTCTTTTTAGTACGTGAATCTACACGTTTGTCGATATTGAAACAAGACTTTAATACAATTACTCTATAATAAAATATACAGCAATAAGGTTTATTATATTATAAATAAAAAATATTACACATTTTAATTAAAATAGGTAGTAAGTTAAAATATACTTTTTAGGCAATGCATTGTTCCTCCATTTTTTTTCAGTTTCATAATATTCAAGGCGTGCAGGTCCACCACCTGCAGTTGCTTCTCGAAGTACAAAAAACTTTTTTCTCATACTCTTATTTTTTTTTAAATATCCAATTTTAACTACACCAGCCATAGCATTTCTAGGCTTAGGTGAGTCAGTAAGTTGAGCTAATAACAAGCTCATTTTAAATAATTTCTGAAAATGAAAAAAAAACAATAAAAATTTGTAGGTAGCATTAGTTATTGTAAAATATAATATAAGTAACAATGTTTTTAAAAAAAATGTATACCATGAAACACATCATTGAGTTATTTAAGTATTACGTACTCGAGAATCGATAAAAAAAAAAATGAAAACAAAAAAAACAACTTGGTTGAAGAAAAATAATAACACATTTAATTAAGATAAATGACATATTCAAAATGAATGAGATTAAATTTGAACAACTGATTGAATTCTTCAGGTCAATAAATAAAAATAAAAGACAAATACCTATTTAGTAATTACTATACATATTGGGATAATATGAAATTCTTATCATTTACAAAACAAACAACGATTAATGTTAGAAATGGGAAATTCACAAACAAATAAAATACTAAAAACAGCAATTATTTTTCAAGTTACAAACTATAAGCCAATAGATACATATAAATATAAATATGTATACATTCTGTACACACTATATATACCTATATATAACAATATTTGAATATAATTAAATAGGTGCCTACCTACTAGTTATTATCTGTATCATTATTCGTTTTTAATTTAATATCAATTTGATAAAATAATTAATAATATGCTTAGATTACAACTAATGCAAAAAAATTAATGACACATTCTTTAACCCACCCACCATGAGTCCTATTTATGATTGAAACACCTTTAGTCGCAAACTAAGCCTTGTTGACCATTAACATACGTGTTTGATCATCAAATTAATAATTCCAAACCAAATACATAAGTTACTGGTAAACTAAAAATAAATGTTATTTATTTAATATACTTAAAAATATTAACTAATTAAAAAAAATATATATCATGACATTGGTTTAACAATGATACAATAATCACAAAAATATGTTTTTAGTTTTATATTATGAACTGATAAGGTAGATTATACCTCGGATTATACTATTATAAAATAATCTTACTACATTCAATACTATTATGATAAGAGTAAATGGTTTATTATGGAACATTAGAATAAAACGAAAATAAATTCCTAGTATGGTCTCACACAGTCGTTTGACTAAGTACAGATTTTAAAAATATCAATAAAAACTATAATTGGTAGTTCAATTTTCTAGATTGCATTTAGTTATAACGTGACATGTTACTTAAAGGTATCTAAATGTATGAAAATATTTAAGCTACTACTTATTGAATGGAATGTATGGAAGTAATAAAAATATCAATAGATAGCACGACACATTATTTAATTGGCTGGTTCGAAATATTGTGTTTTAATACATAATTTGTATTAAAGATACAAAATATGAATTCGTTCATAGGTAGTAAAACTACACATTGATAAATTAGTTACTTTAAAATACATTCTTGTAAACAAATTATTTAACTGATACCTATTACATTCAGAAACATCCTAACAGTTATCAGAATTCCAAATAAAACAATATTGATATCAGTTTTTTCTCGCACCTATGCATTTTATTTTTAAAAACAAAACAAATTATAATTATGTTTCAATTTTACAATGGATTTTAGATGATCATTCAAATCAAGAACATTTTAATTAGCTAACAGATATTTAAAAAAAATAATTACAAAAAAAAAGTGTGGACGGATAGTTTGAGAGAAATTCTGTGATCAAGGTTATTCCATAAGTAGAGTACCTACACATAGTACATACCAATACAAATATAGCAGAAAAAGTATAAATGTACCTATTATAATTAAGATGTTTACCTAGGTACGCAAGAGATTTTTACAGATTTTAATGTAGCACAATAAAACTGTTAATGTTTTCTTATTAAACATGGTTAAAGTGATAAAGCAAAAAATATTTTAATTCACTTCATAAACGCTGTAGAGGTCAGCATTGTCAAATACATATAACTGATGATAATGCTACATTAATTGGTTTATAGACACCTAAATTTCACATTAAAAACTAATATAAAATTGTATTCCTACATTGCAATAGGTTTGGCAAACATGTTATCAGTTATTGAATGTATTGATTATTTATTGAAGAGGAGTATATTATTGCAGTTGATAGCAGCACAAAGCAACGAGCAAAAACAGTCTGATAGATACAAAACTACAAAACAATGTTTTAAAACCACCACCGGGAAGTTATTCAATTCCGACAACATAAGTAGATATAAGTGTATAACACCGTACAAAGACTCGATTGATTTTTCTACAAAACACATCACCGGAGGACGAAAAAACTTAAAAAAAAATTTTTTTTTTTTAATGATCGGTTTTATGCACGGTCAAGTCTTACGTCTCGAGAAACGAGATAGTATCAGAGATCATCAACAAGACAACAATAACAAAAACAACATATAAACCCAATCTATAACACGACGTTGTTATTGTTGTGGACATGTGCAATAGTAGTATGGGAATAATAGGCATAGGTACACCACACTACACCTATAATGAGTTAGGTACCTATCCATTCAAGAACGGGCAGTTATGTCAAGGGCATGCACTGTTTACGTTATTATCGTTCCGTTTTTTTTTTCATTCTTTTACACAATTGCTCGCAATAAAAATAACACGCAATAAGTAACATACCTACTTCTCGTCTGGTATTTCCTTTCGCGTGTGCGGATTCCCGACACACTCGGTTTTCGCGTTCCGAACTATATTAATATTGAACCGTACACGAACTGACTAGAACCGACGTGGCCACACATAGCACTGTAATAATAATAGTAATAATATTATTACGATTTTCGCGCACACGCCGTCTCTTACACGGCCACGGAAACGTGCGTCGCAGTAGCTATATCACACGGCACACCGCGGTATCGTATAGGTACGTACGGTTCGCGTATCGCGTACGAACAAATGTATAAATATAATGTCGCACTGTACTCGTGTGAATTATTAATCTGCACCGGTCGTGCGGTTTGCCGTGTATCGTGAAAAAATATTTACTAATAATATTAATTATGTATCCATACACGGTGCGCGGCGCACGAGGGCGTCGAAAACGACGATAAATAAGAGGAAAACGATACGGCAGCACGCGCGTACGAGACGATATCGTTTCAACAACAACGAACACTGCGGGCGAAACGCGGTACGACGGCGGCAGTGGCGTTTAGCACGATAATTCGGAACATGCTGCTGCTGCTGCGGCGACGGCGGCGGCAGACGGGGCGCATTGGAAATCGGCGAAAACCCTTTCTGTCACTGACCACTGCGGCGGCGGCGGCACGTCGACGATAACAACAACAACAACAACAACAACAACAATAACAACAACACCAACAAAAACGACGACTCGCGAGAAACACACCGACGGCAGAGACGATTTCGAGAACGCGGTTATTGTCACTGTAACTACTGCTGTATTCACCGTGTCGCTATTACTAATGGAAAACATTTTCCGCGGAAAAGTCATGTGGATACGTAAGCGCCACCATAGACAAGTATACTACCACTGTGTGTACTGTGTTGATATTCGGTGTGTGCGTTTATGTGTGTGTCTGTGTGATGATTAATCAGCGCGTATTCCTATAGATGTAAACAAGTGGTGCGCATGCGCCTGCATCCCCGCCTTCTCAACGCGCGGGTCATGTTGACCGTTGAACCGTGCAAACAACAACAACATTACAACGAAAACAACATTTTTCCCATAGCGGCGTGGCCGCGTCGTGTGTTTTTCGCTCTGTCCGTCTACTGCGCAGTCAGCTGCACTGTTCTCTCTTTCACGAAAAAATACAAAAAATAAAAATAAATAAATAAATATCGATCGTTATAATAATAATAATATTGTTATTATTACTATAATTATCATTATCATCGCCGTGTTGTTCTTCCGCGACACAACTGACGGTACAATAACACACGCGTATATTAGTATATTATTATGGATTAATTATATATTTATACGTCATAATCAATAGCGATATTACATCCGTGTTAGTCGTGTTACTACTATAACGAATAACCATATACATGTATTAAAGTATATAGAGGTGTACGCCAACTAATATATAGTACACCTTCATAATATTATTATGTACCGTGTACGCTGTAGCGGCTGTTTTACTTGACAATCTTTCATTTTTAATACGTCTCAAAGTCTCAATACTCTTAATAACCCCCTCCTGAAAGCAGCAGAAACCCTATCACCTTTACCTCGAATTGTCCCGCGCGCGCACGTCGGGTGCGCTTACTATATATATATATACACAACATGACGGTAATAATTTCGAGTTAAGACAACAACAACAATAATAATGAAACAACAAACACAGTTCGCCACAGTGAGTGTCTGTGATGTGGCCGATTGGTCAATTCTCGTTTCTGCGCCCCCGTCGTCATCTCTAAACAATAAACGCAATATGTATCATAATGTTATAAATAATCACATATACATCGTATAATTTGTACAATTTAACATTGCGATAATATTGCTAGATCGTCGTGTAGTGTGCAGTCGCTACGAGTTGTGATACACACCTATCGTGCAAGATAATACTACCTATACAATATATTAGTCTACATAATCATATCGAAAGTACGCGCTTCGCATGTGCGTTGTGCGTAGGTACTATAGGTATCTCGCACATCACAATATTATATACGTACATTACAATAATTATCTTCTTTTTTTTTTTATATGTACATAATATACTATATTATGACATATAATACGCAGTACGCACAATGTCGTGTAAATATATATCATGTGCGTCAGTCGGCCGGGCGGGTGTGGGCGGTCGGCGGACGTAGATATAAGGACGTACCTACGCGTATTTACACGCGCGTATGTGCGTACGTAAATGCGCGGGGTAGAATTCCACGTTGGAATCACGTTGCGTTGTTTTGACGCCCTCGTAAAATCGATAACGCAGACTATATACGTGTAAAACTAGGTTGGCATAACGGTGGGCCAGACAGCTCCATTCAACGAGTACACGAGGTTGGGCGGCTCAGTGTTAGTCCGCGTGTGTGTGTGTACGTATGTGCGCGTGTGGGTGTGCGCGCGCGCACGCGCGCTAGCCCCCGACACCCCTCGCCCACGCCGACTCTTATGGATTGCGGTGATACTATCGACTTTTTTCCACCCTCGACGCCCGCCACATCCACTACCGTCGACGACCAACACTACTACACCACGTGATGACCGTAAGGCCACGGAATATTGTAAATACTAAATATGGTACGAACACACACACACACACACACACACACACACACACACACGTTTACGCGCCTTACGCCCATGTTTATGGTTTTAAAAGGGTCTTCTTCCCTTCTCCCGCGCAGTCGACCTATATCACCGTAGACTCGTATTATTATAAATTTTAATAATATAGTCTGCACTGCTGCAGAATACGCACTCGTACATCCATCCCGTCGTCTTGCACCCCGTATCCTGAGAGCCCACTCCATAAAACGCCTATTATAGCCTACGTGCAACGCAGTATAATATACCTATTATACGTACAAAATATACTCAGATAATTGGTGCTTACCACGAATAATAATTTGCAAATATCGATATTTTACGATACTATAAATTATAATAAGTAATAATAATTTATACAAAACTTACTCACTTCTACCCGTCGTCTGTCACTCATCGTCCGTAACAATTTACGCAGTATTGCCTTCGAAATACGTACATCGTACCACCGAAGTTGATGTCGTCGTTGCTATTGTTATTTGTTGGTGTTGTTGTTGTTGTTGTTGTTTGTAGATGCATTTTTCGATTTTTTGAAAGCTACTTATATATTGCTATTTGCTTTATATATAGATTGTCGGTGGCTTTGTCAGTGTGTACGTCGCGTAGGTGTGATTCGGTCTGAAACTATGAAATAATATGGTCGATTTTTGATACATACGACATTATTACGACGTAAAATTTTATAACCAATCGGATTTCTGATTTTGTGTACCGACTTAACGTTAAAAATGTATGGGCTTACATACTAAGTTCATATATGAAATGTTATATCCACTATTTTTGTAACAAAAGTATACCAACAATTTTAATGATCCTGTAAAAATATCGAAATTTACCATTTTTTTTTTATCAAAGCATCATACCTATGTATAACCTATAGAATGTATTGTACTTACCTACTAAGTCTTAAAAATTGTAAACGAAAGTCACGTTTATAAGACTCGCTGTTTTTTCCGTTGTGATAATAAATGTTGTTAAGACTTTGGAGTAAACAAAATCAATTTGAACCTAGACAGGATTTTATTTTTTAAACTACTTAATTTAGCCAAATATTCAGAATATTTACTTTTTGATTAACTACTATAACAATTAACAATAATTAACTATGAAAAGTAACAATAACGCTTATTCGATTAAGACTATTTTATACATAAATAATATTATTTTTTCCTTAGTATAATTGTTTGTACTTTGTAAAGGTTTTTTTCGATCTGTCGATAAACCTGATATTATAAACAAATAACAATGTTGTTATAACTCTGGATATATATTTTTTTATTTTCAATATTTTTTCTTAATTTACAGAGGTGTTAATTTCAATTAATACCTACCTTACAAGATAGGTACAAGATTACAGTTTACATTTATTCTCACATCTTCATTATATATTTCTACATATACATAAAATCGTGTGGTGTAAATAATATTAATAAACAGCAGCGTAATAGTGCAAACGTGCAGTGTAACGTTTCAAAAATGATCAAACCCCGGGATACATTTTTTCACATTCCTCCCATGTTTCCTTATTAAAATTTAATTGTTACATAAAACAAGTAAAATGACCGAATGGAGAGTATGACTGATGCAAGATACTAGTGTGTTGCGATATTATAAATTTGAAAGTAGTAAACATTAATAGCAGCTGATCAGTGATCATTCAATTATGAACGGACTAACGGAGACCGGTGAAACCGTATAAACTGTTTGCATTTTTCCAAAAATGTTATTGTTAGTTTTTCTTTATGATATAGTATTACACTTGGAGAAACTATACTAAGACATAAAGTCATTAAGAAAACTGAAGACGCTATTTTACCCACGTTGAAGAATAATACATCACCACGGTTGATCCAAAGACTTGATTTATAATCATGTGCTACACTTGCACGAATATACATAAACAAATTTTTTACCTTTCTAAATTTCTTACGGAATAAATCGTCAAACTGTATACAAATAACAAATATATATAATACTTATTTAAAGGCACTTATTTAAACTTATGATTATTTCAAATAAATTATTAGACTTAAATACCTATGAGTTATGAGTTAATGTATAGTACTGATTAATTATTTAATTATATTTATTAGATACTATTTTTTTACTGTACCTAAACTTAAATAATAAATAATAAAATGTATTAGTGTGTTACACAAATGTCTAAACAATCTCAATAATCTCACATAAGTCTTGGTAAGCGGTAGTTAAGACTTTAAGAATAATAATATACATTTTTTTCAAAAATATTGTTTTAATAATTTTTATTTATAATCTATTGAAATGTTCAATAAGAGTAATGGCATAAATTGAATTATAAACAAGCGACATGATCAATGTATGCTCGCTTTTTAATGGGAATTCTCTCTGCAGTAGAACAAGACTAGAGAGTTATTATTTTTATCATTTGAATAGATCTCAAAATCTACTTTTCTTTAACATTCCAGCCAATTTTTTCGGGTCTTCGGTGGATTATTCCATAAAGTGAGAAAGATGTGATGATTATATCGTTTTATTAAAGGGTTGCTGTGAGTGTTTAATTTCCTAGAGAATGAAAAGTATCATTTGGTCTACCAATTTAGTTGAGGGTAGATATATTTAATTCTTTATAACGATTTTTTAATTAGTTATGTAGTTACCATTATTATATGAAAAAGTTAATTTATGTAAAAATATAGACTGAAAACTGTAAAGCATGGTGAGTTTTGGTATTAGTGGCTTTGCCACACCCATGCTGAGGGGAATTTAGCCAGTCCAAATAGGTCAGATTATTGATTTTAATAGTGGTCATAGGCTGGGTGATCTCGAGCTGGCTGTATTTGACTGTTATTCCCCTGAGTTCAAGATGGAAGCTCAAAGTAAAAAGGAAGTCTATAGGGTTAGTCTAAGATAGTAAATATTTTATTTAATATCCTGTTACATCCTTACAGACTTACAGTGAACTAGTATTTGATTATACAACGTGACTAGGTGATTTCGTAATAAAAAGGTTATTTGTAAGATATGGTATATAAGCATATTTTTAAAGATTTTTATAAGAAATCAACAATTTATAATACTGTTAAGGCGTTAAGCACAATAAGTTTATGTGGTAAGAGTAATAATACAGACGTAACATGTTGAGTAAGAAGTTAGCCAGACACTTAGCTCAATTAATTATATTTTAAAAATGTTTTTTCATTTGTTAATCCTATATAACTTCATTTTCTAACTGTAAGTCACCTTAGTATTTCTGGAGTAACCTTTTCTCTTTGACCAGTTGTGGAGGGACCATTATTAGGGACCAAATCAGCATTAAAATTTCAAAA